CAGACCGCTAGTGCATCTGTCTTGCAGATTCGTCGGACGATAGGCGGACAGGCTCCCCACACTACGAGAATATATCACGAGGAGGAGCGGTCACGGCAGGTAGAGCGAACCAAGGCATCGCGGAGGTGGAGTTACCGACGAGAGAAGGAGGTGGATGAGGAGGCACTGGATGAGTGCCCGCCCTTGGAAGGGGGCAAGGATCCGCTTGTATGCGATGTAGCATACTACGCTAGACGGGTAGGGCTAGATGTGGAGACATTCAAGGTGCAAACCGAGGATGGGTTCATCCTCACCTTGTGGCATGTCTACAACCCGCAGGAACACACCCCCTTGCCTCCTAAGGCCCGGCGCCCACGGGGTCCACACGTCTTCAGTGGCCAGACCAACCCCGAGGCCTCTCGTCGAGCTCCGGGCAAATACCCTGTGCTCCTGATGCACGGGCTGCTGCAAAGCGCCGGGGCATTTTGCGCCAACGATGACGACAGCCTTGCGTTCTTTCTGTGCAAGTCAGGCTACGATGTTTGGCTCGGAAACAATCGGTGCGGCATGGTTCCGGAACACACGACGCTGTTTCAGTCGGATCCACGGATGTGGGCATGGAACATCCAGCAGATGGGGGTGCTGGACCTGCCGGCACTGGTTTCCCGGGTACTCTTCGAGACAGGCTTTGAGAAGCTCGGACTCGTTGGCCATTCGCAAGGCACCGCAGAGACATTCATCGCCCTGGCCAAGGACCAGCGACCGGAGCTGGGGGAGCGGATCTCAGTATTCTGCGCCCTGGCGCCGGCCGTGTACGCAGGCCCCTTGGTGGAACGGGTCTACTTTCGCTTCATGCGGATTATCCCCCCTCTCGTCTTCCGGGCATTCTTTGGCATTCATGCGTTCATCCCCTTCATGATGACGGTACACCGCCGGCTACACCCGCGCATCTACGGCACACTGGGATACTATGTCTTTTCCTTCCTGTTTGGGTGGAGCGATGCACGCTGGGACCGAGGCCTCCGCGATCGGATGTTTCAGTTTGCGCCCGTGTACGTGAGCGCGGAGACGATGCGGTGGTGGCTGGGGGGTGAGTGCTTTGCTCACCAGAAATGTATCCTCGCGACGAGCGAGGTCACGCAAGCAGAGGCGGCGGAGGATCAGCGGGTGGCGCGGGGCCATGGCGAGGTTCTCCGTAGCAACACCGCGTGGTATGGCCCCCAGATGCCTCCTGTTGCGCTGTGGATCGCAAGCTCGGATGGTCTCGTGGACGGACGCCGGTTACTGCACCGTCTCGAAAATGGGCGAGAGCCGCACGTCCAGCTGGTGCACGCCAAGGTGATCGAGGAGTACGAGCACCTGGATGTACTTTGGGCGATGGATGCGATCGACCAGGTGGGCCAGGAAGTGCGACAAGTGCTTTGGGAGACGATGCCGCAAGAGGCACGGACGCGGTGCCGGATGCCACGGGGCGTGTGGACTGCACGATGAAATGCGAAACACAATACTTGATGACTGGATGACATACAACTGGGACTGGGATAAACTAGCATACACGGATAATTCGGCTGGGCGCATGTACATACATAGCATATACCATAGACATGTAGAGTATTGGGGAGGGGCCTTATAATTACCATCATTTATGATTCATTCGATTTATTCCTTCATGCCTAATGGCTCTGACCCCAACGCAGATGATAGCATCACCTGCCTGCTGACTTGTCGCTTATTCCATGCAGTACACAGACTCATCGCCATCCCCAGTAGTTGGATGAATCGTCCATCCCATGAATCATTAGTATATCCGACTAACACCGACCTCACCAATCCGACTCTTGCATGCCCCGAGCAGGGGCCCCCCAGTCACCCTCATCTCCAACGGCTGAACTAGTTCGATGACTAGTAAGGAGTTAGTGGCTGCTTAGCCTTCCCAGTTTCCACCCTTCCCCCCCCGCCATATTAATCAAGCCGCGTATATTACCCACCATCCACCTGGTCCTCATGCCCCTCCCACAAGTCCCAAAAATGACAGTTTGCTTAGCCCTCCGCACTGATTCAGATCATTGGCTCCGAGTATCCGGACATGCAGTAGTCAAGCACTCCTAAGCAGCCAGCTGGGTGGCCTAAGGCCTGTGGGGTGCACATGCATCTCATTTAGTTTACCGAGTTCCATCATGTATACTTGGTCACTTTGGAATGTGTGTATGTATCTTCTCTCGTCCTCAAGGTACCTTTTCCTTCCCCCTCGCTTGTGCCACTTGTGGACAACGCAGGTACTGCTACTGCCGCCGAAACCAGGCTTCTTTCTCATGCTACAATGGAAAAGTATATTCCCGGGCTTCTTCATGTGTTTCGATCGTGAATTGTGGATCGGAGGACAAGGGGGGTACGTCATATTCCTCTCCTCCCCTCTTCAGCGGTGTCTTGAGCCCCAATTTTTCGAATATCAGATAGATTATGGTGGGTTTAGGAGCGGAAATTGTATCAGATGAAAATAAAATAACTCATAGTTGAGGAAGGGTCAATCGGGTTGGGTTGGGTTGACTTTTGGGGATGGTATGGCCGGCCTGGTGTCTCACCATCGTCTAGCTGGTAGGGTAGTAGCTGGCTTATCATATGTCTTCAGGATCTACACTACGAATTTTGCTTAAGGGAGTTAAAATGTACATTGTAGGCCTTGACTATTCCGGCTGTGAGAGCCGGTTCCAATCGCCTCTATATTGTATTGGAGGGTAGGTACAATTCCGCTTCAGCGATGCAAATCCCACCATTAAAGGCAACCGGGTTATCCGAGGACTGGCTTTCGTATCGCCTGGGGGAGCGAATGGGTCCGAGGAGTTGGAGAAGAGGTGGGCTTTGGAAATTGGGGTGGCTTATGGGGATTCATACATAGGGAAGAGTTCTAGACTCCGACATTTGAGTAGAGACGGGATATGGTGAATGGGGGTTGTTGCGGACGGCAGAGTCAAGGCGGAACGATTGTTACACAAAATCGGGGAATAACAGTGGGAGAAAACGGAGAGTGATCTGAAGAATTCTCGTGAATCAAGGCGAAGGCCTAGAATTGCTTTTGTAAGGCTTTGGCGTTGAAGTAAGGGCGGGTGGCATGATGATAGTAGGACTACGAGTAATGGCAGTTGGAAGTAGAACTGAACAATGAGACCATCAGTACGGCGATATGTACACCTGAGGATTCCAATTAGGGCTGTAAAGTACTATATATAGATGGAAGAAGAGGTGAAGTTGGGCGGAAAAAACGGTTGAATTTGACTTCATCTTTGCTTTTTTGTGTTACTATTCTTTGCACAAAACTCTCGTATGAACATACTTTTGCACTGACAGCCTGTCTGCCGCGTCCGAGCGAATAACAGCAGCCCCGTGTTCCTCACTTTCAACGCAAGGTGTGCTGCCTGGAGAGGAAGCATGTACACCGACACTTGTCGCATCGCATATCAATCAGATACCCAGAAATCTCTCAGCAACATTCCAAACCATCACCACCACCACCACAACCACAACCCACCCATATCCCTGGAATTTCATGCAGCCACTGACTTGTTTAGTGCGGGGCACAGATGAGGGAAAAAATTATGGGTTGAAAGTTGAAACTAACGTGAGATTAATTAATCCATTGATTGAGGATGACGATCCGGGGGGTTCCCAAAAATCACCACCCCAAGAAAAATCCCAGCAATCGGAAATCCCAGCATAGCCCAAAATCAAATCAACCAAGATGGTGCAGGCCGCCCACCCAAAACAAGGAATCCCAGACGCCATCGACGTGTCCTTCCATGCAGCACGGATGCACTTTGACAATCAAGCATTGGACCAAGAAATTCTCCGCACGCGGGGCACCGCCACTGCCATCCATTCCCAGCATCATCATCGTTATGGCTGTGCGTCGGTGAACTAAGCGATCAAACAAAAGAAAAAACTTTGATTCTATGGAAACTTCCTCCATACCTCCATACGGGCCCCGAGTATCTGTTCTGCCTATCCAGCATGATTAAAAAAAGAACCGTATACCCACATCTTCGGCAGTTGAATGCTGTCACCGAAGTCATTATCTACCCGGAAAATAAGATTAAATAAATCACAAAACAAAACAAAACCCAGCACTCGCAGAATATGCAACTGCAAGATGCAAAAAGGCAGCCAACCACAGACTAACCCCCATCGAGTCTCCCATCCCTAGCAAGGTACCTTTCCCTAACGCGGAGCCACTCTCAACGCTAGCCTGGGCTTCATTTCCAGCCCGTCCGGCCCGTTCATCAATATTGGACAGAAACGAATACCAGCACCACCGGATATACCCTCGTCCAGGTTGCTGCCTTCGCCCTTCTTCTTCGATTGCTTTTTTGCAGTTCCAATTCATCCAGCCCCGCATGTAATTACCGTTCCCCGTGCCACTTTTTGGGTGGTGCGTGCCAGCTGGCTTCTCTTTTGGCTGCTCACCATCCCTATGGGGCGGCGATTCTCGTGACCCGTGTAGTAGCCCCAGTCTCTTTCTTGACTCGTCTTCTCCAATTCCAGTCAGCCTGACACTGGATTGACTTTATCCAGATCCCCTCGGTGCATGAGGGGAAAAAGCTAAAGCTTGCCGTCATGGCTCGGCTATGCGTGAGGGGGCGTGGACAAAACACTACATCTGATTGTCCACAATCCGCGGAGTGGAGCGTGGGCTGTTCTCTCTGCTTGCTTGCTTGCTTGCTTTGACTGCTGTCTGATGTCTGCTGTCCGTCTGTCTGCACGCCGATGGGCATCGATCGATCAGGGCGAGGAGCCCGCTTCCGTGGCCGGCCGTGTAGCCGTGGCCTCTTTGGGCTGTTGGCCGAGACCCAAAAAATTATAAAGACCAGGTCCGGAGCCAGATTCTTGTTTCACAACCAGAGCTCAATTCATCAAGCAAGGAGATCTTCCAAGCAAGCAATTCAGCCAGCCAACAAGCAAGACAAAGCGAAGCCGCAATCATCATTCAGCAAAGACTCCTTCCTTGTCATTCTTAAGTTCATCTCATTATGAAACCATCTACTCTCTACTCTTCTCTACCCTGGGTCATCACGTCCCTCTTCACGGTAGCTGTTCATGGCGCTCCTACAGGGACAAAGTCGAATCCTCCCCTACGAGGCTCCGAGAATCTGCTGGGTTACTCGGGCTCCAACACCGTGACGGACCAGTCCACCGATGATATCCCCTATGTCCCGGTGCCAGGACAGACGGATTCCGCTGACCTCGGCGTATACCTGGACTTTGACGATGTTGAGAACCCGCAACCGGTCCGTGGAAGCACGGGAGGAACTGACCCTGGACCTCGTATGTAGCGTCGATCCATGGAACCAGACCAGGCGTTTGGGTTGATCTGCAAATGATCTCATCTCACACCGGAAAATAGGCAACGACTACTACGATCGGATGAACAGCGATAAGCTGGCCCCTCCGGGAACGGACAATGGCCAGACGATCAATGCCCAATGGCCTATGGGTGAGTTCAATTTGCCTTGCCTTTTTTTTTTTTTTTTATCTTTTCTTTTTCTTTAATCGTTTAGCCCCTTTATTTGCTTTTTCGGCGGAAAAAGTTTAATGAGACAGAACAATGGCTAATAATCGGGTATAGGACTAAGCCATAATCGGTAAGCCGACCTGCCCTTGCTGCAATGCATGATGTACTATATACTAATTGGAGTGAAGGCTGGGATTGAATGAGTCTGGATGGGCTCGGCAAGAGAACGAGGTGGTGATGCCGGGCGCGACCGACATGGCTGGAGTGGATATGCGCCTAGAAGCAGGTGCCTATCGGGAGCTGCATTGGCATGTGGCATCGGAATGGTCTCTGGTGTTGAACGGATCGTGTCGGATCGAGGTAAGATGCAGATAGAGAGAAAGTCTGATAAACCAGTTTGTGAAAGCTAATTCTTATCAACCAGGCCGTTAATGAGAACGGACAAACTTTCGTCGATGACGTGAGTGCCGGTGATGTCTGGTTCTTCCCTCCGTAAGTTTTTCGCTCCAATTCCAAATCATTGTCCCTTTCATAGGGATGAATCGATGGATGGTTGGCTGACTCACTCCTTACAGCGGTGTTCCGCATTCCATCCAAGCCCTCGACTCGGGCGTCGAGTTTCTCCTCATCTTCGACGACGGGTCCTTTTCCGAGGATAATACCTTCCTCGCTACTGAAGTGTTTGCTCATCAACCGGTACCCCTCACTTGATCCCACCCAAATTATGTGTGATGATTGACTAACGATGGCTATAGCGCGAAGTTCTTTCTAAAAACTTCGACCTCCCCGTCGCCGCTTTCGACGACATCCCCGAAGATGAACTCTATATCTTCCCTGGCACTCCGGCACCGCAAAACATCTCCGAGCAGAATGTAACCGGCTCCGCAGGCGTCCTGCCTCAGTCTCAAAGCTACTCGTATCACTTCTCCGAGCAGCCCGCACACGAAGTGCAAGGCGGGTCCGTCAAGATCGTCGACTCCCTCACTTTCCCGATCTCCTCCAACACGGCCGCCGCGCTGGTGACAGTGCACCCAGGTGGCATGCGTGAAATTCACTGGCACCCGAGCAGCGATGAATGGACCTTCTTCATCAGCGGCAAGGCACGCGCGACCCTGTTCACGGCGCCCAGCACGGCTACGACGTTCGATTACCGCCCGGGTGATGTAGGATACTTCCCGCAGAGCAACAGCCATTATATTGAGAACACAGGAGATGAGGATTTGGTGTTTCTGGAAGTGCTGCAGACGGATGAATTCACCGGTAAGCCATCCTTTCCTTTCCTTCCTCTGTTTTGAAGAGTTGTAAATTTCAGTACTGATTGTGGTATGCAGATATCTCATTGGGCCAGTGGATCGGATCCACGCCGAAGCAGATTGTCGCGGATACGCTGCACCTGCCGCAGAGTGCGCTGGATCGGCTGAAGACGGAGAAGATGTATGTGGTGGCTGGATCGAATGAGACGGATGTTGCTACTACTGATTAGTAGTAGTTGCTATTGTGGGATGTTTGATGATCTTTATGATACTGATGACTGGACATATTGTAATGGGACATATTTTTTTGTCATTTTGTTATGAGGTTAGGTTAGTTCTGCGATAGATTTAGTTCATTAACTGAGGTTTATTTTGGGTATGATCAGATAACCTTTGTCGTATGACTCGTATCAGATACTGGAATGTACTAACTAGCTAGACTAGATACATGGCACCAATCCGAGTTGTGCTTTGCCTCCACTTCTCTCCACTCACTCAATCCTCATCCTTTCCCCGCATTACCACCTTATCATAGTAGTATTAATTTATAGACCCTCCGATCAATCTACACTATTGTTTATACTACGAACAAATCCCCACCCCAACAACCCTTATTCCCTGATACCGAAGGATACTATATACTAACCTCCCTAATAACCCCCTCATGCCTCGCACTCCTCGCTTCCACCTTCACCCCCGCCAAAACAGGATGACTGACCACTCCAGGCGTGAACCTCACCTCTTCTCCCTCTCCCTCCCCCTTCTCCAAAGAAATCCTCATGGCACTCAACACCATCCCAACCGTCACAAAAACACTCGCATCCGCCAACACCCGTCCGGGACACACTCTCCTCCCGAACCCAAACACCCAACCCGACGGATCCGGCTGGGGTTTCTCACCCAGGAACCGCTCGGGATCGAACTTTTCCGGATGTGGATAGATATTCGGATCGTGGGTTATAGCCCTGCAGACACATCAGCACACATCACGCTTTTCTATTTTCTTTTGAAAAGAAGGAAGTGAGATAAGTATACCAGATATTCCCCATCACTATCGCTCCCTTCGGAATCCTATACCCTTCATACACATCCCCCTCTACACAAAGATGCGGTATTCCCATCGGAGCAACCGGGTACCACCGGAGAGATTCTTTCACGATGGCGTTCACATAGGGTAGTTTATCCCGGTCAGAGAGTTTGGGGAGAGTGTGCGGACCTAAGACCGTGTCGAGTTCGGCTTGGGCTTTTTCCTGAATGGCGGGGTTCAGGGCCATGCTGAGGATGAATGTGCGGAGGGCTGATACTGTCTATACCATCTTTTAGATAATTGCTGGGAATGTAGAAGTATACGAATGGGGATGAGAAGGATATCTTACCGTATCAGCGCCAGCTATATATAGTGAGCCCGCTGTCCACTTGGCTATGAATTCTTCTTCTGCCGTGAGGGTCTTTTCCTCTTTAGTATCCTCCTCCTGGAGGAGGTTGCTCAAGTAGGACGGAGGTGCTATTCCGGAGGCCATCTGTTCCCGCACCATTCTGTACGGCGTCTCGATGGTAGTGAGGAGCTGAGTACGCCAGAACTGGCTTTTGCGTTGAGCAGAGAAGGGCAACCAGGAGGGGAGGTATTTCACTTCCCCATTTTTGTCAGTACAATCCCCTCTGTCAATTCGAAGAGAACAAAGGCACTAAGAACAGAGGAAAGAGGAGAATCATACAAACAGGCACCAAATCCACCAACCACATCTGATTCAGCACTGCCGAAACCGTCTCCATCGAGTCATCCGCCAAATCGACTAATTTATCCCTCCCGTGCGGGTTGATGTCGTACCCGTAGCCGATTTTGAGGATGATGGCGCCGGCTTCCCTATCAGATTATCTCATTTAGTTCTTCTTCAAAGTAATGTAAAAATCCAAAGTGATGTAAAAAGGAAAAGGAGGCTTGGAGGGATATACGTCTTCAAATGCTGTACCCACTCCCCCGGATCCTCTAACATACGACGCAATAACCGTCTTGCTTCGAGCTCCTGCAGCGTATCGAACCTCGATACGAGGGCTTTTGTTCCCAGGACTTGATGCAGGGCTTTACGGTAGGCGCGAAATCGCGCATTGTAGGGCTGCATGCCCAGAGTGTCTTTCCATCCGATCCTGTTTCATCTCATTCTATTAGGGATGGTTGTGGGATAGAAGGGTGAGAGGTGGGGGGAAACTTACATTTCTCCGACGAAAACTGGCTGTGGTCGGGAGGAGTACTTGAGGGAGCGTTTTTCGAGGAGTTCGATGGCTATTTGGACATCGTGAAGAATGATGATGGGTTGGTTGAGGATGGTGACGGAGGTTATTGGGCCTGCGGAGGGGGATTATTTATGGGGGCTTCTTGATGGTTGTGATGGTGGAGGTGGCTACCGTAGCGCTTTTTGTGTTCTAGCCAGTGTTGCCATTCTGGGGTATCTGGGGGTGGCAGGTCGGATAGGTTGCCGATGATGGGCTTGCCTTTGGGTCCGGGGGAAAGAGGGAGGGAGGGGGTTTGGTGATTGATGAGGAGGTAGAGAGGTAGGAGGGTGAGGCAGGCGAACGCGAGCGCGATTAAGATACTCATGGTGGGGTGGATATTAATGCGATGAGAAGTTGCAGGATTGAGATTTTGGCATCTGGCTTACATTCTGACATGGCGGGACGGACTGCGGCTGGATATATGCAGCTAGTGGTTAGGCTGGTTGCGGCGTCGAGCCAGCCGAGGCATTCGCTGGTGAGGTGGAGTCATCGTGGATAGTTGATGTAGTTAATGATGAGCAACGAGGACAATTGGTGTAGCGACTTGTTAGTGAACGCAGGACGCGACACAGCATATTAAATGTGCCAATGGAGCTGATTGCTATCTTTGGAGTTGCATTCCACATTCCTAGGCTGGATTCTCCGGCCTGATCAGTGGCTCTGCTATTTTACTGTCCTACGCTGATGCTTGGTGCTGACCTATCGTTTGGAAGGAGCCCCATGCTTATCGCATAGCTCGTGTGAAAAGCAGCATTATGCATGCCTGCAGCGCCTGCAGCATTAGTATTATGAGTGAAGGTGTTTAGGGAAGACATCAGCATGGAACTGCACTCGTGGCTATTGAATCTGACACCACAGCGTATATCGCAAATGAATGCCCTGATTCACTCACATATTATGTCTATATAAGCTCAATCAAATCAATAATTGCAACTTCTTTCTCTCCATCTATTTCCACTACTCATATCCTATCCTATGTTACTCTGCGAGATCTTGATAGCTATTATCCTTAGGGTTGGCAGTAATACATATATTTATCTGTCCTTGTTTTTAAAGAAGAGAAGACCATGTTCAGGAAGATAAACAAGCCCAAATAGTTCTATACCCACAGCAGTAAAAGGTTGCAAATACAATAGTCGGGGTTTCTAGTGACGGCAGCACCTCCAGATACACCGAGGAAGAAGTCCTAGTGCTGATCCTCGACTTCTACATCAGGTCATCTTTCGTGATACGTGATAAATGCATAAAAGCAGATCTCTTCTTTCTGAACCATCGCTTCGTCATAACAAAGGCTCAAACTGAATTATATCCGTTTCTGAGTACGTCTCTGATCGATTGATACTGATGAGAATATATGCCTAATGAAAGTGACCCTAATGCTGGAAACATTACCTTGTCGGTTATTTATCCACACCAGGTCAAAGATCTCCATAGACGCAGCCAAAGCCCGGGACCATGACCGCTATGTCGTAACCCAGATGGGAAAACCACACAAGTTTCTCATATCTACCCGTGCTCACTGGGGAAGCCTGAAAGCGTGCGCGACGAACTCTGGATACAGCTCAATATCTTCTTGCTATCAACAGAATCGACAAATGGTTTAGCAGAATTCTTGGGCCCAAAGGCACAGAGATACCTCAGAACATCCCGTGCTTCAGAGGTACCCTGGCCAAAAGGACTAAATATCCCTGCATTTAGGTGGTTTATATGCGATTGTCTAAAATCAATCCCATTTCCCTGGAAAGAAACTCGATCGGAGAAGTCTCCACATATCTGGTGTCAATGGTCAATTCATGGTAGGCGCAGGTGTCGATGTTGCTGGGACAAGTCACTGATCCTTGACTTTTTGCAGTTTCCTTCTCACATCCCAAGGTCGGCACCAGATCTCCTTCACCTTCGCAAAGTACAAGAAGGGGCAGAAGAGTGAAGCCGATGATGATTTTCTGGTCTTAGAAAATACTTGGCCCGTATGAAGCTAAGTATTGTGATTATCTCTATGATCTTTCCAGTATCACCTTGTTGCAATATTGACTGCAACGGATGTCTGTTAATCCAGCTGGCTCTAAAACAGATCAAGACATGATAGGTGGATAAACATGCGACTGCTTATTTCGAGATTCAATCATGGAAAGGGACGTCAGCTGTGGTGTTCAAACGAAGTGACGGAGTCTATATAGCCTATCGAATTGGTGCAATGAATGGATTTGATTTATCGACCTAAACGACAGATGATTAAAGGGAATCTAATGTGCTGCGGCATAGGGATCAAGTACAATGACATGTTTCTCACTCTTGAGCACTGGTAGTTGAAAAACCGCATCGATGACTACTACAGATATTGCGTAGATCAGTTGGAGCTTCTTTACCGCCTGATGCAACGTCGTAAATGAAATAAACGTCTACAATTGAATTCAAACCAGCTGGTGGTATGGAAGAAGATCTAGGGATACCCTCCGCCTCCGGGCCGTGGTCGACTTGTGGCAATCATGACCCGGAGTGCCAGCACAATCTCACCAATATCGTCATGCGAAGCGCAGATCTGAAGAGGTTTACTTTTACTCACAAAGACGGCTCAAAGACGCCCCCGCCCGTACCCATCTTATTCAACTTGCGCGGGTATTCCGCAACGAGTTACTGAATAGTAGTACTTTTGTATGTTGAACTAGTACCACCCTCTATACTCGTAACTACATATCCCGGGAACTGTTTCATACTACTACTAGTAGGATTTTACATCTCACGAGGAGAGGAGAGATGGCAGATGAGATTAAACAAGAGTATGATACAGCACCATCACTTATTCCTGGAGGAGAGAACAACATCTAATCACTTCTGTCCATTTCAAATTTAACACTAAGAGAAGAAGTTGGAGGACCAACAAGGAGGAGAGAACCAGGAGCTGGAACAACAGCCAAACCATCAGTACAGTCCAGGCAGGCGAAGATGGAAAATAAGTCCATTTCATCAAATACATGATTAACCAACTGAAACAGCCCTGTATCCACATTATAGTTTTTATATCCTACTCATCAAGAACCAATTTACTGGCCAGGCTCCACGAGGAGACATAATATTTTGCTAGACACGCACAAAACCATGGTCCTCAGCTACAAGTAAGCCATTGATGCTATTCTCCGACATATAGTGTATGTACCTGTATTACTAGGCCCGTAAGACGAGAGCTACTACTGTAGCAATATCTCAAGGAACATGGGAGAAATGTAACAAGAAAGAACGCAGAATTCTCGAGATTCAATATACATCATGCTGTTTCTGAGGGTTGAACTCAGAAGAATCCTACCCCAGGGAAGTTGAGTCCTGAGGCTTCTACCAACTACCATCAGTGAACTAACAAAAATCACGGCCTTAAACCCCTCCTCAAGGTAAATGGCAAAGTAAATGTCCTTCCGACTCCCATTTATGATGCGCAGTGTTGTCAAAGCTTTAGAGTGGGCTCGATGGTCCTAGAATCAGCCGATAACTCTTCGTTAACATATCTGGTCGAGATGGAAATGGTGTTGCTTCCGTTCGTTTTGACTGAAAAGTAGCCGGGATTATTGATCGTAAATAGTGAACCAAGTATCTTGTTGCCAGTTTGAATACCAAGAGACCCAGCCGTTTCCGAACAAGAGACGGGTGAGACACAATTCGTTCGGCCTCTGGTTGACCGTGACCTCCGCGTATGAATTGATCTTGTAATATTCATTCCTGGCATACACACCGCGTTCTGACGGGCTTGACCCTCCAATTTGCGGCATGAAAAATATGCTGGCATCCCTAACGTTACCCAAACCCATATAGGCAAACGCATCTGGGGTCGGGAAACCGGGTGTACAATCCGAGTCAGAAGAGCTTTCTCCAGCCGGACCCATGGAGCCCCTTCACCTCCGGGGAAATCAACCCATACGCCTACTGCTTGGCGAATCCTATCAACTTGGTCAATCCGAGTGGCCATTGGACTCGTGGCCGCAGGAACCGGAGTCGCGGTGGGAGTGCTCGCCAGCGTCGCTATCGGAATCGCCGTCAATGTGGTCGTCGGCGTTATCTATGACACGGCCATGGGGACCACCCCAACATACCGCAGTATTGGCATGGATGCCTTGACGGGGGCCATTAGCGGTTTTGTCGGCGGGGACGTTGGCATGAATGTACCGGCGTCGTGGGGGGCTAATCCAGTGAGCGCCATTGCCACGGAAATAGCTTTGACGCTCACAGTGGACACCATTGTCCCTGATCCAACAAGCTCTCTCAGTTCTATGTCTGATAACTCCTTCTCCGCTGCTAGTTTGGCTTCCGGGGGCTCCACGGCGAATGCTTCTGCGACTACCATCCCAGGCCGCATATCAGACTGGCCCAGGGAGAAACTTCGACAGCGGGGAAGCGCGACCAAGAAACAGCCACAAGTTCAGCAGCAGCAGCAGCAACTGCGGACGGGAACGGGAAATGACACGGGAATCTGGATCGCGCGAGCTACTTCCCGTGAGACAGCCACGACAGAGGACATCAGCTTGAATTCCTTCGGAGGCAGCTTCGATGGATCGCAATTCACGCTCCAGCTGAGTCCGGATCACCGGGTGTCATTCAATATGGATGCAAAGGCGGTGCAAGTGCCAATCTGGGATGGTTCGGGATCTAGGTTGTTGAGCGCGGTAGCCACTTTAGGTCGACCGTAGTGGATTGTCAAGACGTTACTATTTGTGTTTCAGATAATCTTAGGAGTCAGTCAGCCTTGGACGATGTGTCGTTGAAGCCAACCTTATTAAATTGGGTGCACCTCATAAATATTCCATATCATACAATGAAGTCCCATCTATTCAGTAAGTACGTACGATTCTATATTCTCTACTATCTATCCATAGACTCTACTTGTGGATCCTAGACGAAACAGTAAACAACGTTCGGCTGTCATCGTCAACCCTAAGCGACCCGGGCAATTGCCGCCAAGCACGGACCAGGTTGTGCTCGGGCCAACCAACGGATTCAGTTCCCTGCTCGCACCGTTGCTATTTGTCTTTTATGACGGCCAGGGGAGTGCTGGACCGTGCCGCGCCACTGAAGGATGACTGGCGGTCTAGACGGTCGGTGGCTGGTTGGCATTGAGTCAAAGAAGTGGTGAGTTCTCGTATTCAACCCCGGATTCATGCCAGCCACGTGGACCCGCAAAGCCCCGATCAGAAAAACTGGGCCTCCACCGCATCCCCCCTCCATCTGTCTTCTTTGTCTATCTTCCTTTTTCACCCCCATCTTTCCGAATTCTCCGCTGTGCTGTCACTCTCCCCCTTACTGCTCTCTACGTATACGCTCTCCTAAATTCTCCTGTAGCCTACGGGCTGACACCATGTCCTCCAATTCCACCACCAAAGTCAAGGCTCAAGGAGGCATCCTCGAAGGCAGCAATCCCGCCCATTATGACTCGTCGAATCCCATCGTTATTTTCATCATCCAGGTGGGTGTTCCCTACTAACTCCTCCAAATGCTATACTGCTAACGCCGACCAGGCCGGCATAATCATCATATTCTGTCGCCTGCTGCACTGGCCACTTTCCAAGATCCGCCAGCCGCGCGTGATCGCAGAAGTCATTGCTGGCGTCATACTAGGCCCTTCGGTAATGGGCCGTATTCCCGGCTTCACCGATGCCATATTTCCAACCGCCTCTATTCCCAATCTGAATTTGGTCGCGAATCTGGGGCTGGTGCTTTTTCTGTTCCTCGTGGGGCTGGAAACCAACCTGCGTTTCCTGGTCAGTAACTGGCGCGTCGCCGTTAGTGTGTCGGCTGCTGGCATGATTTTGCCCTTTGGTTTGGGCTGCGCCATTGCATATGGACTGTATAACACCTTCCAAGATGAACCGGACACGGTGGATATTAACTTTGGCACCTTTTTGCTCTTTATCGGTATTGCTATGGCTATCACTGTAAGTCACTTTCGAGTCACACACCGTCTATCGTACTAACCGCTGGGAAGGCGTTCCCCGTTCTGTGCCGTATCTTAACGGAGCTCAAATTACTGGGAACTAACGTCGGTGTAATCGTGCTCTCAGCCGGCGTTGGAAACGATGTCGTCGGTTGGATTCTACTCGCTCTGTGCGTCGCCCTCGTCAACGCCGGCACTGGCCTTACTGCACTCTGGGTCTTGCTCGTCTGTGTTGGGTACATCCTGTTCCTCACCTTCATCTTCCGACCACTTTTCCTGCGCTTCCTCCGCCACACGGGCAGCCTGCAGAAAGGACCCAGTCAGTCTGTAGTCGCCATCACGCTACTCATCGCACTGGCCTCGGCCTTCTTCACCCAGATCATCGGCATCCACGCCATTTTCGGCGGCTTCATCATCGGCCTACTATGTCCGCACGAGGGCGGCTTCGCCATCAAACTAACCGAGAAGATCGAAGATCTTGTCGCTGCGCTCTTTCTCCCGCTCTACTTCACCCTCTCCGGCCTCCAAACCAACCTGGGTCTGCTCGACAACGGCACCGTCTGGGGCTACGTGGTCGGCATCATTGCCATCGCCTTCACGGCCAAAGTAGCTGGCGGTGCTCTCGCCTCGCGACTTTGCGGCCTTCTCTGGCGCGAGAGTTTTTCCATCGGTGTGCTAATGAGCTGCAAGGGTCTCGTTGAGCTGATCGTCTTGGTATGCCCCTTCCCTTCCCACTATCACACTCCCCAACTGATCAACCCAGAACATCGGCCTCCAAGCCCGCATCCTCAGCACTCGCACTTTCACCATGTTCGTTGTCATGGCCCTAGTAACCACCTTCGCCACCACCCCTCTCACCGTCGCCCTCTACCCCAAATGGTACCAAGTCAAAGTCGAGCGCTGGCGCCGCGGCGAAATTGACTGGAAAACCGGCAACCCCATCCCCTCCGACGCCCGCACCGACAGCATCGCATTGGCCAAAGAACAGCACCGCGCTCTTCCCGTCCGCAAACTTCTCGTCTACCTGCGCCTCGACGGCCTCTCCAGCATCTGCACTCTCGCTGCCCTCCTTTCCCCAAACCGCCCCCCTCTCCCAAAACAACACCCGGACACCCTCGCCTCCCCTGACCCGGCTGCCGAAGAAACAGCCACAGCAACCACCAAGGCAGAAGAAGACGAAGACCAAGAAGACCAAGACCCAAAACCCACCCTTCAAGTCCACGGCGTCCGCCTCCTCGAACTCACAGACCGCGACTCCAGCGTCATGACCGTCTCCGAACTCGACCAACTACACTACCCCCTCTGGGACCCTGTCGTCAACACCTTCCGCGCCTTCGGCCAATGGCACGATCTTTCCATCGTAGCCGGCGTCTCCGTCGTACCGGAACACTCCTACGCCGATACAGTAGTCAGCATGGCCCGCGATGACTCGACGGATCTGCTCCTGCTTCCCTGGAGTGAAACCGGTTCTATGTCTGAGCATCACCCCTTGGATTTGAATTCCGTTCTGGATGACCTGAATGCTACCCGCTTCGTGGCGTCCGCGCCGTATACGGCTTTCGCGGAGAGTGTGTTGCGCAACGTACGGTGTAATGTGGGGTTGTTGGTTGAGAGAACGCCAACGAGGAGAAATAATGGGCGGGGGCTGCGCGATAAGCCCTCGCTTGGGGGGTTGAGTATACATAGTGGGAATTTGAATATGGGTATTGGCAGTAGTGGGGATAGGGGTGTTGCGGTGGTGCCGACGACGAGGAAAGCGCATCATATCCTGTTGCCGTATTTCGGGGGAAAGGATGATCGCTTCGCGATTCGGTTGGTACTGCAGTTGATTAGGAATGATCAGGTTACGGCGACGGTTGTGCATGTTGTTGGTGATCGGACGCCGATTGCTACGCCGAAGGCTGCTGTTGCGGGGGGTCTTGTGGGAGGGGTGAGGAATAGGAAGAAGGATAGTAGTAGTACGAGTAGCAGCGGTGGTGGTAAGAAGCGTGAGGTTGATGACTCGGATGCGGTGTATCTTGCTGCGTTGAAGGATTCGTTGGATGAGGATGTGGCGGCGCGGATGGTATTCAAGAAATTGGTTCTTGCGGGTGGGATCGAGCAGAGCAGTAGTGGGGTGGTGGAGAGGGTGGTTGAGCATGTCAAGGAGGAACTGGGGAGATTAGGGTCTGGGCAACGGGCTGGTGGGTTGGTTGTTGTGGGGAGGGGGAGTGTGGGGGTGGATACGATAGTGGATGATGGAGATGAAGATAAGGATGGCGGAGGAGTGCTGGGGGTGCTGGGAGAGAAGTTGGTGCAGATGGGTGGTGGGGATGTGTTGGTTGTGCAGGCGAGGGACACTCTATGATACGATGATACCCTTTAATTTACTCGATCTACTTTTGTTTACAGTGAAGGCAACAGTCATGAAGATGTTCATGAAAATTCTTTTTTTTCTTTCTCTTGTTTCAGAGTGGGTAACATATATACTTGGTCAATCATAACACCCGACAATCTCATATATACACATCAATAGTAGTATCTATCCATCCGAACCGGGGACAGACAGACCGACCATAGATCAAGGGGAGAGGGACGTAAGAACATTTACACACCCTGACCAGCAGAGTCGTTGTGGCCCTTCTTTTCGCCATCGCCATGCACAACCAGACTAGCGAGCTTACTCCTAGCCCGGAGCTGGGGTCCGTACCAGAACAGCACGTAGGGGATAAGCGTCAAGGCAGAGGCAATCAGAGCCAGGATCAGACCGGCGTACTGAGAGCCGACGTTGTGGAAGAACTGGGAGGCGAACAAGGGGGACACGGCACCCAGGGTGTTACGCATGAAACCCTGACCGGCGATAGCGGAGGACGAGCTCTCACCGTAGCAATCGGAGGTGAAGCTGTAGCAGGACTCGAAGATGAAGAAGATACCGATGGCAATGAGGACCAGGGCAATGACGGGAGCGATCCAGGGGAGATCGGCGTACTGGGTGAAGGAGTAGATGAAGAGACCGATGGGGAGCCAGACAGCACCGTAGAGGGCACCGTAGAGACGAGCCTCGGGACGAGCCTCGCCAGTCTGGACAAGGGACTCGTACTTGCGGATCTGGAAGAAGTTGAGACCGAAGCCCATGGTGGTTCCCAGGCAGAGGGCGATGTAGGGAAGACCGGAGACACCCTCGTTCCAGCCCTTCTTTTCTTGGAAGGTGATGGGGATGACGCTAAGGAAGAGGAAGGTCAGGAACCAGGCGAAGGCGATCCAGAGACCGAAGGCGAAGACGACGGGTTCGGTGGCCAGCATCTTGATGGCCTTGACGGAGGAGTTGTGAAGCATGGTCTTGAGGGAGGGGGCTTCCAGGTCGTTCTCGGTCACGTAGCGGTCATCACCGGTGTGGGTGCGGAGGGCCTTGGCGCGCTTGCCGAGAGCGACGCTACCACGGGTTTCGGGGAGGAAGAAGAGGATGACGAGGCCGAGGGGAATGTTGGCGAGACCCTGGATACCCTCAACCCAACGCCAGCCCAAAGCCTGATCGATGAAGCCGGCGTAGATGGGGGCACCGACGGTACCGAAGATGGCGATGAAAGAGAAGGTTGCAACGGGGATGGCGCGGTCCTCCGGGCGGTACATGTCACCGAAGGTACCACCGACAAGGATGGTACCGACACAACCGAACAGACCGAGCAGGGCACGGCAGACGAGGATGGTGCCGATGTTCTTGCCCAGGGCGAGACCGATGAACATAATGGCGAAGCAGAAGTAGGCGCCGGTGTAGACGACACGGCGGCCAGCCAACTCACAGAAGGGGGCCAGGAAGAGCGGAGCCAAGGCACAGGTGAAGTTGAAGAGGAAGAGACCGAGTTCGGCAATTTCGGTAGAGGTGCCCAGGTCGGAGGCCATGTCGCTGATACCGGAGCTGTAGGCTGTTGTGGCGAGACCAATGAAGAGGGTCATGAGACAGAGAAGGCAGCTGATGAATGCCTTGTACTTGGGGTCCCAGTTGAAGGGGTTCTCCTTGTCTCCCGGGACGAAGTCGAGGACGATGTACTGATTGCCGTCTTGGACCATGCGTTGGGTGACGGTGACGGGGAGGTCGAAGTCAACGGTTTGGAGGGGGCCATCATGGGCCGAGCTCTCGTTGACACCCTCGAGGTATTTCCCACCGGCCACGCGACCTGACGCCGTTGAGGCAGTCACGCTGGAGGGGCCCGGAGAGGCATTCTCCGTATGGGAGGAGAGGGCGGGCTGGGACTTGTCCATTTTGTCCATGTTGAAGAAGAGGAGGAGGAGGGGGAGGGAGGAAAGGGAGAAGGAGGAGTGAGAGAGGAAGAAGAAAGGGTCAAGAATTGCGGGAGATGGGGGAAATATAAAACAAAAACACGGGGGAAGGGGGCAAGCCCGCAAGCCCGTTCAACTCCGTGGGTGAAGACTCCGGTTTTTCCCTCCTGTCGGTCCACCTGCGCATAAGCGATGCTTCGATATCCTTCTGGGGTGCGTCATAAAGTCGGGGTGGAAACTGGACGGTGGCCCCGAGGCTGGAGAAGTTTTACTGCCCTGCACGAATGATGCCGGCCAGGGCTAGCCTGGTGGACGGTTGTTGTCCACTTGTCCTGCCTCCGCCATCCAGGCATCACATTGTGGTTCAAGTGGGCCGCAAACTCTGCGGTCGATCCATTCTGGATCGGTTGGTTTGGGGTCTGAGAAACCTCGGGGAAACTTGCCCATCACCTGCCTGTTCCTTGCCGGGATCAGATTTTTTCATCTTTCGGAGAGTAAATCTCTTTACAAACATCTAATCTTCTTTGAAGAAATGCTCCCACACGTTTCTCTGACACTGATATCCCTTCCTACAATGTACAGCCAGCTCTCATATCCATACCCCCTTTTGCGGGAGGGAAGGGATGATCCTCGGAACTCGCCCGAGATCAGATCCATAACTTGGATCATCGGCCAACCCTAAGCCAACCGTCGACCAGTCGGCATCCCGAGAAAGGCAAGTCAGCCATCGGGCCGACTCGGAGCCTTGCCACTCACTGGGTCCATCCCACGCTTTTCGGGGGTAGTCTCGGGTTGACCTCGGGGAAAAGACCTCACCGCAGCTAAACCGGGAAGCAGCTGCAGCAAGTCGTATGCACGCCGTGTCTCACGTTTGCGCACCACGCCGACTATCCCCAGTGTTCAAGGGTCAGACCGGCAATGATCGTGTGTCTTCTCCAGGATTATCAACAAACTTAGCCCGCCTCCATACTCCGGACTGTCAATCCTCTTATATGGGTGTTTGCCGGGGTGAGCTAGATATCCTTGAAGGATTCCAGAACCTCTGGTGAAATTAATGAATCTCGGTTCAACTGAAACCTCGTAGACTACAGAAACCCTCGGGGTCCACCAGTCCAAAGCAGTTAGTCATGAGCAGTGGACGAGCCAGCTTGGACTGTGCCGACCAAGCCGGCTGACCTGCCTTGAGATGCACCTGGACCACTCTGGATGCGTGTCTCGCGCCTCGCGTAGAGCTGGTAGATAGATAGTGCTAGACTATAGCGTCAATCTCACCCTTTATCCGGAAGACGTTTTAGCCTAAAAATGTGTTATTCGCGCTTCACGACTTTGACAGGCAATGCTAGGCGGGATGTCGGGTAAGTTTTGCTGCGCTGATTGTTTGGCAACTGACACGTATGGGATGAGAGCTCCACAGCTCCGAAAAGCTGCCAGGATTTTCGGGTCGGGATGGAGAAGTGAGGATGCAGATGGCTGAGCCGCTGAGGTGTGAGGCGCCGAGTTCATCCGAGTCAGAGACTGGCCAGCATTGTGACGGCATGCCGTGGATGCCGTGCATAAGACGGAGGCAGTTGCCGTCGCGAAGGATGCCGAACTATTGCAACCGGCTCGGATATGGAGTGGACAGTCACTTGGCGATATGTCATAATAGGGGTAAACCGGCATCTGAGGTTATTGACCGTGGCAAGCATGAGTGGCCTGATGCACGAGAGGATATCATAGTAACGTTGATGAATTGATGCCGAAACCTGTAATGAAGCCGGTGGTGTGAGGAGAGGAGAGGAGCCAGAGCCCGCAGTGGTGAGATGATTCCTCCACATTTGTCGAAGAAACATAATGTCCGAAGAGAAAAAGCAAATATCAACAGTTGGCCGGATGGTGTAGTTGGTTATCACGTATCGTTAACACCGATAAGGTCCTGGGATCGAGCCCCAGTCTGGTCATCTCTTTTTGCCCGTTGAATTTTGTTGGGGTCCTCGCTGGTCTTCCGTTTCCGTTCCCAATTTTTGAGTTCGACCTTGCCACTCCAGGACTAGCGTGAAAATATATGCATACTGCGAATAAGTCTAACCTTGTTGAGTCTCCACCCGTTGCACCGCCCTCGGAGCCATGGCTGAATATGGTTTAGTGCGAGGCCATTCTCGTGATTTTTGCACGATTTCTTTTCAAGACAACCATTCAATATCTCTCTCGCTACGTCATTTGTGGGAGAAGAACCACGGACCTGAAGAGAACAGAAACCATGCATGAGGCCAAGGCACAGGAACAGAGACCATCAGGAGACACCGCTTGTTTCCTGTCATTGTCCTCCGTCTCATCATCATCACGATCGTAACAAAGTTTCAACTCTGTGGTGGCTCCACCGACGTCGCAGCTTACCCCATTCAGAAACCCATACGATCTCTCAAGAATGATGATCATTCATGCCCAATATCGATCCTGTCCTTCTCGCATCGGTTGATGTGGCCAAGAAAGTACTGAGCATATGATGCGCACATCACTCAAGCAACATTCACCCTGCGCCCAACATCCACATTACCTCGGGGCTGCTTAACCTTGGTCGTTGTGCTTCTGATTTTCAGATCCCGCACTGTGCGATGGTACCGCATGAAAAGATTGTCAGTGAAGGTTTGGTCCACAGGTGGCAAACCTGTCACAGTTTCTTTTGCTGCCCTGTACAGTAATGAGGTGATGTTACTCAGCAGCCTAAACCGCACTTCTTGTGTGTTTCTTCATAAGTTATCACTACTTCGAAGTCTATCCACTACTTGACGCCCAATGGCACTAATAGAGAAGCCATATCGCAGAGGGAACAGGGCTGCTATATGGTAACTCGAGTCGATCTTCTTCCATATTGTAATATCGATTCTGCTTATTCATCGAGTCTGGTTTGTTGGGGCTTTGGTACAAGGCAGATGTATATCCTTGAAACGTTTTGTGGAGATTGTGCGATTCGAAATTTTCGAACCCACAAGGATCCTCGATCGTACCAAACACTGGAATGATTAGATCTCTTACTGACTAGCAAACAAACCTAGTGTTTTCCTAAATGATATCTTGCCCACTCAGCGTGTCTCAGGTAAAGCTTTGGGCTTCTAAACTGGGTTTTCAGGTGGACTGCACAAAGCTTCACAAGCACTATGACCATTCGAAAACAAAATCTGATTGGCTAGATTCTGTGAGGGCAACTAGGAGGGCCAGGCTCATAGGGATGTGCACCTGAGCCTGTTGGGTCGGAAATCTAATGTTTTTCGTGATAGTGTAGCTGAGAAGCAGGAACTCCATTCGTAGAAGCACACATAGGGAGCGGCCCTGACAGATGCTACACACACAGCTGGACTTCTATGTAGTTATAAACATGACAGAGTTTCCGTAATTACATATTTTCTTTGTAGATTTATGCTGCTTGTCCTAGGGCCACCGGCGCTCTTCATGGTTATATGTCTCACCCCTCTGTCCCAAGCCCAAGTATGCATACTGTATGTTGGATAAAACAGCAGATTGTATACAAAGTCAAAAGTGATTAAAACAAAGGCCCGCTTATTGTACGGGTTGTCCAGTGTGATTCGCACACTGACCGGGGCAAGATTCTTTGCATAATTTAATGAATTCTGACAGCTGGTTAAAGTCGCCCTGGATCCATTTAGTGGTCAGAACTCGTTCACTGTTTTCAAATATATAAGTACCATACAAAGCAATGGTCAGAACTCTGCAAACTCCTCCATCACCCACATATTATGGCGTAACGTTAATTTGCTATTGTTTATACCACTCTGAATTCATTTATACACATCTTACTTAGCTTCTAGTCACTGGACCTGCTCGGATCTACCTGATCATGTTCGTGAAGTCATATCCTTTTGTTGAGCATTCCTGCTATTGTCTTTACAATTTCTCCTTATGTTAACGTGGTCCATATCAACGACAAGGCGACCTTTATGAATAGCTGTACAATAACAGATTATATAATATTAGCATAGTGCCAAAATTCTAAACAAAGGTTACCAAGCAAACGCCGGTCTCCGATCCCGGGTATTAATCAGAATTTCCCCATATATGCGCTTCTCTCCTCTTAGCTTCATCGGTATAAGTCGACGCATTAGGAATGAGAATATTCGTTGCTTTTCTTCAGTCGGTTGATGCTGGGATTAGGGAGAGACGACTGGGGTATTGGAATTCCTTGCTTGATTACCCGCATCAGCTGAACTACATGAGAAGTTGGTTTCACATTATTCAACCATGAGAGATATATAGTGCCGCAATTATTCGCAAGTAGGACCCTTCTATAATTGGTGCGTATTTTGTTAACGTGTAATCACAGAGTGTAGTCGCTCTTAGCCTGCCACCGGAAACCTGGACTCAATTGTCCTGAGACACCGGTCAACCAGTACTCCAGTGTGTATCGTTCTTTGCCCAGTCGAACCTTTCAGTAACTGCATACAGTAAACTGAGGGCATCAGTCAACATCGTACAGCAAGAATATAAACAGACTTTCTTTGTTTTTGGAGCAAGTTGGACTGTAAACAAGTGTGCTGGTTTCTGTTCGGGCTACATATATATATATAAATCTTCCGAACGATGCATATAGTCCCAAAAACCAAGGACTCAGACACAGAAATTTTCAGACAGTTGGCTAAGAACAATCCAGCTGCACCAAGATAACAGATTTGAGATGACAGCAGGAGCACGAAGCACAATAACCTGGAGACCGTCAGTATTGAGCGGAAGGAAAAAAAGAAATCCAAAAAACAAATCCCTCTGAGGGATTCGTACCCATGCTGCTACGGAGCTGGGTGGAGACGTATACCCTGAAGGTGGACGACCACTCGACTATTGGGGGGCTAACATAAAAATATGAGTATGAATATTGTCTCTTGACTCGCACTCTCAGGCTTGTAGAACATGAAATTCTAGCCCTAACCGCTGAGACCACTATCGCGGAATCAATGTTGTCTTCGAGGCCCACTTGCAATTCGTCAGGTCCAGATTCGGACTTAGACATCGGACTCCGTTCACGCAGGTTATTATATGTCTATGAATGGTATTAAGCAGCTATGTGCCTAATAGGTGGGTCATTCGAGAAGCTATGGGTACCACGTCCCTTCCTTGCCCCTGACATTCACGGAATACGATTAAGATCTCCGATACACAGCGGAGATAACCCCGGACATCGATCTAAAGCCGGGCCCAGGTCCCACGGTTTGTGGAGTCAAGTGCCAACCTTCCGCAAACTGCATTTCCTGCTGTCACCACTCTTCAGACACTATGTACATGAGGATGCTACTGCGATAGATTGCGAAGGATAGTAATGCAGTATCGGCTTACCTTATCACTCTAATATCTGCCATGTGTCATACAATCAGGCCAAACGTCTCATTAAATAGATCAGAATACCCCAACTTTTGAGGCAGTTTAGTCTGAAATGACAGCCGTGGTTCACTCGCCGCCCCACCACGCTAACGCTCGCCATCGCCCGTATATCCGAACTCCTCACCAAACTCTGCCAGTTTCGGATATACACAGCCAGCAACCAGCAATGAGCCGGATATAGCACCCCGCAAGGACCTTAACTCTAATATGCCACAGCGGGTCCGGATAGAAGACGCGGCAACGTCTCGACCTGCAGACTCCTCTCGCTGGGCGCTAACTGCGCGCTCGAATTCCGAAGCGGAACCAAACCCTGAAGAAGTGACAGGGGGTTGCTTCAACGGTTACTAATGTCGGTAGTGGCGTCTCTGTTTCCTTCAAATAGAAGAGGGGGTGCCCCCAGAAAAACGAAACATGATTGATCCTGCAGAAAAACAAATCACACACTCCCCGGACATACCAAGATGGTCACCACAACCGCAATTCCCCTTATAATCCACGGCAAGGATGTCCTTATCTCTAATAGTGACCGCAAACATCCCATCACGTCTACATCCGCACCTCATTTGAAATCCTTCCAAGGCGCAACGCCCGATCTCGCCATCCAAGCAGTCGAATCCTGCGCAAGTGCCTTCCCGACATGGTCGCAAACACCCCCCGAGGAACGTCGACGTCTTCTTCTCAATCTAGCCAAGGCAAGTAATTTCATACACTAATTTTATGGAAAAGTAATTGTGTCTAACAAGAAGTGAATGTACAGCTCCTCCGCGAAAAATCCAACACCATTCAGACCCTCATCAAAGATGAAATCCACTGCACACCTCTCTGGTCTCACCTCAACGTTGAAATCGCAGCCGGCATTGTCGAAGAGACCGCTTCAGTAATAACAGACGCCATTAGCGGCACTATCCCTTCGTCGCAGGGAAATACGTACGCCCTTGTCATGAAGAAGCCGCTCGGTGTGGTGCTAGGCATCGCGCCGTGGAACGCGCCGGTAATTTTGGGACTGAGATCGGTGATTCCGGTAATTGCGGCGGGTAACACAGCTATCTTAAAGGTGCGGACACTTGAGTTACTATCATCACTTATGGAAAGGGGGTGTTTGTTGCTGACAAGAGTAGGGCTCTGAGTTGAGTCCCCAAACGCATTACTTCCTCGCGGCACTGTTCCGGGAGGCAGGGTTCCCGCCAGGAGTCATTAACTTCGTTCTGCATCGGCCGCAGGACGCGGCAGAGATCTACGAGTGTATGATTCAGCATCCGGCTGTGAAGAAATGTAACTTCACCGGATCAACCCAGGTGGGACGTGTGATCGCGTCCAAGGCGGCGATGGCGTTGAAGCCGGTGCTGTTGGAATTGGGTGGCAAGAACCCCGTGGTGGTGTTGGAGGATGCGGATTTGGATCAGGCGGCGGATGAGATTGTTGCGGCGGGATATTTGAATGTGAGTATCTGCATCTATCCATGATGCTGTAGTGAAGGAGAATGTGTGCTGACAAATTTTGCCAACAGAATGGCCAGATTTGCATGTCGACTGATCTCGTCTACGTTGTTCGCTCGGTGGCGGAGGAGTTGACTAAGAAGCTCTTAGAGCGCTTGCACAGCGAAGATCGGCCACACAAGGTTATTTCGGCAGCGAGCCGAGCCCGTCTTACGCAGTTGGTAGATGATGCGCGGTCTAAGGGGGGTGTCATTCACCAGGCTCGCAACCCTCTCGCTGAGGATCCCTTGGCATTCCCGGCTACTGTGATTGAAGGCGTCACGGAGGAGATGGAGTTCTATACGATCGAGTCGTTTGGACCGGTGTTTGGCATCATTGCCGTTGAATCGGCAGAGAAGGGTTTGCAAATGGTTAAGCGGTCCGCGTACGGCCTTTCGTCGGCGGTGTTTACGCGTGATCATTTCAAGGCTCTGGAAATGTCTGCAGATATTGCTGTGGGAGCGGTTCATGTCAATGGGGGCACGGTGCATGATGAGCCGACATTACCGCATGGAGGAGTGGGTGACAGTGGATATGGTCGGTTTGGAGGAAAATGGGGCTTGAATGAGTTTTTGCAGACGCAAACGGTAATACTGAATCGGGTTCGGGCTTCCCTGTGATACATGAAAAGAGATTAGGCATGGTCTGCATGATATACGTGGATTGGCTACATATGGAGAGATATATCAGCTGGGCATATAGTATGAATGGTCATACACAGCCACTAATCCAACTCTCTTCATTACCTGTCGTCCTCTCCACTATCTCAAATATCGGAAAGCCCTTTTGACGACTCAAACATTATTTCATTCAAGTGCTTTAGATGTAATGCTCGCCTAGAGCCAGACACATTCTGCGCATGAATGAATTTGGAACCAGACAGTCCGATGGTTACTGATGCAGCCATGTTTGGAGGGCCGACGTTGGAGAGGAGACATCTGGTCAACTATCGAAGGTAAATTGGATCTTAAACTTCGACGCATCACCTGAATCATTCGCGAATAGACTTGATGTCTATTTTCTCTAGCTTGAAACCACTACTAAATCAGGTAATCCAAGCAACAAAGACCAACTCACGGCTTCAATACTTCGAGTGATCTGGTCAGTATCCGACCCTTCCTGTAGCTAGGATTGATCAAATAGTGTAGAAAAACACCAAATTTCTCATCATCCCAAACCCAATTACGGTGGAGTATCAGCCGGGTTCAATCATCAATATTGCCGTAACCAAGGGATAATTGTTTCAGTCTACTGTGACCTCTCGATGACGGCCCATATCACATGACGTCAAATATATTTTGTAATATAGGGAGGCGCGTTGTTGTGCCAGCTACTTGCCAAACCTTTGACCTCATGTAGCTCATGTAACAGCTATGGGTATGCAAGATAATTGCTCACTCGATCTTGAGCCACATGATATTGTCATGACTCCCCATTAACCTCATACTTTAGACTTTCACCGCATCTTTACCTCACCTTCACTCGCTCGTCTCAGTCTCCAGAATATACTTCACCCTTTCAAAAGCCCTTTCACTTCGATATCTTCCCTCTACTCTCTCCACACAGTACAAAATGGATATGCATGACCCCAAGGATATACAGGGAGAAAACGACATGGCTGCCCTTGTACCTTATTTCAGACTTGGTCTCGGTCTCACTCGGGCTCAGGATGAGGAAGCGGAGAAGCCATGGCAAATTGACCCTGACCTTACCGACGTTCAAATACCAGAACATCTGGGTATGTGATGATCCCCCGGAAACTAGATACAGCATCGCTTCTAACTACTACCTTTAAAGAGACTCTATTGGAGGACTTCTCTTCAGGGCTCGGTAATGGAGACTGTGACGAGAGATTGATTCGGCCTCGACTGAATGCAATACTTATGGTGTTGCTGGCCAAGGTCATGAAGGAAAGTCGCATCAGTAGAGATGATGACGAATCTACGTGCAACTCCGATCTTCCTTCGATTGACTATTCAGCGCCATGCTGGATGGTCGACCAGAAACTCATTATTTCACCTGTTGCCGACTTTGCGAGTCACCCCGTGGAGATCACTATGCATTTTATCCTACTGTACGGCCGGCGCCCAACTTTGGACACAAATTTCATTGTGTTGAGGAAACAGACAATCCTTCCTGACGAGGGTTGGGGAGTCCTTGCAGCTATGTGTAAGTTCATTCACATTCCCTCTTTATTTCTAGAGTTAACGGACATTGATTTCGATCGACCAGCCGCTATTCATCGCCAGCGGAAAGAGGCAGGCGATAACGGAGACATTTACGGAATCCATACCGATACCTATACCTGGAATTTCTTCCACCTCAACAATAGCGGCAAGGTACGATCTCGGACACCATTTTCTTACCATTCTTTTCCTGCCCCATTTCCCCGTTTGACTGAGGCTGAATTTCTAGAATACAGTATTCAACCAAACTGGATTTGTCCTGGTACTTGGACCAAAAGGAGGTCATCGGTCGCATCTGCCAGATAATAAGAGAAGCTAGAGCTCTTTCCCGAAAGGTGGGAGGTAGGGATTCTATGCTGGGCATCTTTGAATCAGAGACCGAAGAAAATAGTGATGACGAAATGTCTGATCACTCTTCGCTCTACTAGGGGAAAAGTTGATGTGGTGAATCGGATAGAATCTAGCATCTATCAAGTGGTTCTGCTGCTGTGTAATTGCTAGTGAAGGATCCTGTTTTTAATTTTCATCTTTCAGTCATTGACGATATCTAATTCAATCCAATTCACTCCAATTCAATCTAATTTATATTCTTATTGCCAATAGAGCATGCTATGTAAGAAACCAGCTATACAGGTATTTCATCATTTAGAACAAAATCATACCCCAGAGCATTCTTAGAGTCCTTAAACTCACAGTAATCAAAATTAACACTTACAACAGTATAAGAAAGTCATCGTCGTAGCTAATTATACAAAAAGAACAGAAAAGTAAAGTATAATTATATAAAAATAAAAGTATAAATTGACTGACACGGTATTCAGAAAAATGATCAGTTATAGGGTCTATCTCCAAATACCAAGTATTATATATCCAGAATCCATGGAACCTGGATGTATCGAATGTCAAAATCCCGTACCCTGAGTTCGATATTGGACTCCTACAAGACCATAGAGTAGCCACCAAGCTTGTTGTCTGACTCCTGATTTTAAACTGGACTGAGTGTGATATTCTCCGAAGTGACTCTCGAGTGGTGTAACGTACCCCATCATTGATGTGGTTTCACCCTTGTTCTGTCTTACAGTCTATTGTACATGGCATGACATGTAATCATTTGTTGTGAATCTCCGCAGCCCTGGCACTTGTGTTGCTTCTACTCTGGGTGATCGGATGTCAGCTCATTGTCTGTCCTACATGCCGAGGGAAATGTTACGACCTTACTTTCATTTAGTTACATGCATATGCACATAGCCTGCTATGCCTTCGATTATATTACATGTTTCTGTTAGTAAATGCGTACTTTATGCTGCGTGCTCGACGATATGGAAGCGCGGCCTTTATACACTATCGCGTATTGCGGTGTTGTCAGATATTGGCATCTCGCAATCGACGGACCGCTCAATAATAGAATAGATAACCAAGTAGGACGTAAGCCTAAGAATCAGTAACAAGTCATTGATATCAATAGTTTGTGATCTGCTCGCATAGCACATGCATGTATCTTTTTGGTCGGGGAGATCGCCATGGCATACGGATTGTATATAGAACCTGTGTTGAGGAATCTCGGAAAGGGATCTATAAAATAAACTTAAAAGTAAAACATGAACAGATAGATTATCTGTCTGAATACTGAGAAGGTATTTCTACAGCATGCATAGCATAGCCCCGACTAAATTAATGTCATCATTTTTCAACATTTGCACAGCATCGCACGGCCTTACCCCTCGTATAGACGTGGATGCACATAATGGACCGTCAGCAACTTGATTACTTATTTCAGTTTTCCAAGTCCCATATATCCCTTCGAATACCTGATGTGAGAAAGTACAAGCGTCCATGTCCATCCGCCAGCCAGCCAGCCGGCCGGCAGACTGCCGGGCCACCCGAGCAGTCAAGGATGCGGGACTCAGCCCGTCAGACGGAAAAAGTGAGCCCGACAAAAGAACGAAATGCATGGGACCGATTGTAACGTGGGGGCCAGAAAGTATGGGCCGTGAGAATGAGGCTAGTATATGGAGATGCAGGGCGCTAATGCATGTTCAAACTCTATTGAATTGCTGACTGCTGTAGCCTGATCACCCATTAGGCGTTTTGTGGCTGGAAAGGAACGCATGATTCGAGGGAGGAGGGGAAAGAAAGGAGATAGCCGTGGGTCAGAACTGTATCACAACAAAGAAGTATTAGTGAAGGATACTATAGGGAGGTAGTGAGTGATGGGATAGAAAGTGAACGCGGTGAAGTCCTTACAGGGATCTATGGATGAATTTAGTAGGGCTCGCCTGGCGATCCCCGCCCGGATGACTTGCAAGGCTCCTGAATTTATTCCAATTGAACATCAACCGAGCTTCCTGTAACTCCCATCTGTAGTATACTGTTCCCTCATACTCATCCATCCACACCACTGCTATTTCCATCCTCTACATCACCACCGCCACCACCACCACCATGTCCTGGACCAAACAAACCGACCACTGGAGCCGTCCCCTAGACTGCCACGACCGCCTCTTCCAATTCATCGGCGAGTCAGGCAAACCACTCGGTCGCGAACACTGGCTCACCGTCGGCGCCGTCCAGCTCGACTTCCCCAACAGCAGCCCCGAAATAACCATCCCACCACTCCGCAACGCCTGGAAATCTCTACGCATGCGCTACCCCGACATCGCAGGCGAGCTCCATGACCACGAAAAGCGCTACTACCCGATCACAAGCGCCTCAACCCTAGAATCCTGGTGCAACAACACCTTCAAAATCGAAGACTCAGCCCAATCCGCCGACGACCTCTTCACCCACCACCTGCGCATCGCCGACCCGCACGCAACGGCACATTGGATCCCCAGCAGCCAGGAATTCTGCATCGTTTCAGCCCACTGGCGCTGGGACGGCACCGGACTCGCCATGGTGCTGGACCAATTCCTCTCCGAGCTTCAAGCCCCAACCATCACCACTACAGCCTCCTTCGACGGCAGCGAAGCCACCCGACTGATCCCCTCGCTCGACACCGTCATCGGTATGCCTGCTTCCCCAGAAGCCAGGAACCCCGAATGGTCTCGTCGCGCCGACGAACTCCTCGCTACCTTCCTCGAGGGCCAACCCTCGATCGGCCTGCCCGTGCTCAACCCCACAGCCTTACCCGCCAAGTCTCTCCGCACGGAGCATGTCATCCCCGCGGAACAGGCGACCGCGCTACGTCGTGCCTGTCGCGCAAGAAACATCACTCTCACGACAGCTATGCATGCCTCTGCGATTATCGAGACTGCGCGTGCGGCTAATTCTACCGATCCATCATCGCGCTACATCTCCTGGCAAGCCTTCGATCTCCGCAAATACCTGCCCCCACCCTACGACGGCCCCATCCACGGCCCGTCCCTGCGCATGGTCGGCCTCCCACTCAATGTCGAAGCCACGCCCACAACAAGCTGGTCGAACCTCGTGGATACCATTCAGCCGCTGTACCGCCAGTCGTGGAATCTGGCCGACAGTGACATGATGTTTGTACGGGTGCCGTTCGTGGAAAAGGCCACAGCCATGTTCCAGGCTGCTGCTGCTGCGGGGGCGGCGCAGCCGACAGAACCAAATATTAATAGTTTGGGGCCTGTGGATCGGTTAATCAGGGAGAGTTATGGGGAGGTCAAGGTCAAGGGTTTGGTGCTGATGGTGCAGATGTTGGCGCAGCAGTTGTATGTGCATTGTTGGAGTTGGAGGGATGAATTGCATTTGAGTGCCAGTTATAATGAGGCGTATTATGAACCGGTGTTTGTGGAGGCGTGGTTGAGGGAGATGAAGGAGAATATGGTGCGGAATTTGTTGGAGGATACTACGGATACGAATAAGGGTGCGTTGCTTTGATGGGTATTTCTATATTACTTATCTATCCCCCCTTTTTGTTCTTTTGCGTTTTGTTTGTTTAGAGGTATGTTGCGTGGTTCTAACAATTGATAGAAACTATCGTCGGTTGATTATCGGCACTGTACAGTTGATACTTCTAGGTTTGAATGGGTGTTGGTTGGTTGGGTGTGGAATACGCTTGTTAACGCTACAGTGACTTGAGTAATGCAGGAGCTGAAACCATCGAAATCATGTTACGTGTCTCATTAATTAATATAAATTAATATACAAGTAGTAGATAGTAGTGGTAGTAGTAGTGGGGCAAACCGCCCTTCGATCTCACCCGTGGACTCCCGTCCACCCGTAAGATTGTGCAACATGGGAAATGAAGGATATCCAAAACTCAGCTCACGAGAGATTCTCCGGGCGGAGCTCCGGGGGCAAAGCAGCAAGCCGGTCCAACTCCAACTCACCAGCGCTAAATCCCCTTTTGCAACTGGGCTGGATTCAGTACCCACATTTCTCTATAACCCCGGCACGCTAATATAGCACCCAGTTTAGCGGCATCCAACATGGTTCCGATGCAACCGGAGAGGGGCTGGGGTGGGGGGCGGAAAGTTAGGGACCATCATTGTCCGGAGAGTGTTGGAGTAATATTGCAATGATTAGTTGAAGTAAAAAGAAACATTCGGATGAGGCCCGTGCTAGACCACGTCAACGTCTACACTCTGCTTCACGTAGATGTGGCAGGGGCCGAGCTGGTCCATCTTGTACGACTCGCCATCCCCGCGCGTGATTTCCGTCTGCTGGGTGCTCAGCAGCGGATCTTCCACCCGTCGATAGGGTGCGCTCTTACCTGCCGGAGCATTGCGCGGCGTGTTGTCGCTACCGTACGGATACGGTGCAGTGGGCGTCTTCACCGTAGACATCTTTCCCCGTGCCACTCGGAACAGTGGGGCGTAGGTTGGCAAACATGCGCAGAGCGTGGCCACCCCCAGCTGTACCGATGACCAGACCATTGTCTCGGGAGCCCGCACAACTTGGGGTGTGGCCGGGATCCAGAGATAGGAGAGCTTGCAGATACTGGCAATACAGACCCTGTTTCATGCGATCAGCAATGGATTCCAAGAGTGTTTGAGAGGAGACCAAAGTCCCGAGACAAAACCTACAATCCGCCCAGAAGGAATATACCAGTAATCTGGACCTTGCGTGTGCGACTGAGCTGCAGTCGCGTCACCACATACACAGGTAGAAACAAGATTATAACATCAAGGAACAGGTTCGTGAGCTCCATCCCCAACCAGAGCCGACCACTGGCGATGCAGTATTCCGCAGCGCCCATCGCATCCCACAACATGTGGATTGGGTGACACTGGAAAATGTTGACGAACAGAACAATGAGGAACCAAGCAACACAGAGGGCGGCTGTCACGTAGTTCAAGACGCGGTATATTCTGGAAACCTTGAAGAGGCCGTGCAGAAACGCGAGTACCGACAGTTTGACAAAAGTGATGGTCGCCATGAAGAAAAGGTCGGCGACGTACAGAGTCTGACTCAATAAAGTCAGTCAGTCTTGCGCACGCATACGGATGGCATCGCGCAACAGACCTTGAGAAATGCCTTGGCCCATACCATTCCCCCAATGTCTGCATCGGCTGCGAATTCGTTCAGGTCGAAGGTGCCCGGGCCAGGTCCTGCGACAATATCTGGGTAACCGCAGGATCAGTAACTGCTCCCTCCTCGTGTTGAATTATTTGAGACGTCGACATACATTGAATTAACAGAGCCGCAAACACCGTCATGCATGCCAGCGTGAGCAGAAGCAGGCCGTCGGACAAGGGAGACCACTGTCGGGTCATGATTCTCACCACCAACCGGAGAGCGACCGAGACCACCGCCAGCGCCAGCATTGAGATGGCGGCGCCCAGGTTGTCCCGGCCGGTTTTGCCGATGTGCTTCATCCTGACGGTGATGTGGTGGGATGGATTGAGAAGCACGAGCAGCAGGCCGAAAAGAAATGGAAAACACGGCCGCCGGGGTTGGTCCCTCGCGAGGCTGACTCGGTGTGCCAATCCCGAGTGTCAGTCGATCGGCAACAGTCGAAAGCGCGGTAAAAAGAAAAGAGGGGGTGCAGAAGAAGGTGACGATTGATTTGAATGGCGATGGCTGGCGTCAGGGCGCTAGATCCGCGAAGCTTAGAGGAAAGGCAAAAGGAGGATTATGATCGCTGGCTGTCAGCAGGGTCGCATACCCTGGAACCAGACGAGCTGAATTGTCATCACACACGGAAGGATTATGGCCCCCATGCGATCGGAGAGTCTATTCAGGCAGGGGGGGGGGGGTTACTGTACGATCGGAGGAGAGTGGCAGAGCAAGGAGAAGGGCAGGGGGTGGGGACGAGACCAAACGAGACGGCGATGAGATGAGAGGAATATAAGAAATGAACGTAATTCGGGCCCCTCGCCCCAGCACAGCAGCAAATATGGAATATAGTAGAAGCACTGTTCAGTCTTTGTCTGTTTCTTCACTTCTCATCGGCCTCCCCGCAACATGTTCGCCGCAATGGCCCCATGGGTCCCAGGCGGGAAGAAGGGAGGGCAGCTGCGGAATGGGCAAACACTCGGTTAGGGATAGATGGACACGGTCGCCAGGCCGGATAATTGCCATAGCCTCCTGCTTAGGCACCAGCTGGGTCTCTTCACAAGGTTCATCGATGCTGTCCCGGTTTAGACTGGCTGTCAGCATCCGGCATTAACCCGGTAAATCGTTGGCCAACCAGCGTGTGGAGGGCGCGTCAGCCAGCGGATGCATTCTGACGGAGCATATCGCATGATGCAGCAGTTCGCGATTTGCCCGTGGCCCTTTGACCAACGTTTCTCGGTGTGCAGCAGCCACATTGTTTGGCTGTGGCCGTCGCCATGGTGTGGGTGAGATTTTAGGGCATTTCTGGGCAGCGAGTGGAGCAGGCCAGAGAGGAGAGAAGAGGGGATGCTGCATTAGTGGCTTGTCGATGAGCGACCATCGTACCTTCTTCCGGTCAATCTCTGGGCAATCCAACCGTCACACCCCATTGGCATGTGTCAAAACATTTGGCTTTCACACACTGCACCGCCGTCATAATACCTGCTCGAAGAATAGCACTGACCTTTCCGCCCCTGCACGATCAACTCCCCGGCCAAGGATGCCAGTCCTGGCGATGATCCGGTCGGCAGATATGAGGCTCAATCCGGGTACCTGTTCCGCTCTGTCTGTCCTCGGCCGGGACTATACCTTGATATAGTAGATAGCTCGTTCGAGTCTACTAACTCGGTATACTTTTAGGGTGTGGGGCGATGGCTGCGGATCCCGGTCGATATTATCTTGATAGCATGCCGTTTTTAACTCTTTTCGACTAGCTCTGGAAAGAACTGTACTCGCGCTTGGCGACGTGTAAATGATGGATTATGACAGGATCGTGAAGAGGTTTCTAGGCCATGCAGATCCATCACACTTTACTTTCTATGGCCAGACTGCGTTTGCAATCGCTTAAGGCTCCCCATCGGTCAGACTGGCAATCGAATGAGCCCCATGAGCGATTGATCTCGCAAATTTGATGACTGCGACGGCGAGCGGGGAGAAAACCCAGCGGGGAGCAAAGTAGATAAGAGGGGACTCCGACCTGCCCTCTCCGTCGAGGTTTCGTTTCGCTCAACACGTTCATCAACACTGCGCCTCAGTAGTGCCGAATAAGTTATACAATGCAACTACTAACGACTGACGGCCTTGTTACCCGCGGTGGAGCACTGCAGAGCTCCCAGAATCTCGAAGGGACTGATCCTGTGGCCGTCGTGGGTTTTTCTTTGAGATTCCCTCAGGATGCCACCTCCCCGCAATCCTTCTGGAAAATCCTTCAAGAAGGACGATCCGTCACAACTGAAGTTCCCCCTGACCGATTCAATATAAATGGCTTCTACCACCCAGATGCGTCTCGGAATGACACAGTATGTATGATCATAGCTGGCGATAATACCGGGCCCTAACAGCATGACAGGTAAACGCGCGGGGCGGTCATTTCTTGAAAGAGAATGTGGCAGCCTTTGACGCACCGTTCTTCTCCATGAGTCCCGGTGAGGTGGAAAGCTTGGATCCTCAGCAACGGGGTCTTCTGGAAACAACGTACAGAGCCCTCGAGAATGGTAAGACTCTTAGGAAATCAGTATGAGACGTGGGTACTAAGAATCACGGCAGCTGGCATTCCCGTCGAAAGAGCAGCGGGCTCCGCCACCTCCGTGTATGTCGGGGCACTGGGAGTGGAGTACAACCGATTCTTCGAATTTGACGAAGAGGTCCAGGCCACGTACAAGGCTACCGGCAACTCGGGAGCCATCTTAGCCAACCGGCTGAGTTGGTTCTACGATCTGCGGGGCCCGAGTATGACCATTGAGACAGCTTGCTCTAGCAGCTTGATTGGCCTGCATCTTGCGTGTCAGAGCCTGCGATCGAAGGAGTCGCGAATGGTGAGCGAAACCCTGAAACGCTGAACTAATAGTCGCTGACATGGAATGTGTTTAGAGTTTGGTATGCGGTTCACAGCTCTATCTTGAACCGATGACAAGCGCGATCTCTCTCTCCGCTTTGCAATTCATCTCTCCTGACAGTCGCTGTCACAGCTTCGGAGCTGATGGTAACGGCTATGCCAAGGGCGAAGGGTTCGGCGTTCTGGTACTCAAGCGGCTGAGTGATGCTATAGCTGATGGCGATGTAATTCGGGCGGTGGTCCGGGCTACTGCGACGAACCAAGATGGCCGCACCCCCGGTATCTCTCAGCCAAGTCAGGCAGCACAGGAGAAGTTGATCCGGGAGGCGTACCGTTCGGGTGGTTTGGATCTCGCCTCAACCCGATTGTTTGAGGCCCATGGCCCGGGAACAAAATTGGGTGACCCCATTGAAGCAGGTGCTATCAAATCAGTCTTCCAGAAACATCGCAGCCCGGACGATCCGATGCACATTGGTGCAGTCAAGGCCAACATCGGCCATTTAGAAGCGACAGCTGGTCTCGCGGGATTGATAAAGACAATCCTGAGTCTGGAGAAAGGCATCATTCCCCCGATAGCGGGGCTGAAAGAGGTCAACCCTCGCATTCCAGCTGATGAATGGAATCTAAAGTTTCCGACGAAGCCGCTTCCATGGCCCACTGATGGCCTGCGGCGAGCGTCGGTCAACGCATTTGGCTATGGCGGATCGAATGCCCACGCTGTCCTGGATGACGCATACAACTACCTGCGGGAGCATGGCCTCGAAGCACACCACATCACTGTCAAAAGACCGCCCACCCTCGCCATCCTGGAGAATGGTGTGGCCAATGGCATTGCCAATGACCACAGTAACGGCCATACCAATGGCCACGCTAACGGTTACACGAACGGTCATGCAAATGCTCATACAAAGGGAGACCCAAATGGCAACGCAACCAATGACTATAATAGCCATAATAGAAATGGTGCGACAGTGTCTAACGGTACCTCGCATGAGGAGCCGGAGGAGACCCAATACGTTTTCACCTGGTCTGCCTCTGATTCAAACGGAATTGAGCGACTCGGAGCAGCATATGAAAATTACCTAAGTCTAATCGAACCTCAAGATGTCTCAGAAGAGTTTCTGCGGGACCTGGCCTACACCTTATCCAACAAACGAAGTGTTCTGCCATGGAAGACTTTCGCGTTGGCGGGAAACCTGGAAAGTCTCAAGACGCAGGTACAAACTCTGCCAAAGCCCGTGCGATCGTCCACAAGTCCGCGGATAAACTTTGTCTTTACAGGCCAAGGTGCGCAGTGGGCTCGAATGGGGATTGAGCTTTTGAAGTTCGAGACTTTCCGGCAAAGCATTCTAAAGGCGGACTCCTATCTGAAAGGACTCGGGAACTCCTGGTCGCTGATCGAAGAGCTTCATAAACCTGCAGATTCTTCTCAGATTGATAGCCCGGCGTTAGCACAGCCGCTATGTACAGCTCTGCAGGTAGCACTGGTGGAGCTCCTCGAAGGATGGGGAGTGGTTCCCTGGGGCGTGGTGGGCCATTCGTCGGGAGAGATTGCTGCTGCATTTTGCGCAGGAGCAATTTCTCGTGAATCAGCATGGACAATTGCCTATTTCCGTGGAGCACTGGCTGCTCGGGTAGCAGAGTCTAAAACTGGCGAACGTGGAGCTATGATGGCTGTTGGCCTAACTGCCTCTGAACTCCAGCCTCATATAGATGAGATCTCGGCCGTCCATGGTCAACAATGCCTGTCAATTGGTTGCATCAACAGCGCCAACAATATAACCGCGACAGGGTTGGATAAGTCTATCGACGTCCTCAAGGTCCGCCTAGATGAGAAGAAGGTGTTTGCCCGCAAGTTGAAAATTCCAGTTGCCTACCATTCTTCTCACATGCAAGTGATTGCTGAAGAATACAAGAGCCTTTTGCAGGGTATTTGCCAACCAAGGCAGTCTCCTCGGAAAGGCGAAGCACCTGTTTTTTGCTCATCAATCACAGGACAACCTGTCCCAGTCAAACAGCTCTCTCTGCCCCAATACTGGGTCAAGAACCTTGTGTCGACTGTCAGGTTTTCCGAAGCTCTTGGACAATTGTCCCAAGCCAGCCGCAATTCGGGGTCTAACACGCAAGTGGATCACTATGTTGAGATCGGCCCACATGCAGCTATGCAAAGAGCGGTCATGGACAATGTGCCTCAATCTGAAAACGTCAAATATGACTCAGCGATGCGGCGAGGTGTCTCAGGACTGAAATCCTTGCAGCAGCTCTCCGGAAAGCTTTGGACCGAGGGATACCCAGTCAGAATTGAAGCTGTCAACAGCTATGGGTCGAACCGATCGGCGAAAATGGTAGTAGATCTACCAGAGTACCCCTTCAACCATTCACAGACATACTGGCTCGAGAGTCGACTGTTCAAGAATTACAGAACTCGCGACAATATTCGACACGAGCTAGTCGGCATTCCCACGAATGACTGGAATCCGCTTGAGCCGAAGTTTCGCTTCACCATCCGGGTATCCGACCTTCCATGGCTCACGGACCATCGGGTGAGTACCAACTGATCACTATCTGTAAAGAGAATTCTGCTAACTGAACTGTAGTTGAATGGATCCCCGGTCTATCCTGCTGCGGGAATGGCAGTTATGGCTATAGAGGCTGCGAGGCATCTAGCCAAGCCAGGTCATGCAGTTAGAGGATACCGCCTGCGAAACGTAAGGATCTTCTCTGCTTTAGTCGTCCCTGAGACTCCTGAAGGGGTAGAAAGCCAGATCTTCCTGCGTAATGCAGAGAATAGTCGAACCACTGGTGTTCAGACAATTGAATGCAGAGAGTTCAATGTATATGTGTACTCAGACAATGAATGGCGGGAAGTCTGCGCTGGATCTGTCGTGACGGAATATGAAGAGACGCCCGACGAAGTGTACGGAGCAGACGAGCGAAGCCTGACAAAGGACTATTATCAGTCGATGTACCAACAAGCCCTTGACCGCTGTTCAGCGACGAGTACTCAGCAGGTTTTCTATGATGCTGGTCACAAGATCGGGTATGGTTTTGGTCCCCTATTCAATACTCTCCACGACCTAGCCTACGATCCGGAAGGGGACCAAGCTGTGGCCGTCGTTAAACCTGATGAGTGGAGAGGTAAAGTTCCCGAGAAGAACTCTCAGGTTCAGCCGCATATCATTCACCCCACAGCCTTGGACGGGGTGTTCCAAGTTACGGCAGTGGCGACCACCAAAGGTGGAACACAGCTTGGTCCATTACAGGCACCGACTCAATTGCGAGACTTCTGGATCTCACATGATCTCATCGAGCGCAAACCATCCACAAAGTTGAATATTCTGGCGCAGACGACGCTGCAAGCAGCTCGAGAAACCGACTCGTTCATTCTTGCCATCAATTCGGAGACGGGAGAACCAGCCATTGTGATAGACGGCTATCGGGTGACAACTGTGTCCAGCCTTAGCTACAAGCCATCCGAGAAACGCAACATCTTTTACAGGCTTGATTGGAAGCCTGATGTTGACCTTATTAGTAGCTCACAGACAGAGACTTACTGCTTGGACAAGGAGACAATGCCCGTGGAATGGAAGCCTTCCAAAAATGTGGTGACACTGCACTACATGTCGGAAATGTTGAAGGAGCTGGACGCCCAAGGCTACGAGACTACCTCCCCATACTTCCAGAGATACTTGGCCTGGGTGCGGTACCATTTCGATCTTCTGGGTGAGAGCAACCCTCTCCTTCAATCACCATGGAAAGATACATTCGCGGATGACAGTCGCCGCATGCAGTACTTGGCGGATTTCGCAGCAACAGGCCCGGTTGAGGGTGCGGTTAACTCGTTCTGCAAGCACCTCGCCGCGATTGTCCGCGAAGAAGTGGATCCGTTAGACCTCCTGTTCAATCAAGGCTTGGCGAAAGACCTGTACAAGGACGAGATCTTCGTAATCACCGCCAAGCGGATGGCGGTGTTCATGGATCTCCTTGCGCACAAGAATTCCAAGCTTGATATCCTTGAGATCGGTGCTGGTACTGGAAGTGGTACCCAACAAATTCTGTCGGCCTTGGGCAAACAGGGTAACGACAAAGGCGTGACTCCCAGATACCAATCCTACACCTTCACCGATATTTCTCCCGGGTTCTTTGAAAAGGCCAAGGCTAAGTTTTCCGATCATGTTGATCGCATGACTTTCCAGACACTGGATATCGAGCGAGACCCAGCTGCACAGGGATTCACACCGGGTGGATACGATGTCGTGATTGCTGCCACTGTGCTGCATGCTACACAAAGTGTCAGTGATACTCTGAGTCATGCCCGCTCCTTACTGAAGCCAGGCGGCTACATCATCCTCATGGAACCAACCAACAAACATGACACAGTGCTAAATGGCATTTGGGGAACACTTCCAGGATGGTGGAGATCAACGGAGGAGGACCGGAAGTGGTGCCCACTGTATTCTCGGGATGAATGGGATTATTACCTAAAACAGACCGGATACACTGGGGTGGAAATGGCAATCACTGACTTCCCAGATGCCGAGAACCATACCCTCAGCTTCCTCCTCTCTCGAGCATCTCATGAGGAATCAAACCAGCTTCAACTTCCGGAGTCGCTCTTTATTGCTGCCGAAACTGAGTTTCAGCTCAAGGTTGCGGGAGAAATTGCTTCCTACATCTCCTCTACGTTCGGGAAGAAATGCGACATCCTCACGCCTGATGCTATCTCCGAGCAAATTTCACAGTCGAATGTTTGTCTCTCACTGCTTGACCTGGGGCGCCCATTCCTAGCGGCAATGAGTGGGAAAGATTTTGCTCGCTTCAAGAGACTTGTGGACTTCTCAAGTCACATCTACTGGATAACGTCCGGTGCAGATGGAAACGCTCCCCTGCCAGAAAACGCAATGAGTTCCGGATTTAGCCGAGCGGCCATGCTTGAGAAGCCTGGTCTCTACTGGGCCAATTTGGACATTCAAGACATAGCCTGCGCAGGCAAAGCAATTTCGAGGGTTCTTCAGCGCTCATATGGGGTGTCTGGAGTTGAAAATTGGGAGGGTGATTATCTTGAGGCCAGCGACGTGACACTCATCCCTCGAGTGGTAGAAGCCAATGATATCAATGATTATGTATATTCTCAGACTGGCAACCGGGACATCGAGCGAAGGCAGCTTGGAAGGGAGCCATCTGAGGCTCTAGAAATTCAATTTTCTCCTGGGCAGCTTGGCAGTTTCCGGTACGCCAGGGATGAAACTCCAAGTAAGCCCCTCTCGGAAGACGAGGTGGAGGTGGCAGTCAAGGCCACGGGAGTCAACTTTGCCGACGTGATGTGCGTACTTGGACAGATCACAGACTCTTACATTGGACATGAGTATGGGGGTGTGGTCCGCCGAGTTGGTTCAGCAGTGAAAGATCTGGCCCCCGGGGATCGCGTTTGCGGTATGGCATCTGGGACATTCAAGACGTTCGTCCGGAACAAAGTCCACACCACCATTCCTATTCCGGATCATATCGCATTCACCGATGCCTTCCCAGCGGTGTGGCTGACAGCGCTGTACGGTATCACGCACCTGGGCCGCCTTCGTAAAGGCGAGTCTGTACTCATACACGCAGCCGCGGGCGCTGTCGGACAGGCTGCCATCCAGCTGGCACAGAATATTGGGGCGGATGTATTTGTGACGGTGAGTTCGTCGGTCAAGAAGAATCTTCTGCAAGAGCGTTACGGAATCCCTGGCGACCGTTTCTTCTCTAGCCGCAAATTGGCATTTGGGAAGCAGATCCTGCGCGCAACCAACGGTCGCGGTGTCGATGTCGTCCTCAACTCAAGCTCAGGTGAGGCGCTCGCAGAGACCTGGAGGTGTGTCGCGCCTTTGGGACGGTTCGTTGAGATTGGAAAGCGAGACATCTACTCTTTCCAGAAGCTTGCCATGTATCAATTCTCCAAGAACGTCACATTCTCATCGCTCGACCTACAGACAGTATACAAGAACCATCCGTCAGTTATTAAACAATTGATGGATGAGCTACATGAGCTGCTTTTTGCAAAGAAACTGGGTCCTCCTCACCCGGTAACACAGTTTTCGCGCGGAGAATTTGAGTCGGCCTTTCGCTACCTCCAGACGGGCCGTCATATGGGCAAGGCAGTCATCAATTGGGAGGAAGAGGCTGAAGTCTCGGTAGTTCCCAGTAATGATCCGGAATATGTCTTCAACTCTCAGGCCAGTTATATCATTGCTGGTGGGCTGGGCGGTATCGGCCGGAGTCTCTCGAGGTGGCTTTCCACTCGAGGGGTCAAGCATTTGATCTTACTGTCTCGCTCGGGCGCAGTTTCTGATGATGCTATTGAGCTAGTCAATGAGCTTACAGAAAGAGGTGTCAACGTTATCACTCCCAAGTGCGACGTCAGCAACGCGGATTCTCTGGCAAGCGCACTCAGTGATTGCGAGCGGACAATGCCCCGAGTCAAGGGAGTCATCCAGGCCTCCATGGTACTCAAGGTATGTTAACTGGGTCTATTTATCGTCGCATGGGTGTACCAGCTGACACTCTGCAGGACCGATTGTTTGACAACATGTCTCTGGCTGAATGGCAGGCAGTGCTCGACCCCAAGGTTGCTGGAACATGGAACCTTCATCACCATCTTCCAGCTGACATGGACTTTTTCGTCATCTTGTCGTCTCTGGGAGGTATGATTGGATCGAGAGGCCAGTCCCAGTACAATGCCGCTGCGACATTCCAGGATGCATTTGCTCGCCATAGATGGGCACACGGCCAGAAGTGCATATCTATTGATGTCGGACTACTCACGTCCGTCGGGTACGTAGCGGAACAAAAGGATGTGTCAGAGAGATGGGTCAACGCCGGTTTCGATGCCCTTTCCGAGAAGGAGCTTCACAGTGTTGTTGACTGGGCCTGCAATCCTCGCCTGAACGTGTCATCAGGATGGGAGACTCAGGTCCTCACAGCCCTCAACCGGCCCATGGCCATGATCAAGCAAGGCAAAGAACTGCTGCCTTACATGAAGCGGACCATGTACCGACATCTGCACCGGATGGACCAGAGCACCACTGCGTCCGCCCCTACCTCTGCTCAGGCTGTAGACTACGGGGCTCTGCTCGGGGATGCTGGTAATGTAGAAGAAGCAGGGGCCATTATTGCCACGGCTCTGGCTCAGAGACTCTCGCAAGCTCTCTCAGTACCGGAGGAGGATGTTGATATCAATAGGCCTGCTCATTCCTTCGGTGTGGACTCGCTGGTGGCCGTCGAGCTGCGGTTCTGGTTCGCGAATGAGATGAAGGCTGAGCTCTCGGTCTTCAATATTTTGGCGGACTGTAGCATTCGGGAGTTGGGTCAGCAAGCGGCTGGCAAGAGTCATTATGTGCAGAAGAGGCAGGAGAACTAAGAATACCTGTCATTTGTAATTTAGTATATGGTCGTTAGATTACATCAAATCGTTACGAAACTCAATTTCGAATGATCATCCCTAATCTTTCCTGAACAGTTGGGCTGTCAGCACTAATCCTTGCAGTGGCTCAAATAGTAAAGATGACTGGGTGCTGCTTGCTGCCTACCATGCAAGGTAACACTGCTACTGCTATAGTGTGACACTGTAAGCGGGTCCTGTCGGAATGTGCCTGCGTGTCTGACAGACTAAACTCAATGGCCCCTCATTTCCTCAGCCTTACTCAGATTCACTAGACTTAAAGACGGCAAGCCCCTCTGGCAGGCGCTGGCGCCTCCCAGATTGTCTTAAAAGCCATCCGAGCGATCATCGCTTCTTATTTCCTTGTGCGAAGGCAAATAGCAAAGACTCCGGACCTATAGTCGGTTCAGTCAGCATCAGTTGAAAGAATGACAAACGAAAAGCAAACCTGGTTTATTACTGGCTGCTCCAGTGGCTTCGGGGAGCAGTTTGTACGCCAACTTCGCGAACGGGGTGACAACGTCGTCGCCACAGGCCGGAATGCTGAGAGCAAACTTGCGCACCTGAAGGATACCGGTGCCACTATCCTTGAACTCGATGTTACGGCACCTCAGGAAGAGCTGAACGCGAAGTTTCAGCAGGCCATCGATATCTATGGGGGAGTCGATGTACTCGTGAACAACGCGGGGTACATTCAATGCGGGGCTATCGAGGAGCTCACGTGAGTTTTGGCCTGAGGGCTTCTAGTCTTTTTGTTTGATAATCTCATTTGGGAAGGATATGTTTGACTGACTGAGACGTTAGACCGGAGGATATGAAACGATCCCTCGACACTAACTTCCATGGGCCTATCAACCTGACCCGCGCTGCATTGCCGCATTTTCGCAGCAAGGGTGAGAAGGGTCAAGGTATGATCATTTACATGGGATCGCAGTCTGGTTTTTGGGGAGAGCCAGCTGCATCCGCGTACTGTGCCAGTAAATTCGCTTTAGAAGGTATGCTTTACCAGTCTGTCCATCTGCTCCCACACGACGAAGCTGACAGTAAAACTCTTTCCCACCACAGGAGCCGTTGAAAGTCTCTCGAAAGAGCTAGGCTGGCTTGCACCAGGCATTAAACCCCTCATTATAGAAGCAGGCATCTTCAGCACTGAAGTCATGAGGAATATCAACCATGTTCCTTACCGAGTCGATTTCTACCGGGGCCTTAACGACGCGTGTCGCGTGCGCGGAGAAGGCAACTACCGCAACCCACCGGGCAATGCCGTGGATTTGATTGCCAAGATCATCCAGATTGCGAAGGGAGAGGGTATTGCAGAGGGCAAAGAGATCCCATTGCGTGTGCCGTTTGGTAGTGATTCTCTTGGATTCCTTAAGGAGAAGGCGCGGGATATGATGCGCATTGCAGAGGAATGGGAAGAGATTGCCCGCAGCACTGATTTCCCGGATCACAAGGGACCTATGCCAGATATACCGGCTTGAAGTATGCTCCCATGAATTCTTTAGTGGGTCATTGGAAACTATGGAATAGGGTCTTATGTACCAACAAAATGATGACAATTGTTATGTTCTCGGTACTTGAATTAAAGTACACTCTGTACTTCCCATGGAAATCTAATGAGTGTCCACAACTTGATCAGCGGTCTCCTGAGCTCTGGTAGCCATTTATAAAGTACTCTAAATCCCTCACATGACTACTGGCCTTCAAAAAGGATAGGATTGCCCGACAGTGATTCAAAGACGCAATATATAAACGCACCGCATACAATTGTATTAGTATTAAGTGACACATCAGTCTTCATTATGATAAGCTTAGATAAAGGTGAAAAGGGGTGCTAAAGAGGGTGCAAGATGTTTTATATCAGTAATAAGACGACTTACCGTTTAGCAGCTGTGTTGCATGGTTACTGTCTTCAACTAGTTCTTGTTGATTGTTGCAGTAAGTTTATGTTATAATGAATAAAGTAATTGCTTGCTCAAGAAGCAACCGTCCCTACGGCAAATGAAAACTGTCACTTTATGAACCAGGGATAGCCAATGCCGATCCTTCATCAACCGTTGACAATCCATGACAAGAGCGAGCCAGTCAACTTCCCCAGTTTCCATCCGATCAGATAAGATCCACCGCGTACCTGCCAACATCCCGTCTCCAACTAACCCAAATCAGCTATTTTGCCCGAGCACCACATCCATAGCAAATAGCAAACAAGGTCCATCAATGAGAGCACAGCACGAAATGACGATCATCACTACCACTTTGGCATATATAGTGCCCCTCTCGCCACCGAAATGCAAACCCCACTAATCACTTTCATACCACAGAATCCACACAATGCATCTCTCTACGCTGTTCCTAACGTTCCTAACCCTCTCACCCACCCTCTCCCAACCAACATCACCCATATCCGTCACCCAACTCTTCAACTTCAGCACCTCCACTGACATCGAAAACGGCGCCATCGACCCTGTTACTAACACTCTTCTCATAACCACCTTCACCGACGCCCGTCTCTACGCTCTCGACCTCAATTACCCCCACCCCACCGCCAACCTCCTCACTTCCTTCTACCCCAACGCCACCGCCATCACTGGCATAGCCCCCATCGGCCACGGCAAGTACGCCATCACCGGCGGCGTCCGCGGCAGCTACCACTATTACAATGAAACTATCTACACCATAGACTTTGAGGCCTACGCAGCCAATGCCACTGCTTCCCCGGTCAGCAAAGCAGTCGCGCATCTCCCGCAGGCGATCATGCTCAATGGTCTCGCTTCTCTCCCACGCCGTCCCACCACTGTCCTAGCAGCGGATTCCCGTGTGGGGTGTATTTTCCGCATCGACACGCTGACCGGAACCTCGGACATCGTTGTCCAGAGCGACGCATTGTCGGCTCCGGCGAATGGGTCATCGGAGATCGGGATTAATGGATTGAAGACACACGGGGAGTATGCGTATTATACCAATACTGCGTTGAAAACTTTTGGAAGAGTGAAGATTACCGATGATGGTACTGCGGTGCCTGGGAAAGATGGCAAGGTTGAGGTGGAAGTTCTTGCCACGTTGAACCCCGGAAAGGAGGAATACCAGTGGGATGACTTCGATTTCGATAAGGAGGGGACAGCGTATGTGGCTATGGCAGGGTCGGGTGGTAGGGCAATCGGAACGATTAGTCCTGATGGTGATGTCGAGGTGTTGTTTACTAAGGTGATCCGTGGGCCGACTTCGGTGCATGTTGTTGAAAAGGAGGGGATGAGGAAGAAGTTGTATATCACTACTAATGGGAACGGTGGACAGGTTGTGGAGGCGGTGCTCTGAATGGAGTCAGTTACATAATGTGCCACTTAGAGTGGCTTAGCTTTGTGGTTGACCGTTTCTGTTTGAAGGACAACTGAAGAGGTTGAATTAGGTATCGATTCTCTGGTTGAGGGCTGGCTTTGTTTCTGTTCGTATTCACTGACTCACGATTTGACCCCGGCGAATGGGCAAACATGTTGCTCCCCCGGAAATCTCCCTAACTGAAAGTTTAAGACAGGGCAATAATCAAACAGTCAATAGCCCTCACATGTCACATTGTCCCGACATATATTAAAGCCGAGGAGACGAAATGAAGTCAGGTTGTCAGGATCCCATTCTGGTGCGCTTCAGGAGTGAATCCTCCGGATCTAAATTGATAAATAAGGAGTATTATATACAGAGTCTTCTACCAAAGCTCTGCCTTATATAGCAATATATATACTATTCTTTGTAACATTTGTCCAAACATAACTCTGTAAGCAGTGACATGCTGCCCTATTCGACTATTTACGATTAGCAGATAATGGACAACTTTCACGGGATTGGATGATGCAGGTATTATTATATGGGAGCCGGCGAGACTTAAGCTGCTGAGCTGTGATCCAGCCACGTCAGAATTCAACATCTTGGCCAGGGATGGCAGCCACCGCTCTCTGTACATCATTGTGCGCTTGTTGAGTCACCGACGGCCAGTAACTAGACAACTCAAATTTGATGAAAGCTCAAGACAAGCAAAGCAGGCAGAAAGATACTATACGGCATCTGCAACTTTGTTAGTGCAAGGTCGTTAGTCCTATAATGCCTCTAATCAAATGTTCCTCCAGCCTCTGTCATAGGAGATGAGTCGGGCAGCTGACTCAAGAGATCTTGGCGAAATGGACAATATGGACAGGATTTTCAGCATCCCACGTACTCTGCAAAAGTGTCAAGAAGTTGTAGAAAGCTAAAAGAAATTTAACAGATAAGTAAATTGTTGCAAGAAGCCTCTTGGAAATGGTTTGCTGGCTTTCCAATACAGTCGAATTTGGAGACGTCATCATTAGTGTGATGAGTCCACAAGCTTCTCAAATACTAATAGAGCGCATTCTTCTGTACCGCACGGCATTCTTAGCTTCGGCTATTGCTGATACCTCCTAGTCACCTGTAGATCGCAATGCACCGTCCGTATATGCCTACATTGGCCGAGTGTTTATATTGTTCTTGTCTGCTTGCATTTTGTCCCCGTTTTGAATGCTACAAACAGGGAAAGCACCGGCACCGAATAAGAAACTTGGGGCACGCAAGGCTTTATTGCATGAAATATGTCGATATGGGGTGGCAATGAATATGGTAGGAGACCTAATGTCCTTCTATAAGACCATGCAGGTATTAATATAAGCTGTCCCTACGGCGAATGAAGAGAGGGTGGGCGGTTTCCTCGGCTTGGGCAATGGATCACTATCAGGCCGATACATAACCCTGTAATCAGGAGGAATCAGCCATCGTCACGGCGGGGCCAAGCCAATGGACGGGCACATTGCCGAGTATTACCTCTTGGATATGGCTGGTAGTCTAGTCTTGTAGAGGAGAAAGCAACGAACGCAGGTGACTATTTGGTAGTAGGATGTTGTCAAATCTCGTGTTTTCTTTTCTCATTCAAGTCTCTTTACATGCAATTTCATATCTGATTAGCCCCACGGACCCAGTTTCCTCGGGTACGATAGTACTAAGAAGTTGGTGAGAAGCCAAAGATGATAGGTACTACCCAGCCGCACTTGCTCCGCACCCAAGAATCCCGTCTTCACTATCAGTGTTTCGGGTATTTTTGATATCCGGAATGCGAGATTTAAACAGGTCACAGGCACCTCGCCAGAAAGATCCCACCCTTGATGATATCAATTCTCTGCTCCTGATTTCCCGACCTGGATTGTCGCCCGGGAGTGGAGGGACTGTAGCCCCTGGCTGTAAAGACCTGTTAGTTCCTCACCCACAAAAAAAAAAAAAAAAAAAAAAAAACTGTCATAGTCAAATGAGAACCTACTTTGGTCATGATGTGCGGATCTATCGTGTTCCCGATCATTTTGGAGCACATAAAACTCGCCAGGATGTCCATGCTCGCAATGGCTGCATCTCCGTTCACGAAGCTAAGGAAATCGGACTTTCGAATGACGAGCCCTCTATAATCATAGTGGGCCTCTAGAATTCTGAGCTTGAATCCGGGAAAGACGCTTATGACCATTACCTAGGTTTTGAGTAAGTTTCAAGAGTTTTTCGGAGAACAATGACTGGAAGCCGACCCGAAGATCCCACTTACAGGAATGACATTGTGGTTGAGACATTCATCACCCTCAAGCCTAGACAACATCACCGTCAAGATGACTACTGCCTCGTATCTGGAAAGCCTCTCATCTGCGTCAGACTTTGTAAGCGTTGCGAGCAGGGTGTGGGGCCGGTTGAGCTGATTCCTAGCTATATAACCGAAGTATAGCATTGACCCACGCGATCCGTAAAGTGGGCCTTCGAATTCTTCGGCGCCGAGCTCCGGTATAATATCCCCGCTTGAGATAGGTTTGTCAGCTCCAGAACAGTTTTCAAAGTTGTACACACCCATGGTTTCCCCGGGCAGAGAATGCTCACCATTCGATCCACTTTGCGTAATCCGACAGCGTATTCGACCACCCATACTCTGATTCAAAATCGCGTGCGCTTGTACAAAGAATGTTTTCAATACGGTACATCAACATATAGATTTGATCTGTCACCGTTGGTGGTCGCGGGGTGGGTTTGTCCCAATTTTCGAAGATCTCCTTGACAAGCTTTTGGCCCTGATCTTGGGTAGGGTGAGGTTGGGGGACATTATGCGTTCCAAGAGGTTCAAAAAAGACTGGCGAGAGCTCATCCTGATTAGTTCCTCTTTTCGAGATGTGCAGATCCTCACAAATGACACCGAGAGTTTCTTGAATATTAGGCTCGATCCACGCGGCTTCATGGTTCGCAACTGCTTCGAAGGTCTCACTCATTTTATTTATCACAAGGGCGCGTACTTCTTGGTGCCTGACTTGGTCTTGGGTAGAACGACCGAACAAGAAACGAAGGTGTCCAGCCATTTTGTCGTAATTGCTGGTTTCGGATCTGTCTTTGGCTAAGGGAAAGATATATCAGCTTGGACTTCGGGTTCAAGAGGGCGTTACGAAGACAAGGAATAATCTAATGATTTCATTTAAGAATGAGGGGACTGGGGGGTTCAGATTTTGTCAATAGGAGGTGAATGCTCACTGTCACATAATAAGCACATTGTGCAACAACGCATTGGTGTCACCCAAACCAATAAAGGTGGGCTCCGGATAGGAGGTATCAGTCACTGTTAGTAGAGTCCAACAACTGAGAATGCTGTCACAAATCTGAAAAAGAGGTGATAGTCACAGACTTGGACCTCTCCAACGGGCCTACCATCCTAATAAATACCAATTTAAAGAAACCATGGGTGGCGGAATGACCCATAGTTCTGTCAATGGCCTTGCACCATTTTTACATGGGGAGCCAATGCATGAGAGCTTCGGCAAAGTTCATCGTTCCCAGAACACGAAGAGAATATGTGAATAGAATTTGTCATCTATCTATCTCTCCCACCCAGATACTGTGGAACTACCCTTCTAAATGCGTTAACAATTCACAATGGGGATTAATGATTAACTAACGGACTGGACACAGATAGTAAGAAGTTCCAAACCTAAATGTCAATGCGGAGAAAACCCCGAAAGTCGTACGGATTCCCCCGCGCGCCGGGAATCTTTCCGACCTCCAATTAATATTCCTCGGTCTCTTCCAGACATTGATTACGATCAAGGCCAAAACAATTTAAACGCCACGAAGCAAAGTCGCAGCTACTACGATTGACCACAGATTAACCTTTCATTTTCTAGTGGCCATATTTATCCATACAACAAAATGGAATACCAACGCCTCGGCAAAAGCGGCCTCAAGACCTCCAAAATCATCCTCGGATGCATGACCTTTGGCAATCCCGCATGGGAAGGCAGTCCCTGGGTGCTCCCTGAAGACGAAGCGCTCCCCTTACTCAAGAAAGCCTTTGACAGCGGGATCAACACTTGGGACACAGCGAACACTTACTCCAACGGGACATCAGAGATCCTAATCGGAAAAGTCTTAACTAAATACAACATCCCACGAAGCAGGGTAGTGATTATGACGAAGCTATACTATCCAGTCTTCGACCCTGATTCCCCATCGAGACCTAATCCCGCAATCAACCACGGTGAGCTAGTGAATCAGATGGGCCTAAGTCGAAAACACATCTTCGACGCGGTTGAAGGGTCACTCGCGCGCCTGAACACGACGTATATCGATGTTCTGCAACTACACCGACTGGACGATACAGAACCAGAGGAAATCATGTGTGCACTGCATGATCTCGTCCGAATGGGCAAGGTTCATTATCTGGGTGCGTCAAGCATGTACTGTTGGCAGCTGGCGAGGTTGCAGTATGCAGCGAAGATGAATAATTGGACGACGTTTACTAGTATGCAGGGGCTTTGGAACTTGCTTTATCGGGAGGAGGAGCGAGAGGTTAATGCGTTTTGTAGGGCTGAGGGGATTGGGTTGATTCCTTGGAGTCCATTGGCTCGTGGGTTGTTGGCTAGGCCGTGGAATGCGCAGACGTATCGGTCTAGTCAGGATAAAAAGACGGTTAAGTGGTTCTCAGGGACACAGAATGAGGTTATTGTTTCACGGGTGGAGAAGTTGGCGAAATCGAAAGGGTGCAGTATGAGTGCTATTGCTATTGCGTGGTTGTTGAAGAAGGGGGCGTGTCCGATTGTCGGGTTGAATAGCATGGAGAGGATAGAGTCGGCGGCCGAGGCATTGGGTGTTCAATTGTCCGATGAAGATGTTAGGTTACTTGAGGAAGAGTATAGACCTCTTCCTGTCGAGGCTATATAGTTACATTAGATGAAGGGGTGTTTATAGTCTGTGCGCTTTGTTTGGACCGATATACAGGTAGACCGTCCTTGTTATCGTGTGCCGATGCAAGAAGTGGGAAGGTATTACGAGCTTTTTGGACATATAAATCATTGTAATCAATTTTAAATACCGAGCTTCTGCCTAACATAGCTATGGCATGAAATTCGACACCAAATCTGGAAAGGTAAATTCTCCCATATCCGTAAACAAGAAATCGTCAACTGGAGCCTCACTCGAACCCAACGAAAAAATATTGTTCATAGATCCCAAGGACTGAGTTGAGGGTCCAGGACCTCCAGTAATTCCCGCATGCTGAACAGCAGTAGACAAAGTGTTGCCAGTATGGCTATTTTCGGACAGACTACCCAGTCCCAGCATAGTGACCGTCTCGGAGAGCTTTCGATTCAGCCCAGGAGCCATCCGGCGGAGTGGGTGATATGCAATGCAAGCTATGTTGCGAAAGACGCCTAAGACCGCATTAATCAGATGAAGATCTCCAGGTAGATCAATGTTCAATTGCACATGATGATTGTGACATATCTCCAGTAACAAGTGACCGGCAAATGCAATCATTACATGGAAATAATGTGGCATGCCGACGAGATTCTCGCTCATATGGGGATCATTTAGAATCATCTCAAAGATGGTGACCGTCGCCTCATGAGCCATGTGAGCCGCAGACAGGAAGTGCATGGGGATAGGGTTGCCACGGAGCCCCTTGAACACTTGGTGGCCAAGGTAGAGTCTCCCAAATTGATAGTGCAACTCCAGCCCTCTTCTCGGGAATTCCCCGATATGCGCATTTGTGACGAAGAGGGCGGAGAATCGAGTGAACCATCTGTCAAGTTGTCGAGAGTAGTTGCTGATCTGATGAGTAAGGGCCGATGGCAGCTGCATCTCCTTGTCAGACCCTAGAACATCTCGAACTTGACCCATTATTAATAGCAGCGACACCTGCGACAGAATTCGTACGTCTGACTCAGTTGCCTCTACTCGATGTAGGTATGCCTCCCAGCTCACCGCAATGTCCTTATCGTTCCGCAGAAGAGAGTCGCGATTATGAAGGATGGAGAGATGCTGATCGCAGACGAATAATAGATACCATAGACGAATGCTATCTGCCGCAACTATTGGCGATGAGGATGATGGAGAAGAATACTCGGGCGGATGAGCGCCAAGAAGAGAGTCGAAACTGCGATGGAGACGCATATCGGCGGCTCGACGGATGCCATCGCTAGACAAGATCCGCGATGCGTCTGCGAGCCAAAAAGAGGCAATACATAAGGCTCGTAAATATTCGACGTCACGCTTTTCAAAGAGAGACCGCGCGACCTGGGAGCGAAACTCGCGGTTACACGCTTCGTATGTTTCCTGGTCGTGAGGGTCATGGAGAGCTGACACAGTGCATATGGCAGTGAGAAGTGTCGGCGAATCCTTGCGTAGATGGTCTAAGTCCCGATTCTCACCACAGATCCCATAGAGAAAGTGATCTAGGCGGGAGTAGTAGCGGTGCAGTAGTTTTTCTGCCGTTTCAAGGGTGATGATGCCTTTACTAATGAGATCCGCTCGCCCATTGGCGCGAGTGACACCTGGTGGAATCTTGGCGGAGTTTGGGGTCCCATGTTTGGCGATGTCCAGGAATGTATCAATAGGAGCCTGCACCGCAGTGGGGGACTCTGGTGGGGATACTTCGCATCCTTCCGTTGGACCAGCGTCACATTCACCGTCTAGCCTGATGCTTTCTCCGGTGGCTCTTTGCTCATTCCCTGAAATTAAAAGGGGCCTTGGGCGTTGGATATCTAAATTCTGGCAGATGTAGTCGATGGTTTGATGCAGATTCTGTACATCGGTGCGCAAATGCTCGACATTTCTGCAAAGCGTACATATTAGCCCAAATATGTTCGGATTGAATAGAGAGACAACCCACTTGGTATCTTCAACGAGAGACTGAAGACTCCGATTCAGCACACAAGATAATGATCGCCGGCGACATCGAACGCAAGGTGGACCATTTTCTGGCATATCACATTTTGTCTGTCGGCTTGGATATTAGATTGAGCAATGGAATCTCTTCACACCGAAGTTTCACCTTGTTTTTCCGACAGGCTACACATGCAGTGACCTTTCGGGTGATACTAGGCAAGACATTGACCAGCGATGGTACTGCTGCAGGTTGTTGCGGGCTTCTCTCCGACTCTTGACAGGAAGGCGATTCAGACCGACCGGGATATTCCAGGGTGCCTTGCTGCTGTCGGGAGCTGGCCGAAGCTGGCGTAAGGGAGCGAGCGATCTCTTCCCTGTGGCTGTCCGCTTCCGTTGTGGATGCCGGTCGCTTGCGCTTGACCATCTTGAATTGTCGTGCTTTTGATATCGCAAACATTTCATTTGCCTGATGTTTGTGAACGTTGTTGGGCGGTCAGTTTGCTTACCCCGCATTGTCGGTTATTGTCCATCCCGGTCTTGTCGGGAGAAGCCCGAGTGTTTGGTATAAAGACACTAGCAGTTTCCAGTACCGAACAAAATGTCGAGTCACAACTATGACTTCAGCAGTTCCACCAAAGAGCAAACCGCTGCCTCCGGGCATATATTGCCCAGTAATCTCTCTGTTCAAAGGGACACCGCGGCAGGAGATCGACTACGATGCTTCGTACAAGTTCTTCACTCATCTCATCCGGAGTGGGATCCACGGAATCGTCCTCGCTGGCACAAATGCCGAGGCGGTTCTGCTTTCACCAACTGAGCGACAGGAGTTGGTGAGAACTGCTCGACGGGCGGCTGTGGATTTGGGATTTGATGAATATCCTGTGGTGGCGGGGATTAGTGGGCAATCAACGAACGAGTCTCTTCGCCTCGCCGAAGACGCTCGTGAGGCAGGAGCAGACTTTGGGCTACTTCTGCCGCCCAGCTACTGGCCTAAAGCAGTCACGAAAGACGTCATTCTGGACTTTTACACTGAGGTCGCAGACAGTAACATTCTCCCAATCGTCATCTACAGCGTAAGCCCTCTTTCCACATATGATGCATGCATGAATTTTGGCTGAATTAGGACCATAGTTTCCTGCTGTCTGCAATGGCGTGGACATGAACTCGGATGTCATGTCAGCCTTGGCTCAGCATCCCAACATCGTCGGGGTCAAATTGACATGTGGTAATGCTGGCAAGGTTACTCGGTTAACTCAGGAATATACACATGAACAATTTGGGGTATATGCTGGCTCATCTGACTGGCTCATCCCTTGTCTCAGCGGGGGCGGATCAGGTTGCGTGACAGGAATTGCCAATGTTTTCCCAAAGTCAACCGCCAAGTTATTTTCTCTGTGGAAGGCTGGGCAAATTGAAGAAGCGCGAAAGTTACAGGGTCTGATATCACAGGCCGAAAAGGCCTGCAAGGAAGGAATTGCGCCTACCAAATTTGCCGCGGCACACTTTGCCGGACCCGTCGCAGGAGTGACGGACCAAGCAGCATTCCTCCCCCGAAAGCCATATAAAGCGTCATCACCGGCAACGCAGGAATGGGTAATCGGTGTGATGAAGCATCTTGTGGATATTGAGAATTCTTTGCCAGATGTGCGAGCGGAGTGAACATATATGTTACAATAGAAAGATCCTATTTTATATCTCTATACTTTTTCATTTCACTGAGAATGCCGTGACTATATAGGAGTAAATGTAAATAGTGGAGTACAGTCTCGTCTATGTAGTCTCTTCCTAGATCTCTACGAAAACCTCGTCAAACATTATACTCATTAGAGGAAGTACCTCGAATGTGTTCATGTGGGCGTGTCTCATGGACTCAGACTCCCGCTCTGAATAAGTAAATCTTGATTTTAACCTCTCACACCGCAGGAATATCCACTATACTGACAGATCGTCTATTTGAATACAACCCCTTGACAATGCCAACCAACCAGCTAGTATCCGTTGAACGATTTTCTGGCATCATATTCGCGACCCAGATCTCGCCACCCCAGTACAGTCGTGACAAGGGGTTTGATTACATCGCTCGGTGGGACTTGTGGGGTAAAAGAAGCGTCGATGAAGCTGCCTCCGGTCGTCGTATCTGCCCTCTCCCTAGAGCATTCTGGTGCCCGATGGGCGCCATGAGCAAACACGGATTTCCAACAGTTGGTAATGTCCTTCCTCGATCTGCAGTAGTACCGATGATTGATGTCTTGTGGTTGTACGTCGATGAGAATTATTCTGGGTTTTCGGCCACCCTTGGCAACCTGTGTCGCGCTATTCATAACAAACTAGGATCACCGCGTCTCCGATGGGGCCGAGAAGCCAGCAAAATTACCCCCGAGCCCAGGACTTCCATGTTTGCGATATTGGTGGGTAAGCTCGTAAATACAGAGGTTCTTCTACTGGCAGCCCATGTGTGTGTCTAACGCGCTTTCAGAATGGAGGATCGTGCCAGATAAAAATACCTTACACCAGATCGACCAGCTGGTAGACGCCGCAGTTATCAAAGGACGTGGTGTGATCCAGAGACGAGGTCCAGGATTAGACCGCTATTGCGCTTCGCTTTCCATGAATCAGCCCAGTCAACTAGAACTTCTGTCAATCTCCGTCCCAAATGATGAATGCCACAAGGATATCTTGTGGCATGCCTACCATAGATTTAAATGGTAAACTATCAACGAATTTGAATTTGTCGCAGATACCATGCGTTTCATCACTCTCCCCCGTATTTTTCTTTTCTTCTTTCCACTTCTCCTTCCAGCGTGTCTTATTTATTCGCCATTCTTCATCTCGCCTTCATTAACCAATATCTACGCTTATCGCATTCATTGAGAACCTCTGGCTAACTATGCTAAAACCACATCCATACAGGACCATGTCCTCACCTGCTGCCCAAGAGGGTATATATGTGCGACAATTACCCACTGCAGCCGCCGAGCCCCTCCGCCATGGCTTCCACGAGACTGTATCTAGTCCGCTACACAGCTCATCTGCAAACACAATTCGCTTCTCTGCTAGTACTGCTTGGTTGAGTGCGGAGGCCCGTGAGGAATGGTACGCCGGTTTTGCGGACCAAGCAATAAGCTGTTATGAACGCCTGGGTTATATCATTGCTTGGTTTCAGACTGTGGCACTGGCCGCGGAATGCTTTGTTATTGACCTGGAACCAATAGGTCGGACTTTTGATGATTGGTAAAAGTATTAACAGTCTCAAAATTCCGAAGCAGTGCATTAGGACATGTCTTCAGACGCGACATTTGCTTCAGTCTTTGTGAAACATTCTAAAGTATTGAGGCCAGTAGAGAAATCGACTAAGCTTACTATCTCATTGTTCTACTTTGTAGCCACGAAGATGACACTTTGATCTGCGGTGGGATAAGTACGATTCCAAGTTGTGAAAAGCACTGCTGTTACTTTGCCAGTCACACTTCATTCAGTCGCATAGTAGGGACTGAATCAGGTCGAGGAGTACCTAATGGCTGCTCTACACGATTCAGAAAAATATTGCCACTAAATACCCGTGAAATAGTCTCACCGTTACAAAAGCGAATTCACAATTAAAAAACTCGAAACATTGTATTCGCATCGTCTATCCTGCGTATCTAAGTCCAGTCGGTATCCTTCCAAAGACCGTGACAACCATCTAGCCGAAACCTATTCGAAGAAGTCCTCCTTGAACTGGACATACTTGATCCGTTGTCGCCAAAAGGTATAAGCAACGTGGATTATTCCCTCAGCACAAACCATGCTTGGATACGACAGCTCCCGGTTCAGCTTTTTCTCGCTGTTGTTCGTCAAGTAATACCCATCCCCATCCTCCAGTATTCGATGCTTCCATGTCTTCCCCTTATCATCACTCCAGGCAACACACAAGGGAGCCCGTGGTGACCCCCAAAACGACTCCCTGCCGTCCTTCGCTGACGCCTGATTTCTTCTTTCGTCTACCCCATCAGCGATATCGTCATACAAGCCCTGTCTCCTCCCTAAAGCATCAAGCTTAGATGAATGATTATACACCAATACTACTCTTCCGGACGGTAGCACATCAAAACAAATGCCTGCATTTGGATTTGGAAGCGACGTCGGTTGCGGAGCACTCCAGACTACACCGTCTGGCGAGGTAGCTAGGTAGACGTTATCAGCCCAGCGACTGCGAAACATGCCCAAATACGATCCGTCCTTCAACCGTTGGATCTCCATATGCACGCATCCCGTGCTTTCAGGGATCTCCGATTCAGTCCAGGTGCGACCCTGATCCCTTGACACCCGGATGCAGGAAATATCATCGTTTCCCAACCATCGCTCCCCCGGCTGCACACGACACTTGAAGACGGGAACTACCCAAGCTCCATCCTCGAGGACGACCACTGGCTGCCGGATAAAGGTACCGGTGTCGTGAAACAAGACCTTTTCATCGCCCCATGTCGCGCCGCTATCCGTTGACACCCGATACTTTACAATGGCTGTATCCTGGTCACCAGAATGTTGGGAGGTGTAAAGAAGCCACAGCTCTCCGGTAGGTGCGTGAAAGAGAACAGGATTCTGCTCGCTACGGGTGTCGTCATGGGTCATCTTCGACGCTTCCGTCCACTCGCTCTCCCCGCACCTTAGCCGAGAGAGATAGATGCTGATGTCGGGCTTTCCTTCTAGACTGCCTCCAAACCAGGCACAAAACAGGTCGCCATTCGGCATTCGGAGTAGATTGGATGCATGACTCTGTACTGTGGGCGCAGGTAGGTATGCCTCGCGGTAGAAGTAGGGTTTCTCCACGGAACGAATCAAACTGTCCGAAGGGAATGTGGAAGCCATTGTGAACAAAATCCAGTTTGACCTTCGGTTTGTAAGTGAATTGCTCCCATACCCTGGCTAAATCTGCCTGCTCTTATTTCAAGTGCTCCACTGTTATGTCATAATCAAAGAATTTTGATTGGCCAATCTCCATAAAGGACGCGCACTTTTCGGGCCAGCGCCGACAAGCTCTCAACGCTCGGAGGACAGTCCGACGATCGCCTGCAGCGAACAGCTTGCACTGATCTCCGCATTTACCCCAGATTCAGTGCAGCTGTCACTATGGGGTGTTGCAGATCACCCCAAAACAGTCCAAGATGGGCCGTGATCATGCGTAACTTCCCCGCCATATAATGGAGCACATTTTCGACCGCAACCAGGGTGTATCTCATCCTATGTGGGGAGAGTCGTATCTTGGCTGCCACACTGACCAAGGGCCAAAATTACTGTTATTGCATGTTCAAGTGCCCAAACGTGTTATCATTTAATTGTTGCTTTAATTCTCAAATTACATCTCAATGGCTGGAGGTACCAGCATCTGGGCAAGCCAGGAGGCCAGAACGGATCCTAGGCAAATCTTCAATGGAAGACTAGTCTATCTTCTGATCACTCTTGCCTGGGCAGGCTGGTTCTATGGATTTGACACGGGAAATATCGGGGGCATCCTTACATTACCCTCATTTGAACATGCATTCGGACTAGACAAGTTGTCCACGGCAGAGCTTGATAGTCGCAAGGTACCAAATTTGCATACATTTCCAATACAAGGAAAAATATTGACAGGTATAGGGAACCATCGCAGCGATGCTCGCAGCCGGTGGCTCAGCTGGCTCCCTCTGTGCAGCCCCAACCGCCGATTTCCTAGGCCGCAAGTGGTCTGTTTTCCTATGGGGATTTGTGTTCGTCATCGGTGGTGTAATGCAAATGATTGCCGACTATAAAGTACTCATTGCCGGTCGCTTCATCGGCGGGATGGGAGTTGGGGCCAGTTCCATGCTGTCGCCACAATTTCTGGCGGAGAACTCACCAAAATCAGTGAGAGGATCAGCAACAGCCATGTACAACCTGATGATTCTAGCGGGCTTAATGGTCGCCTTCTGGATCAACTACGGAGTTTCCTTGTGGTCATTCCCTGGTGTTGAGCATGACAATACTCAATGGAGAACGGCAATGGGGATCCAACTGATTCCTGGGGTCTTGATGTGCCTGATGATTCCTTTTGTTCCAGAAACGCCGCGTTATCTGATCAACCATGGAAAGGAAGAGCAGGGGCTGAAGAATCTATGTCGACTGAGGAAGCTTCCTGCTGACCATCCTTACATCCAGACGGAATATCAGGAAATTGTGGCCCAGGTCAGATTCGAGCAAGAATGCCATCAGGGACACAGCTACTGGGTCGTTCTTCAAGATATCATTTTCATCAAGAGCAATGCCCGACGATTTTTTCTTGCGGTTATGCTGTTCCTCTTCCACAAATTCACTGGCACTGACTCTTTGAATGTGAGTGCGGAGAGTCTAGCATCATCCTTGACACGGAGTATGCTAACGCAACACACAATAGTACTATGCCCCTGAGATTTTCGAACTCATCGGCGTCAACGGAACGTCAAATAGCCTCCTTACTACAGGCGTCTACGGGGTCGTCAAATTCGTCGTAACGATCTTCTACGTCACCTACCTAGTCGATCGTGTCGGTCGTCGTCGGCCACTTCTCGTCGGTGCCGTCCTCCAGGCAACCGCCATGCTCTACCTCGCCCTCTACCTCCGCTTCGCAGGGACCAATACCAGCACCGTCGGCGGAACACCAGCTGGTGGCATTGTCGGAATAGTCTGGATTTATATTTATGCCTTTGGATGGTCTTTCGGACACAGTGTGGCGTGCTACATTGTGGCGGCCGAGATATTCCCGACCAGAATCGTATGTACACTTCGCTTAGATCTATTGTGTATATCTTCGCTAACGGCCTAGCAGAGATCAGTCTGTATGGGCTTCTGCTTCTTCGTCAACTGGATCGTTGACTATGGTATCACCCGAGCTACACCAGACATGATCACGAACATGGGGTGGGGTGTGTTCCTCCTGTATGCTATGCTGACTTATTCTGGTGTGGTGTTTATATACTTTTGTCTGCCGGAATTGAAAGGAAGGTCTATCGAGAGTATTGATGACTTGTTCCAGAGACCGTTGTGGACTATGTGGCGACACGCGTATCCCACCGAAGAGGAAAAAGTGCGGCAGGGAATTCCACAAGTAGCTAAGGGGCAGACGAATGATGAAGGGGATAAGCAATCTGTGGATCATGTTGAACGTGTCTAGTTTGTTTTATTGCCTATAGGCGATTTTCACATTTTGCATCGGATTCTAGCTAGGGTGCTTTTATTGATATCATTCTGATACAGATGCGTCATACTGTTAAGCTGCTTTCCATATTGTGCTGAGGTCGACACATGTTATGGAGACACATATCACTATCCTTTAGCACCTTAATACATATTTGAACTTCAACCCTCGCTACGTCAAGTATACGATGAGATGCCCCTACTCAAACATTTCCAATACACAGCATGAAGCGCACTCTTAGCTTTGTTTTCTGTTAACCTCTCCTAAGGCTTTAATAATTGCCGGGTGATTTTTTGCGGAGTAGGAATTGGTGACGTATTAGTCGATAGTGGTTTATTTGTCCGGCAACGAACAAACCAGAAATGCTGAAAAGTACAAGGGAATATCGCAGTACTGGCAGAGCCTCTTTTCAGCAGACTAAATCTCATTTCTCACCACTACTAACACAGGAGTACAGGGTTTCTTCCAGCCCAAGTATTCGAACAGGATATGGGGGTCTCAAATCTGTTATGCTATAATTTTCCTATAATCTCAAGCCAATTAAGCTGTATACTTCTATAACACATGCTTCAATGCTGATATAGGCAGATAGTACTGTTTTTTATAGAACAACAGATTAGAGACCCCGAATTCTAGTTCTAGGAAAACTAACCTACACTCCAAACTCACCCTGGATTCCAGAGAACTACCAACTGACCCACCCAGCTTCGGCCCCACGACATGGCCACACGCGTAGCCCTCCGTTGCGAGCGAACCCAAAAATTCATCCGGCGTTTTGACTACTTCCACAATTGAGATATCACCTATATCGTCAACAAGTCCGCCTTCTTCAACAACCTTGTTGTTCTTTCCATAATGTAAAATATGAAAAAGCTATCAGTGCAAATTCCCAGATAGCTCTATCTTGCCGACCTATTTTTCTGTGGGCTTAACTGAGCATGGCTAAAACTCGTCAGTTCATAGCCCCCTCTTCTGCCCCCCTTTGTGTCAGAGATTAGTGCCGACGATCATCTGGGATAAAATGTGACAAGCAGGTTCATTGACTTCTGTGTTCGCACCTACACTGTGGTCTCGACAAGATTTCCTAAGCTTTGGTTGGACCTTGTGCATTGACAGGGCCACAACACGGCCGGGTCCGGGCCTTTGATCCTGCTTCATCCCGAGCCCCCGAGCACCCTGGAGAACGTACAGGTCCTGCCCCTAGAAGTGACAGACTCCGACACAATCGCTGACGCCGTCCGCGCGGTAAGAAAGCATGGCCAGGGGTTGGCTTGGTTATCTTGGTCAACAATGCCGGGACGGGGTACGCCATGCCACTATCAGAGGTGGACTTGGATCGCGCGAAGGCAGTGTATAACGCTAACGTGTGGGGCTTACTTCGGCTAGTTCGGGCATACAGTGATCTACTCGTTGCGGCCAAGGGGAGGATGGTTAATATGAGTAGTGTGGGGGCGGTGGTTGATACGCCTTGGATTGGTTCGTTCTTTTTCCCCTTTCGAGGAGATTTGCATAGGTGGAATCAACTAAACGTACAAACAGAGATCTATTCCTCCTCCAAAGCCGCAGTCACCCAGTTCTCCAAGACTCTCCGTCTCGAATGTCTCGCCCCTGGGAGTCAGCGTGCTCTGATTCATGGCGGGTACTATTACCACTGCGTTTCATGCGAATGAACCACAAGTCGTCTTGCTGCCGACCTTCTGGTATGCAGCTATTCGACAACCAATTTCGGATTGGGCGACTGGATGGGCTGGCCCCCAAGGCGGTTCGGCGGATGAGTTCGCTAACTTGATTGCCGGCGATGTTCTGGGAAGCAGTAGTGCTAATGGGGGGTTGGTGTGGAAAGGTCCGAATAGTGCCGCTGTTAAGTTTATGGCGAGGTGGTGTCCGGGGCGGTTGTTGGTGAGTTCCTGTTTAATTGATTCTTTGTCTCCTCTTCCGGGTCGTCCCGGGTCCCCAACCGTGTTGGTCGTTTGATTGGTTGCTAACTAGAGCCCTAACTAGGATCGCTTGATGAGTAATGGGCAGGGGTTGGATGAGTTGGTGAAGACCACAAACAAGAACTGAATGATAGTATTGTAACACGGAAGAGAGTGTGTGGGGGGGAGATTGTGTAAGGCAATCAATAGTGGAAAGCAAGAACCATCAGATAGCCAAGATTGAAATTTACTACCTAAAGCATCGGTCAAATACATACGAATCCACGTCACTGCGGAATCTTAAACCCTCCCGGCACCAATCTCTGAAACACTCCCGTGGGATCGACTTCCCGGCTGATCTGCCGCAAACGCGCGACATTCTCCGGCCCATAACTGGCGATCGGATCCTGCCACTGTGCCGCGTAGTTCAAATAGACAAATGGATGATATGCATTCAACTCATGTGCATCCGCCTCAATACCTGCAAACAGTGATTTAGCAGTTTCCTCCACGCGTGTGTCATCGGCCGCATTATCCCAGGTGGCGCTCAGTAGAGTAACCACGAGTGCTTTCTCGGAGTCAGACGGCAGTCCCATTACATTGTGCCCCTTAGGCGCCCGCGCGTAGATTGCAGCGGGTAGTGGCTCCAGGGATATTGACCACACGATGCCCGGCACATCTTGCACGGCTGCCAGACTGGTATTCCACCGGACATAGGTCGCTTTCAACATGGGCACGGTCGCGTCGTGAGTCGTCACTACGCTTAGCTGTCTGTTTGCGTTGTCATGGATTAGCATTGGAGGATTCGTAGGAGAACAGCATGACATAGATCGGAGAAGGGAGTGGAGAGGATGTAGAGACAGAGTAATAGACAAATCCTTACCGTTTCCCGTTTTGTGAAAAGGACCCTTGCTCCAGGGATATCTCGTGTACCGGGGCTACACGCACAGTGCTGAATAACTGCGGGATATCAAAGAAGGAATTGTACACAGCTGGTGGGGATGGTGGCTGCTGGCTATCTTCATTCTTCTTGGCCTTCTCCAGCTTCCCAGTATACACAATGCTGTTCACCACAGCGGCGCCCTTGCCTCCCGCAAATCCAAAACTGGTGATCAACGAGGCGTTCTCATCATAGTGGCTCACTGCTTTGGGATCAGCCAGCTCCGCAAACGCGCGTAGTTGGGCATCGATGGTGTCTGTGCTGCAATAGACAGACCCGCCATAGATAGGACCCTGCGGGAAGACCCGCAGATAAAAGCCTGTTATAATCCCAAAGTTACTGTTCCCACCCCCGCGCAGCGCTGCCAGCCACTCTGGATGATGTGTTTCCTCATCCCAATGCGCAATCGTCCCATTGGCCAAAACTATCTCCACGCCGACCATGCTATCGCACGTCCACCCGTAACGGGGTGAGAAATACGACATGCCGCCCCCGAGCGTCAGTCCGCCAACCCCGACCTGGGCGGCGCGGCCGCCCGCTACCGAGAGACCCAGCGGGTCGAGGTGGGCATAGACATCTCCCCATGTAGCACCTGCTCCGACGAAGACGGTCTGTTTATTACCATTGTCCGCGGACGGAGCCAGGACCTTGATGGTGTTGAGAGCGCGCAGGTCAATGGTGATGCCGTGCTGGATGTTCGACGCTCCCCCGAAAGAGTTGTGCCCGCCGGACCGGATGGCAAATTGGCATCTGGCTTGCTCGTGCGCGGGCAGAGCTGACGCGGTTGTCACCAGACTGGTAATAACTTTGGACACATCTTCAGCTGAGTCCGGGGACACCACGCAGGACGGCTGCAGATCGCTGTTTTGCTGGGCAAAATACGACTTTTGGGACGCTTCATATGCAGTCGTGTTCGGGAAGGAGATCTTGTCTGACCCTAAAGTTGAGGCTAGATTGAGGAGCTGCACACATTGCAGAGTTAGACTCTCGTGTCTGCACCGGTTTCAGGGCTAAACGCACGCATGCTTCCAGCGGGGAATTGCTAGCCATGGGAGGAGCATGGCTGCCATTGAGGGGTAGTTGTTCCATGGTGAGGTCAGGACGATACGGGTGAAGATGATACGAGGAATGGGCTGAGAAACGAATGGGGGAAGATTGAGAAGAAAGAAAAACGGGAAGGAAAGGCGGACAATGAATGCGACAGGGCGCAGCGGGTTTTAATGGGTAGGCTCAGTGTTTAGTTTCTGCTAAATTAGTGCTGCGCTTAGTGCTGTACATGGGTGGTAAACCTTGAGACTTAGCGTTATCTACCGTCATTTCAACTCTAGGCAAAGATTGGTAGTTGCTTAAAGATGACTGCAGATCGTTTTCCTTTCACTCTGATTCATTCCCTTCCCTTTCACATATATCTCGTATATCTTATTCAATTCTAGCCTCTGTCTTCAGTAGCAGAAACATGATACTCTCAGCCCGCTGCCTGCATTGTTGAGGACTGGAAGTAGTATATCAACTCCTAAATGCCCTCTACCTAATATCCGGCCGCTTATTACCCCCCTTCAGCCCCTTCATGATAGATTCAACTTCATCGTCCGCCACATCAAGTATATGTTGAGGTGGATACATTGGCTCCCACCCTATCTTCCTTCCATGCTCAGCCGTAAACATACACCTAGTCTCACAATTAGCAGTGCCTCCAAGCGCCCCCCACCCCAAAGGCCATTACTTACCTCCCCCCAAGAAGCACCTGAACCTCATCTGGCGCAACACCAAGCGCCTCGCCCATCTTCGCCAGCACTTCATCATCAGCCTGCACAACATTTCCATCCTCAACCAATCCACGCTTCGCAAGCGCCTCAGCCATAGCACCGTAAACTTTATTCCAAGTAACACTGCCCGAAGAAGCAAGGAAGAAGCCATTCTTGCCGTGGCCAATTTCTTCCCCTGATAGTATCTTCCGGAGAATGTGCAGGTATAATCTTGCTGTATCAGCAATGTGGCATACAGGCCAGATCTGGATATTCACTGTTAGAATATATACATTCGAGTGGTGACTAGTACGGGGGATACATACGGGATCATCCATATCAACCTTATGAACCCGGCGCAGCTTTATCGCAGCACGAACAATATCAACATCTTGGATCGAAGTCTGGTTGCCGAACCCTTCCCCCTGGCCGTATACAAGACACGGGGCGAAGATGTAGCTCCGCACGCCGTGGGCTTCGGCTGTGTCGATGATAGTCGCGTTGGTGTTGGCGGACTATATATTCTTAGTGAGTATGATTTGCAAAAGCAGCATTTGAGTTACTTACTTCAGCTGCAAACTCATGCCTGGACTTCGCCGCCTTCTGAATATCGTACAGTCTCGGATCCGTATCTAACAGTGCCTGGTCGACTGAGACTCCCGCATGTCGACTGAACTGCTTAGAGCCAGTCGTATGTAGAAAGTGCACTTCTTTGCCTGTTCTCTTCTTGGCCTCCCCTAAGCCTTTGATGAATGCGGGCTGGTGCTTTGCGGAGTAAGCATCAATGAGGTAGTAGACAATGGTGATTTCTCTGTCGATGATAGTCTGAGTGATGGTCTTGTGATCGCTAACATTTAGTATGAGAGGTTCCGCGCCGTATAGCTTCTCTACCTGGTTACCTTGCTCTTCTGATCTGACCAAGGCGTATAGTTTGCCATATGATGGGAGGTTGGCGTTCTTCCAGCGTGCTAGGAGGGTGCCTCCTAGGTAGCCGGAGGCTCCGGTGATCAGGATGTTGTGGGACATTGGGTTCTGTGATGTGCAATTGAGGTCTCTGGGAGTTCAATCTTTCTAATTGTGCTCTTGCCTTGTCCGTTATCTGGGAAGGAAGAGAATGGTTCCAGCAAGTAGTTTATGTATGTCTGGATAGTATTAGATTAGTAACCGAATACACTCCATGTCGTCGCTGACGCGCTAACCGCTTATGGATTTTTCCTGCGATTCCTATTGGCCGAAGCTAGTCTCTCCACTTCCACTCATACTAGTACCGAAGTACAAGTCTTCCGGTTGGTTTACGCCCTCATTGACAATTTGAAATCAAAAATGCATTTTGATCGTCTTCACAGACCTTCGAACGCTGTGATTAGCAATCATCCCATACTGGCGGGGTTGATGACTGTCGTGAACATATTATCCAGTCTCCATGCCCCATGACAGCCAATAGGAATCACGGGAACGCTCAGGTCGCAACGACCCTCGTACATTTCCTCTCACCACGTTATTGCCAGAAGTATAAAGGCCCGACAGAGAGTTCTCATCGCATATGAAGGTGCAAGTACATTATTCGACTCATCAGAGATTACATCAATTGTGTTTACCCCCTTGCAGATTCCCACATCCATACCATGCAACATTACATCTCCCACTTCGACGGCATTGACGGCCTCAAGAAGGAAGATGTAACAATTCCATCACCCGGACCAGGAGAGGTCCTCGTCCAGATCCGTGCTATATCACTAAACTACCGCGATATGGAGGGTAGGCACCATCCCCTCCCCAAAACATCCCATGCACTTAATAACTAATTTCCCTGAACCCAGTGATCAACGGCGAATACAACCACCACCGCGCGATCAAGCAAGGTTCAAGCATAATCCCCTGTTCAGATATGTGTGGTGTGGTGCAAAGTGTCGGCCAAAATGTCGCCAAATGGAACGTCGGAGATCGCGTTGTTTCCTTATTCGTTCCAGATCATAAGACGGGAAAACTGACTGAGAGAGCACTCGCTACCAGTTTGGGCCTTCCCCAGCAAGGTGTGCTGGCAACGCATCGCGTGTTCGCGGAGGATGCGCTGGTCAAGGCACCCGAGCACATGAGTGACGAGGAAGCATGCACGCTTCCGATCGCGGGTGTTACGGCATGGATGGCGATTAATGGGACTCGGCCGTTAAGCCAGAATGGGGGTCGGGGGGAATATATCCTTCTTCAGGGAACGGGAGGTGTTAGTATTGCTGGGTTGCAGATTGCGAAAGCGTCTGGGGCGAAGGGTATGTTCACCTGCGCATTTATATTTGACTCTAGAGTTGACCCTGTGGGATAGTCATAATTACTTCGTCGTCCGATGAGAAACTAGCCAAGGCAAAGGATCTCGGAGCAGACTTTGGTATCAACTATCGTAACACACCGGAATGGGCTAATAAGGTTATGGAAGTCACGAACGGACATGGCGCGGATATTATTCTCGAAACGGGTGGTTCGCAAACGCTGAGCCAGAGCTTTGTGTGTGCTGCGTACGGTGGCCTGATTAACTGCATTGGATATACCTCTGGCAAGACTCAGGCTTCTGGAGAGCAGAAGAACGTTAATCTGCTCACTCTGAGTCGCAGCTTGACCTTAAAGGGATCAGTTAACGGACCGACGGATCGCTTCGAGGAGTTGATCAAATTTGGGGAGAGACATGAGATTCATCCTGTCATCTCCAAGGTCTTCCCTTTCAGCCAGGCGAGGGATGCTTTCAGGTATCTGGAAAGTGGCTCGCACTTTGGAAAGATTGTTATCCAGGTTTAGTGGGTGCACATGTCGTTTGGGTATCCGGCAGCAAACAACAGTCATTGATCCAATATACCCATTGATTGATTCAGAGGGCATCCTGTTTAATTTACGAACTGTAGCATGAGAAAGGTCTGTACGTAGCATAATTTTAGTTTCACTATAAGTGCTCGGATGTAGGGTCTGCAGAATCTCCGAACATAGGTATATGAGAAAAGTCCATGAAGGCTTCGTTGACTCCATCGCAATAGCTGGGCCAGATATCGGGATCAACGAGATCCGCCCAGGGCCAAAATAAATCATTACTTGTTTGGTTCTCTGGAAGTGACAAGATGGACTGATCGATGTTCGTATTTCGAACATCCATGTCCATGCTTATCGCATGAGATGGTTGAACCACCCGTTGCGTCAGACCATCATTTATCGACGGAGGTACACCTTTTGTGCTTTCGGACACACCACGCCGGAGATCAATATCCAGCATCATAGTCAACTTGTCGACCTTCTCACATAGGTGGCGTGTGAGACATGCTGCACGAACAGCGGCGTCATTTTGGGAACCCGCAAACTCGAACGTCTCCAAGGCTAGGTCGACGTAGCCGCGTGCCTCTGGACAGCGTGGACAGAATGGGAATGCCAATATAAAGCCCATGAGCGTCAGAACGGCATTCCACTGATATTGATAAAGTTCACAAGATCCATAGAATATGTCGTGCATGGTCATACAAGAGTAGACTGTGTGGATCGTTGCCAAGGCGTGTTTCAGAGCAGTTGCAGCATGTGCACCGGCAAGGGGATTTTCTCGGTTCATCGCCGGCTGACGAGGAAACTGGATAAAAACTCTATGCAGACTGATCATTGCGTCGTGGTATTGGAGCTCGAGCAAAGCCTCCGTTTGGATCTGGAGTGGCACTTTTTTCATATAGTCATTGTACTCATCGCCACCATCATCTCCTAGACCACAGAAATACTTTCGTGACACTGGTCCATCTTGAACGTCCAGTTGAAGATGCTTGAACCATGCGTTTTGCCGTAATTCATCTTTCCACACATGTAAATGACGCAAATTCTTTGTCAGAACGTTTGCCTGAAATTCAATGTCATGGCTTTCTCCTGCCTTTTCCTGATGTGTGTTTTCGTGATGTGCCATTGACTCAATAACAGCCAGTGCTGCACACGTAAGACGAATTGATTCATTATGATATGGGAAATGTACCGGACGGGGTGGATCATTCGACATCCAACATGGTGGCGAAGATCTATATATAGGAAGCTGCACACTGACAGGCTTCCCAAGGTGCCTTGAGCAGCGAAAGTCGAGATGGACTAAGGTCCACCATATACGAGAGTAGAGCTCCGCCTGCTCTCGAGAGACTTGAGGGGGCGGATTGCAGTCAAGGTCCAATGATCGAGCAATACGAACAGCGAGCCCGATCATGTTATAAGCCGCCTGATGTTGTCCAGCATCTAGTAAGTACAAGGTCATGATACAGTAGCACTGAAGGATTGGAAGTGAGGGCTTCGCAAACGTTGAATATTGCATCGCGCCAGTTAGACAACGTTGGAAATAAGGCATGCCAATCTTCTTTGAGCACCGATTGCTTCTTTTGAACTGCTTCCATTGCAATCCAAGTAATCGAGAATGGAGGCCTGAGTAGAAAATGTACTGCATAGTGTAGGCTGTTACAGCATCCCGCAGAGGTTGTGGATGGGAGCCGGTCAGCGTATCTTGGTCGGAAAGAGGGTGCTCTAGATCCTCTCGGCGAACAATTGGAACTTGTGGGAGTAACCGTGCCCAAAAAATCTCTAAAACACGATCGACCTGATCAGAGGATAAATCACACTCAACCACAGCTGTGCCATCTGTGTCATGGGGGGTAAAAGGAGATGAGTAAGGAGGAGGGTTCCCCGCCGAGGACCGCTGAGAGGTCAGTTGCGATACACCAGCGCAGAAGGTGTTTATGCGATCGATAAAGCCAAGTGTTGAATCCAAGCGATAGTTGATCGGCGCTGTGTCTGTGTCGTCGGGGCATGATATTATGCCTGCGCTGGATTTCTCCCTTCCCTTGACGGCACTGGTTTTCGGGGTCACAGGAAGTGAGGATGGGGACGCATTCATAGCAGCACCAGACCGATCAGATGGACTGGCGGAGCGCCTGAGACGACTACAGGGTATTTTGTTGACCACGCATTGATGGCAGGGAGCGACTGCGTCACACCGCACTCGATGCTCTCGACAGAAACGGCATGCACGGCGCACTTTGCGGCGCCTAGGCACTGAACCTGTAGTTGGAAAGGTATGTAGCATCGTTTTATTCAATGCGGCTCGAATAATCTGAAGGATGACGTTTTCTGAGCATTGCTGAGTTAGCGTCAAAAGTGGTCACTGGATGTTCTTTGCAGGCTAGATTGAAGATTAGTCACCAAGAAATCTCACGTGTCATTTGTCAGGTTATCGCCGCAGGGACGCTGAGCTGGCCTACAAGCGAATTCACGATTTATATCACTTCTCAAGCCTGACTTTCCTAATAGTCGATGCCAATGACGGAAGTATATACGACTCGGCTGCTCATGAGGCAGAGGGAAGAGAGATATAGACTCTCTAAAGTTGTCTGCACTTCTCGAGGGGGAAAGCTATTTATGAAACGCATTGCCTGCTCTTCCCCCCAGCCTCTTGTGTATGAGAGGACGATGCGTTCATCAGTTATGGGCGGGATGAACTGTCACATAGAAATTCTGTTTGCTGATGGAGTTCGGTGGTTGGCTCGAATTCGAAGATCTAACGCGACTTCACCATCACCCGACCTACGTGACTATATGCGCAGCGAGGTTGTGATTCTTTGATGTCTTGGCAGAACCAGGGTTTCTGCTCCGAAGGTATTCGACTATGCACTACCTGGCGAAACACAAGTTGGTATCGGGTACATTCACATGGAAAATCTCCCAGGGAAAGTCATTACGCTGGTCTCTGGCCTCTCCGGAGCATACGAAGAAGGTTATGACCCAACTAGCGGATGTATAAATTGAGTTGGAATGTTTTGCATCCAACCGTATGGGATCCATAGATGAACCAGGAGCTGATTATATTGCTTCCTTTGCCCGGGAATCCTTGACCGAATAATATGTCAACTCACAGATGATTTCCCTCGGGCCATACGATGATCCGAGAGACTATAGAGGCTAGCATTGAGCTCATTCTGGGGTTGTTATGAAAGGGGAAAGCTATGCAGAATACGACATAAATACACTTCTAGTCCATCAATTTCTTCCTGAATGCATCCCAATATTAATTGAACACCACAGCTTTCAAGACGGACGATTCGATCTATGGCATGCCAATGATAAATGAGATCATATCATTGTCGATGACGAATGAAATATCACTGGAATTGTCGATTTAGAATGGGCTGATACTGGCTCGAAAAATGAAGCCTTTAAATCGCAAGTGGTGCTTCTCCCAGTTGTGACATTTACGATGGAGTCAATATCGTTGGGGAGGAAGAATCCACCTTTGCAGATATACTCATGAAAAAAGGACTTGCAGAAATAGTAAGAAATGTGAGACTGCTTCATCGGTTCCAGTTTTGTGGCGAGTATGACTTTGCAGATTGCGAAGGTTCCTTGGGCCTTTTCCGAGGTCGGAATGCCTTGGACGTAGATGCAGATATAGGCTGGCAAGATTGGAAAGCGACTGCTCTGGAAAGAAATTCTGGTAATGAGCGTCGTCTCTGCTGAAGCAGGCAAGATAGAGTTTTCATCCTCCGTTATCAGGCGATTGCTTTTTTGAAGGGCATGAAAAAGTTGCAGAGAGCGTGTTTATACCTAGATACCGAGTGTACTTTTATCGTAATTGCAACTTCAAAGATAAATTCATAATAGCACATCACTAAAGCTACATATAAGAGCCCGTTGTGGTCAGCTATAGCCAAGAACCTCGCTCACATGGTATATCGAAAATAAATATTCTTCATATCCGTAACATCCTGCTCTCCCAGCTCCTTACCCCGTCGTTCCTGCTCCTCTTTGGAGATCCCCATGCTCAGTACAATGCGCTCCCTGCGTCGATTCTCCCACATATACCATCCTCTCCATAGAAGAATCACAATTGCCTGGAGAGCGAAACATACCGAGCAGGCCACCGTTCCTGACACATACCGGGGCGCATCTTTGGTCCTGAACACTTGCGCACCTGCCATATTCCCGGCGCAATACGCAATCAAAGTCATAGCAGAGACAACGGTTTGCTTGGTCTTTCCTGCGACATTGGAGGGGACTAGAAGGGGGGGGGGAAATGATTAGTGTTGTGCATAACATACGGGTAGGGAAAATGGAGTACGTACTCAAGCTCCAACCGAGAAAAATAGCCAGAGAAAAGACAACTGTCATGATGTACATCCCCCACTTAATCCACTTGTACTCAGGTGTGTTTGGAAGGAGCGACATCACCAGGAGTCCGATAAAGGGAATGATGCAGCTGGCGATCATTACCCACATGCGCTGGTTCTGGAACTTGCGGGTGTACAGGCCAACGATGAGGAAGACGACTACGTAGATAGCTGGAGCGACAGAGAGATTTAGCACTGATTTCTCAATTCAAAGATACTAATCGTACCGTTCCGGGGACAGCCGTAGAGCATGGATTGCCAGTCGTTAAAGCCAAATGTCTCGTACATGAGGGAGCTGAAAGTCGTGATGCCTCTGTGTTTAATTGCGAATTAATTACTGATCAGGTCAAAGAGGTACTGTGTGTAGACTGACCCGTTGGGGATATTTGCAAGGAAAGAATTGGCAAATGAAAAGTATAATTGAGGGTCTTTAAAGGCTTCATAGACTTGTGGCCAGGACCACTGTTTACCTGTAGTATCCTGGCCTGTCTGGTTCTTCAGTGTGCGGGCGGTTCTATGATAGTGAGTAGTCTGCTTTCGATAAATATGGGATGATAACTTACGCCATGCGTTTCTCATCATCATTCAACCACCGCACTTCATGCGGGCAACCGAGCAGGAAGAAGGCGGCTACTGCGCCGGCCAGGGTAATAGAGCCTAGAAATAAGGAGATGCATCGCCAAGCTGCTATACCGCCATGGGCTTCAACATGTCGCGCGATGGCGTACAAGATCAGGTTGCAGACAATGGAGAAGAAGCCCTCGGATGACTGCCAGAAGAGGGAGCGGTTGGCGTGTTCTTCGGTCCGGTACCAGAGACCAGTAATGAGGAGGAAGCCGGGGGATATATTGCTCTCAAAGAACCCTTGAAGGGCGCGGAGTGCCATCAATTGAGACCAGTTTTGTACGGCGCTGATACAGATGAGGCATATCCCTGACAAGGTTATTTATAGTTCCGTGTGGGGTAGTCGTAGAACGCATGGCTTACCCCAGCATGTCATGTAGATTGAGAGGACAAGGCCAACATTGAACCTCTGCAGGAGATATACAGAGGGAAATTCCCCGATGAGATATGTGAGATAGAAACTGTAGGGACAGTCAATGCAATTCATGTCCTGGGTGGTTTACACTTACATTGTGGTCAGCCATTGGTACTGTTGGCCATGTAATTTCAACTCATCCTCCATTCCAAATAACTGGAATTGTCAGCATACGCATTTATCCTCTAGTCTATTATACTTACTGCCTGAATACTGGTCGACGTCTTGTCTGTCTGCTGTATCCCATAGAAGAAGAACCTGGAAAGTTAGAGAGGACTTTCTTGAAGATGGGTATGCGCATACATCATGGGCATGAGGTAGTAGTCGATCTTCCGGGTCAGTTTCTTGTACTGCTGCTCTGTGTAATCTGCTTCACGTCAACGGTGCTCACATATGCAGCAATGATGATTCCTTACCTGATGCTAGAATCTCCCCAACTTCAACGTTGGTGGTCGCTTCCAGAGCAGCATCATTCTTGTCCGTTGACTTTCGGTCCATTTCTGGTACGTCTTCATTCAAAGTAGGCATGCCTGTCTGTTCTGTGAATATCATCCAAGTGAACAGATAACTTCAGATTCGACGTGATATCTAGATGCAGTGTTCATATGGCACAATTCCCCAAGTGTTGATAACAGATAACAGCAACCGGTATCCGATAAGGAAGTCAGTCTACACCAATGCCTTTCTTAATCATTTCATAGCAACCATTCAATACGCCGGTTCGGAAACATACAGCAACGGCATGCTAGTCAACGGTCAAGGCCGAGAATGGCCTATTCCTAATGCATGCTAATGACTGCCTATCCATGAAGCCTCGCCATTCCATCGCCGATGATACTGACTTTCGACTTCCATAGATAATCGGCGAAGCCCGAGCAACGAAGCTTCCCCACCGCGATAAGCCGAAAGTGGAGTAGAGATCGGCCATCTGTCCGCCCCCATCCAACCCTACTGCCGTATATACAACAAGCCCCCAAAGCATAATCCTTCAACCCCGCGCGAGACAACGCGCGTTTCCTCTTCCCAATCATCCATCCATTGACAAACAATCATGTCCACTCCCGTCCCCAAAGCCACCACCCCCTTCTGGCGCACCCAGCCCCATCCCCTCGACCGCCACCGCAGCACCCCAGACCTTTCTACTGAATGCGACATTCTCATCATTGGCGCCGGCTTCGCAGGAGCAGCCCTAGCACATTTTCTCTACAAGGACAATCCCTCGCCACCATCGGTAGTCATCCTCGAGGCACGCGAAGCATGTTCCGGAGCTACTGGTCGCAATGGTGAATACCACTGCCCCTTCCCCCAATCTCATCAATAACCAACCATCCAAATCAGGAGGACACCTCAAACCAGACGTCTACCTTAACCTTCCAAAACACATCAAAAAGTACGGCGTCGAAGCCGCAGTGGAAGTGGCCAAATTCGAAGCCTCCCAAGTCCACGCCGTGAAGGAGCTAGTCGAGACCGAGAACATTGACTGCGACTTCGTTTTAACCCGCGCATGCGATGCAACACTGGACGAGAAACTAGCGCGAGAGATTGAGGATGCGTACACGGAACTAGTTAAATCAGGCGTTGCTGATCTCAAAGATGTGCATTTTACACCGCGCAAGAATGCCGAGCGGGTGCGCTTATCCCTCCCTCCCTCACCTCTCGTTTCAATCATGTTACTAAAAGGTTATATAATTAGGTATCCGGCGTCAAAGGCGCCCTGAACTGCTTCACCTTCACAGCAGGCCACATCTGGCCCTACAAGATGGTAATGCATCTCCTTCAAGGCGTCGTGAACCGCGGCGCGAACCTCCAAACCATGACCCCCGTTACATCTATCGATGAGAGCCCTCTACCCGATGGTCGCTGGGCAGTCCACACCGAAAGGGGGGACATAAAGGCGAAGAAAATCCTTCTCGCGACAAACGCATACACATCCCACCTGGCACCACAATTCAAGAACCACATCGTCCCGGTGCGCGGCATCTGCAGCCGTATCGTCGTACCAGAGGGCAAGGTGGCGCCATTCCTACCCCAAACCTATAGTATCCGGTATGGGCCGTCGATGTACGATTATCTGATCCCGAGACCAGACGGGAGTATTGTTGTGGGTGGGGCCAAGGCGAGGTTCTGGACAGATAAGAAGCACTGGTACGATGTTGTGGATGATGGAAAGTTGATTGAGCCTGCCGAGACATACTTCGATGGGTTGATGCAGAGACATTTTGTTGGGTGGGAGGGGAGCGAGGCTTATACAGATCGGGTGTGGACGGGGAGTATGATTACCCTCTCTATTCTTGACATTCACTAGGAAGTGCATTTGCTGACTGTTTCCAGTTATGGGGTATAGTTCCGACTTCATGCCGTATGTGGGTGAGGTGCCTGGGAAGCCGAATCAAACTGTTCTGGCGGGTTTCTCGGGACATGGCATGCCGCTGATTCTGCTTTGTGCAAAAGCGGTTGCGAGGATGGTGAGGGAGGGTGCTGCTTTCGAGGATACGGATGTACCGTCGGTGTTCCGGGTGACGAAGGAGAGGTTGGAGAGTACGAAGAATGAGATTCTGGAGGGGTTGGAAAAGGAGCATCCCTCGAGTAAGCTGTGAGTAGGGTGTGGGATTGATTAAGATGTGATCTAGTGTATAGCGACCAGGTTATTGCTAGGGGGAGTGGATAAGTAAAGAAGCAATTGGCACATTATTCGCATCTTCATATAATACCAGAAAAATTTAGGCCTCCTAGTCAGTCTCCATCGCAGCAGTAGCTGCAATAATCCCCTCGGCCAGCAAAGGCAAACTATCCGCCTCCACATCCATCTCCCCAAAGATATCTGAACATGTCTCCTTCTCCCACACAGACACCCAAGCCCCTTTGAATCTATACAATTGACATTAGTAAATTTTCCAGTCATCCCAAACATATATACCAACTCACCCGCACCGCTTCGCCGCAGCCGCATCCCACATATGCGCCGCCGCAAACCAAGCCACCGACCCTTCTCCTTCAAATTTCTCCAACAAATATCGATATGACTCCGGTGCTGGCTTACCCACCCCAATTGTATCACAGGAGACAAAATTATCCTCTGGAAATTTCACTCCACCTTCAGCAAGATATCCAGCCACTCGGGACGTATCCCCCGACGTCAGAGCCCAAACCGTGAACCCCGCATCTCTAAGCTTTCCGAAACATTCTGTTAGCCCCGGACGTACTTTTAAACCGCGGTACCATGCAAGGAGATATTCGCGGTCTTCATCGGTGGCGAACTCTCGTGGGTCCAGAATCCCAGCTTGCCAGAGCGTCCGGTAGAAGATGGAGCGGAAAACATCGAAGAATTTGACGTAGTGGGTTGAGAGACTCAGGTAGGTGTATTCTTTTTCGCCGGCTTCCATCCACGCGTAGCCGAACAGGCGGGGGTTGATGTTGTAGGTGCGCAGCTTGGGGCCGAGACGCGAGTCGATTGCGGAGAAGAAGGCGTCGTAGGAGACGCAGGTTCCTAGGATGGTGGCGATGGTTAACGACAATTGACTGGGGACTTAATGGTATCTTGGCTTACCTACGACGTCGAAGACGACGTGCTTGTTTGTGGTTGTCATGTTGGTTGCAGTCTGTAAAATCTGTCTCATTGACATGTTATGATATGTATCCGAATGACTTCGTTAAATGATCTCAGTTGGGTCCCTCATGGGCAAAGGAACTCCAACCGATGAAGAGTCATCGGTGAACCGCAGCTAAAATGAGGAAGTAGACGGGCTAAGCCGAGACCATCGCCGGGTCTGGATACGACCCCTCTGGAGGCTATCTTATCACCGAGAAGCCCTATCTCTCGAGCGGGGTCACCCAGGTTTCGGAAGATAGCCGATAAACAAGCACCGCTGCAGGGATGCTTGAGGGACCACGTCAGCTCGGCATTCAGCGACTGCCTCTATCCTGGTTGCGCAGTGCTGCGATATTGCATACCCCTCATGTCGATTACCCCTCATTTAGTAAATTGGACTCATGTGCTTCCTACAATTGATCGATTTTGGATGGTAGATCGGAACCCATGGAGCAGTGAACTTCACTATGTCGCAATTCACCATTCATACGTCGTCCTTGTTCGATCCCAAGCTCAAGGTATTCCGTCCCAATGTCTCTGTCACGGTCGATCCTATCAGTGGCCTCATTGTGCGTGTCTTTGAACGCGACGCGGAGACACCATTATCCGAGATTCTGCAGCCTGGCGATATAGATCTCAGTGGAAAGTATGTGTTGCCTGGACTGGTTGACGCGCACACGCACATCTTTCTCCATTCGTACGAGTAAGTTCACCCAAAAGTATCTGAATAAGTCCCATAATCGCAACTGAGCAAATCAGTGAGGCAGGAGCACTCCAGCAAAAGCGCGATGAAAGCATTGGAGAACGCATGGTCCGAGCAGTTAATCACTGCCGCACAGCATTGCTAGCTGGGTACACGTCCTATAGGTATGAATGTAGCCTTCCTCCCACCTGAGTGGAGAGGATACAGTAGCTCATTCCATACAGAGACCTCGGCTCCGAAGGAATGCAAGATTTCGACGCCAACATCCGCGACGCCATCGCTCGAGGCCTCACTCCCGGCCCCCGCCTATTTGTAGCCACCAAAGTCCTCGCCAGCACCGGATCCTTCGAATGTCGGACAGAAAACAGCGCAGGGGGTCACTGCCTCCCCTCCAGTGCCGATGCAGTCGACGGTGTAGAGGCATGTCGTCAGGCCGTTCGTCGCCGCATAGCTGCTGGTGCAGACATCATCAAGTTCTTCGCCGACTACCGAAGGAGAATCATGCGATATCCCCCTGCGCAACAACACCCGTATATTGCGGGTGTCCTACATCCTCCCAAGGAACCGAATCCGGATTACATGGTATTTTCGAAGGAAGAGATGCAGACGATCGTGGCAGAGGCGAAATTGGCCAGATGTCCAGTTTCAGCGCACTGTGCGACGCTTGAGGGTGCGATGGCTGCCATTGAGGCAGGAGTGTCCACCATTGAGCATGCGTATCAAACTACAGATGAGATGTTTGAGCAGATGGTGAAGAAGGGTGTGATTCTGGTGCCGACGCTGGCTATAGCGGAGAGATTGCACGCAAGACGGTTTGATCAGATCTTGAGTGGGGTCAAGAGGGCGCATGAGATGGGAGTGAGGCTGGCTTGTGGTGGGGATACCGGCACCTATCCTCATGGTGAGAATGTTCGAGAGCTGGAGCTCATGGTCCAAGCGCGTATCCCACTAAGTGAGGTTCTGGAGGCTTGTACTGTCGGTGGGTGGGAGGCTTGTGGAGGAGATCTGTGTGGTAGACGGTTCGGATGGTTTGAGGAGGGAACTCAGGCGGATATCATTGCTTTGTGTGGCAATCCAGAGGAAGATCCGGGGGCTTTGAGGGAGGTCGACTTTGTCATGAAAGATGGAAGAGTGTGGAAGATTGATGGTCTGCCTAAGGGCATGTTCTAGTGTTATCTGGATATGTTTGGGAGTAGAGATATTCTGAGTAATAATCAGCCCAGGGTACTCGATGTAGCTGTGTTTCAAAAGAAAAGCCGAAATATTGATGACCTAATTCCCAACCCAATAACTACTCCAAAACTCGCATTGGAGGTACGTTTCCGCCACTTGATCAGGTTTAAGACCTCTATAATTGAGAGGCTGAGCCCATTAAAAAAGTTGGTCATTCGAATACCCGGTTGCTCTTGCTAATTGTTCTCGTAGTTTCTAGATACAACGTGCTTCTTGTTATGCTCATGGGTTGCCCATAACCGTCCCAGCGGTCTCCGCTATAGTAGCTGCACACAGCTCTTGCGATCGCTCAAACATCCGCTGCAATGCATTCTCGTCCCTTGGTATGAACCGCACCTTGAAATCCGACGCGATGGCGTTCGACGCCGTCGGATCGCGCTTATAGTGCACATAGTGGGTATTCGGCGGACATTCTTCCTCTTCCACCATTCTGAATGAGACAATGAGACGAAGGATGGTCGCATATAGGACTCTGTTTGAAAAATTTACCGCCGTACACATGCGCGAGCCTGCACCAAAGGCAAAGTGATAAGGCGGGGGAATATCATGCTCTGCCTTTAGCCAGCGATCTGGCCGAAATTCATCCGCATCCGGGCCATATACTGTCTTGTCTGGGATTGATAGGTTAGCCGAATATTCCAAAACAAAACAAGGCAAACGCCCATACCTCGATTCGCAGCTTGCGCGTTCAAGTAGATGAGAACACCTTCTGGAATTACAGCTTCCTGGTACATAAATTCTTTAAAGGATTGCCGCGCCGGAAGAAGTTTGAGTGGCGGGTAAAACCTCAGCGTTTCCTTGACAATAGAAGAGACATAAGCACACTTCTCTTCAGATACACAAAGTTCGAATGCATCTTCTGGTGAGTTGTAGAAATTCAAGATATCTGCGTAGGCCCTCTCTTGTATTAACTGCCCCTCTGGGGTTGATAAGACACCGATTGCAATAATAGCGGTCGAGAACACGGTCTCGAAGCCTCCTGACATGAGGCCACCGAGTATTGTCTTGACATCGACTATCCATAATCAGCCAAAACTTATATATTCAGACAGAAAGGTACTTACGTTTTGTCAGGCCTTCCTGCTCATCTGTCAACAACAGTTTGGCCACACATTTCCTATCTCCAGTTCGCAGGCGGATACTTTCGCGAGCGCCATCCAACATTGTGGCCAACCATTTATCCCGACGTTCACGGACCTCCAGAGCTGTGGCAGTCCTTCCTTCCTTCTTCCAATATCTTAAGTAAGGAATGAAGTCTTGTGGGTTCGAGTTGGTAGAACGGAAACTAGTCAAGTTAGAAGGACTGTGCTGGGCTCGCAAAGCTCAAATACTTCACCTTGCGATAGTGCTAGCGTCTTCAAGGATCTGGAGCAGCAGAGGATCGGTAATAGATTCGAATCGTGTCCCGTAGCAGAACATCATCATAATATTCAGCGCAAGGCGCTTCTGGTAGATATGCGGAACAATACCAATGCGCCCGTTTTGACTGTCATTATAGATTCCTGATACCATCGAAAACGTCTCTAGATCTAACATGGGTCGTAACTTCTGGATAGCCGGGCCGGTAGTCAGGGAGCCGACAACTCGTCGCTGCTTTTTCGTCCGCTCATCCCAAGGGCTTGTTCCGATCGTGGCAGCTATACTTATCATTAGGATTTAAAGGATGCATTTACCCATTTTACATACCCGAGGTTGCAGAGACTACCTTATGGAAGGTGTAGAACGATGGGCGGTCCAAAGTCGCGGACTGGTTTTTGATCATCCAGTCCCGGGCGGCATTGAACGAATTTATCACCACCGCTCGTCGGTGTCCCATTCGGATCTGAAAGACGGGCCAGCCAAACTTCAGTGACCAGCGTTCTGCGGTGGTAGCATGGTCGTTTCCCAACTGGTACAGATGGCCTGCCAGGAGTTCACCCCCAGGGATTTCTGGAATACCTTGAATACTGGGGAAATCAAAATAGAGGTAGCGTAGATATGATAGAATCGCAATTGTAAGCACTCCTGCAGCCACGAGGCTTACAATGACGAGGTTAAAAGGCCAATAATGATCAAGTAGAGCATCCATAGTGAACGGAACTGCTGGTATGCCAAATGATTGACAATGGTGATGGCTTTGGGGTGTTAGACAATGTCATGGTCCATTTAGCCATTGTAGATGTGAGAAGTAACTCTTTGACTCCGATATGCAGGTCGGAGGAAGGCGTCGAAGTGGGCCGAAAGCTCGGAGAATAGCGAGCGGTTCTCAACTCATCTTCCGTAATTTCCATCCTCCTCTGAGATAAGGACAACCATATTTGCCGTACATCGACCGGAGTTCTAAGGTTCATCTTGAGTCTCTGATATTGTCATGGCAAGCAACTTGCGTCTGGGAGCGCTCTTCGAGGTTAAAGACCGTTGGGTCGCCATTACCGGTGCAGGTGAAATACCATCCAAGGAAAACAACTGGCTTAATGTTGACATCTTGCTATCAGGTAGCGGTATAGGTCGTATGTTAGCACGAGGTTGTACAGTGAATGGGGCCAACACCATTCTCATCGATGTCAATGAGCGTTCCCTGGAGGAGACCAAGACAGAGCTTCAAGGACTCAGCCGATCTGAAGACTTATCTCCGACCTCTGTAGTTACGTCTGTTCCCCATGCATATCCGGTCATTACATTATTCTGAGTCAATTCTAGAATACATGGCGACCTTTCCAGCGAGGCAGGTGTCACAGCCGTCGTCGCCGCAATTAAATCAATACGCGGTTCACTTGATGCTCTCATACATTGCGCCGCAGTACGCTATATGAACGAGGTTACTTATAAGCCTGGCGGCAGTCTGGGTGACCTTGAAGATGCGACTATGTCTGCCCCCTATCAAGGCTGGGAACAAACCTTTCGCTTGAACGTGCTCGCACCATATTATCTGACTGCGGGTTTAGTACGCCTGCTGGGCACAGCAGCCGCGAAAGGCGATGGTCGAGGCTGCGTGCTAATGCTGAGCAGCCCAGCTAGTGTGCATAATCATCAATTTGTGCCCTGCTATCAGACGTCTAAAGCAGCGGTTGATCACCTTGTACGGATCATGGCCGCTGAGTTCGCAGACTACTACAGTATGTTGTAGCTCGTAGCACCACCCATCATTTTTTTCTGCGACACTCATCTAATCTCATTTACAGTTCGCGTCAACGGGATTTCACCAGGCATTGTGCCTTCCGGAATGACCACGACAGATGCCAATTCAAATCTCCACCTAGCGGCGGAAGCTCCAGCGGGCCGAGCAGGGAACGAGGATGACATGGTAGGGACCATGCTGTGGTTGATCAGCAAGGCGGGCGCTTTTATGGACGGCAAGGTTGTCAGGGTTGAAGGCGGCCGGCTTCTTATTCTTCGAGGAGCAACGTGTCATTCCGGTTGAACAGAGAAATTGCTAGTACCCGCATTTCAACTCCTTTTCGCGGAAATTTTCAGCATAGATGAGATGTTTCTCTCCTATAGTTTTAAGCCTCAATGACTTGCATGACACCGTGCTTGCCATATTGACTATCCTGGTTCAACTTCTATGTTCCATATGGCTATGCAAAAGGTCCATAATAGTTTGCCAGGCATGAAGGTAAGATTGGCCACCCTTCCAATGAGAAGAGAAGAAGGCTAGGATTTCGCTGCATAGAATCAAGTCTCTGAAGTGCGACTGAAAGGATGTCCACCTCTTCACTATAGCTGTCGCTAGTGAGCATCCAGATATAAGGGCCCTTGAGCACGCTATAATCGGTGATACAAAGTCTTCCTCAATGAAGGTTGCTCTGTGTGTGTTCGATAAAAGTTCTGCCGCTGCCCTGACAATCTTACGTCTTAATGTCCTCATTCCCTTTCCCTGCTGGTCGTCCGGTTCCTGATAGCAGGCCACGCACTGCTTATGCCTGACACAGGTTGCTAGGAGGACAAGCCAGATTTCCTGGGATGCTGGGCTAGCATCTGCAATAACATCGGCCCTATCAAGCAGTCCTGAGACTTCACCAACAAAAGGGCAGCTCTCGGCATCACCGATTCGATTAGTACCGTAGATTGCGTGGAATAGTTTGCTGTATAAGATAGAAGATATATCCTTTTCCGGTGCGCAATATGACATATCTTCGATCAACAAGATTGGCCGATTGGATACCGTTCGTAGTGACCTACAAAAGATGAGCCAAGAAGGACTAATGAATTCAGTGCTGTACCCACCCTTCAATTTCCCTAAGTACGCACATGAGATGGGTTCTCACAGGATCAGCTAAAAGTGATTCCTCATGACCATTGAAGTCGTTGGAGTTCGACGCGGTTCGGTTCCAGCCTAGCTGCAAGCATGTTCTTCGCGCAACATCGAGGAGTTCCCAGATGATGCCGCGAGTTGGATCAGCCAGTTCATATACGAGAAGTAGTAGGATAGCTTTCATAGAATCTGCGTCCGCAGCACAAATGATTGGGGCGATGAAGTCATTAGCCCACTCACGACACGTATGGGCGAACGGCTTCCAATTTGGAGATTTGTACGTTTTTTGGGCGGCGGAAATAGAACAGGCCATCAGTATCTGAAACCTTCGCATTTCCGGGAGCTTCCGTAGGTGGATGCCGTCATGGCTCAGAATATCAAGCTCCACGATATCATATTTTGGTCGAACGAAGCGATGGTAGTCTTTCAGAAGCCCGCGCACCACGCCAGGTGTAAGCATGGACCTGTCAAGGTGCGGGATATCTGGTAACGGGTCACTTTCTTTATCAATAGTCCTCCAGTCATTTGTTTTGTGGTGTTGTGAAAGTACCTCGAGTGTGACCTCGACAAGACGTGATGAGAGTGAAAGATCTAGGTACATATCTCTACCAGATTTAGGCATAAGAATGAAGGAAGAGACCAAGGAAGGCCGTGTTGACATGCCATCAGGAGACCTCTCTGTAAGGCCACTTCCGCCCTCCATAGTCAGATTAGCTTCAGGCAGATAATACTGGCAACGACGTCCTTTCACCTTGAAGAGATTTGAGAGTTCAACGCTAGCTCAGAGTTTAGCTTCTCGATTCTATCCTGCAATGTCTTGAGATAGCTGTGATTGATGAGCCTATGGATGATTGAGTGTGGGACGCCGTCCTGCTGACCCTCGGGTAACATCTGCTTGCAAAGCTTCATCTCGAAAGGTACATTCAACATCATGCTTAGAGCAGTTGGCGCACGCTGGAAGCAAGGAGTCGCACTGCAGGAACGTGCCTTAGTCTACTATTTGATGATAATTGCGATAAGGGAAGGTAGGTACCTTGATCCTCCGGCTTCTGCAACGGGTACACGTCGGCAGCATCTCTGACTTATCACACAATCGAAGTGAACAGCCTGTTTTGCTTTATTGTGGTCTAGTGTGTTTCAGAGCACAAACAACTCGATTTAACTGCTATTTTGTTTGGGAGAGAGTCGAAGTGGGCATGAGACGACCGATCCAATTCTGGTCTAGCACCATCACGGGGTGCTGTGACAGTACGCTAAGCCTGGAGGGGTAAGGTAGATGTGGCTTGTTTTGATGCAATTGGTTGATTCTCTTCCTTATCAGGTGATGCGGGGAAATCTGTCTCTATTACTAAGTAGATATTAATACACAGCAGTGATCTGTTTATCTCGCAGTCACTCTTGACTTTATATTGTCTCATGCATGTTGGCCGCCAACAATGCCACGATCGAGACGCTCAACTAAAGTATGTTCCCGCTGCCGGAAGCGCAAAACGAAGGTTCGATCCCACAATACCTTCTTCCAATTATTTCTTCTGTTGCTGTAACGTCCGTGCTACATCCATACTCCCTCTCTAACGCGGCCATGCACCAATAGTGTGACTTCATCTTCCCAGCATGTACTCCATGCAAACTGGCAAATTTGCCTTGCTTGGGCTTTGATCCTAGCTCCAAGGAGGCAGTCCCCAGAAGGTATATATCACATCTCGTCTATAGTCACTGGGGACTGACATTGTGTTCCAAGCTTCGTCAAGTCACTCGAAGCTCAGGTGGAAGAGCTCGAAGCACGACTGTTTTCGTTCAACGCCGCTTCCACCAACGTTCCGTATCTCATCACTACGGCCGTGGCACAGGCCACCATATCCATTGGCATTCCCTTTCAGAACTCGTTTCTCGACTCCAAAGCCTCATCTTCATTGTTCTTCCGGCCCTCCTGTCCCCCATTGGCAATAGCCCGGGAACGGGGACAATCCACTCCTGAGAAACATCCCAGCTTACAGAATAATCGACACAATCCCGGCGCGCCCATTAATTTACGTAGTGTTCCATTTTCTGCAATCAATCGTATGATTCAGAATTATGTCGACATCCACTTGCCTCAGTACCCCTGCGTGTCAGAAAACGCGGTAAATGAAATACTGAACAGGATCCAGCATCAGGACCTGAAGGACCCAAATGCTCTCCCGATCCACCATGTACCCACTGATGCTGGCCTGGGGCATTTCGAATATTTTGTATTGCTTATCGCACTTGCAATCTCTGCGATGACATTGACCTGGAAGGCCGATTACCAAGCTCGAGTGGCTTCGGAGTCTTTCTATAACGCCGCCGTAAAACACCTACAGGCCATGACAGACCATAGCGAGATTCAGGCACTATAAATTTCTTTGCTCCTAGCTCACTATGCCCATATGTGCCCAGAGAGGGTAGACAATTGGACTTGCATTTCTAACGCAGTCCGGATTGTCCTCAATCTTGGACTCTATCTGGAGTGCAATCAACTGGTTCATGGTGAGCCTTATCAGCGAAGCGTACTATTTTGGGTAGCGTACGGTATGGAGAGGTCATTATGTACGAACCTCCGCCTACCCTTATCATTTCCGGAAGAGGCAATCACGGTAAAGGTAGGTTTCCCAGACGACCCTGTGGCTCTTTGAGAAACTCAAGAAATTCCAGTTTCCCACAGTAGAAGAGACAAATCTCCATACGGAACACTCCACCAGTAGGCCGAGCAAGAAGTCTGTGGCGTACCATATATGTCGGTACCGTGCACTAGAGACAGAAGTTCATAGAGTGCTTCATCTAGAAGAAGACTTGACTAAGTTCGGCAACAACACGATAGATGAATGGATTGAAAGCATCACCCAGAGGTTGAAACAGTGGTACGAGACGGCACAGTCGTACACAAAGTATGATATGCTTGAATTCAAACATGTGCAGTTTCACCACCTCATGGCACGCATCCACCGGCCCACGCCGCGTCTGAGATTGAGAGGTTCAGACAACTGGAAAGCTGTGTTAAACGCATCATCCGTTTTGATACAGGACTACCTCGCTCAGGAGCGGCGTCGGAGGCTGTTCTATCCTTGGCATGGGGTACATATTCTCTTCGAAACTGCCGTCATCTCGCTCGAGGCATGCTGGTCAGCACGGAATTATGAACCGCTACAAGTTAGGGCTCATGAGATGCTGCAGACCTCGATTCCTCAGTGTCTTCAGCTTCTCACCAACATCGGTGAACGATGGGGTGAAGCAGCCGTATGTGCTGATCGGTTGAGGCCGCTCGTTGACACTGTCAGGACCGCTTTTAACAATCCTGATACGCTGTTGTTGACTATGATTGATGAGAGTATGATCACGGCAGAGATACTTGATTTACTATTTACGGATGGGCCATTGTCATGGACCCGAGCCAACCCGGGAGAGATAATGTCTAATATGAGTGAGAGTGATCCATGGCTAAATAGCCTGGTGGATGACAGCCTCGAACTTTTCTCGTGGAATCCTGAATGGTGCATCATGCCTGCTGACACAATCTCCATCGAGGGATATACGCTTTAACCGAGGTCATGATCTGTACTACAATGGTCATTCTCTTGTATCGCTTTTCTCTTTCGCTGATAATTATCATTACTATAACAAACTATCTCCGATCCACGCCAATACCCATACTCATGAGCGTTTAAGAAAAATTGGCAATATATAGCATAAGACGAGTCAGCCATACTGGCACAAAGGCCGCAGCGCCCGCAACAGTCTCACGCAGTCGTGTGGGCAAGCCCGCGACCGAGTCTTTCTATCTGGCTACTATACCATGTCTGAGAATGGAAGTAATGTTAGCGAGTGGCACCCCAATCACATACATTTCACTTACACTCTCAAGGCCGGCTCCAACCGATCTATTGCTCAACATCTTGAGGATCCAAGGCTGTTTTATCTGTTGCGTGACAAGCCGCGCGCTCTCTGCCGGGACATCTGGGTTCAAGAGGATGTCATTCGGTAACGTGGGTTTAAGAACTGCCGGACGTCCAATCCCTATCATGTCGCAATCCTTATCAATCAGTGCTTTCTCCATACCGGTTCGAGTACGGAAGCCGCCCGTCACCATCAATGGAGTCCCTGGGAATTGCGCTCGGATAGCGCTGGCGAACTCCAGAAAGAATGCCTCCCGAGCCACCGTCCGAGCGGACTTCTCGGGCTGTTTATTTGATGCGGAAGAACTCATCATCTGGTCATCATCAGCTGTGCAACTAACCACATGCCAAGGGGTCAGATCATCTTACCTGGGGATCCTCGTACGACCCACCACTGATCTCAACAAAGCCCACTCCCGCCTCAACGATCAGCTTGAGCTGCTCAACACAGGCCTTCAATGCACTTTCGGATTGATGGTCGACCGAATTCAACTTTATGCCCACACAGAAAGTAGCTGGGACCGCTTTGCGAATCGCATGAATGATATCGACAATAATCTTCACACGACCAGCCGGCGAACCGCCATACTGATCAGTCCGTAGGTTCGCCGTGGGCGAAAGAAACTGCGACAGAAGGTACCCATGGGCAGCATGCAATTCCACCCCCTGAAATCCCGTTTGTGAAGCCAAACGACTCGTATAAACAAACTGCTCAACCACACGATCGATATCCTTCTGGGTCATTTCCCTCGGGGTACCAAAAATCACCGAGGTCGCGACCCTATCTATGATCCTCGAACCAAGATTCAAAGGAATGGGGCTAGGCGCTACATTTTTGGCTGTGAGGCACCTTGAGCCAGCACCCGTGGGAGATTGCCTTCCAGGATGACAGATTTGCATGACTGTTGGCGTGCCGTGCTTGGTACAAGCAGCGGACCACTCGCTCCATCTGCGGATCAACTCTGGCTCGATAGCCGGGTTTGGTGCAACGTCACGCGCATCTCCAAGGTACATTCTATCAACTTGGACGTTTCCTATCTCAAACGTTCAACGGCTTATTCATGAATTGCCAATACCATGCACAGCGGCAACTTACCTGTCAAAAGCATCCCCCAGCCGCCGCGTCCCCACTCGGCATAAGCGCGATTATGAAGCTCAGTGGGCAAGTTGTCGCTATCAGACATATGTTCTGCCATTGCAGCCTTCACCAGACGATTCTTCATTTGCAGCCCACATTTAAGGGTCAGGTGTTCTGAAATTGCGGACTCCATGGTCGATTTTCGAATGTAGGGTACACCAGAAATCAAACTGCGATATGAAATAGCAAAGTGGGTTCTTGTTGCCTTTCTGCAGTTAATTTATAGACTCCAGGGAAGCATGTACCTGCCCGCCCCTGAACTCGAAATTGGTCACATAAGAATGCCACCTTGCTCAATAATCGCCTCCCAGGGTTTTTTTTTCCTTCCCGCTTCTTTCTAGAACCAGCCTGATAAATCAATCATATGCCTCCGAGACCCGGAAGTCGCGCGACGGTGCAATCATCTTAAATATGAGTAGATGACCAATGAAAAGCGTAGTATCCCGTCGGTTTCAAGGAAAAGTTGCGAGTTCTGGGGCAATATTGGCAAAAATGTCGGAACTCGATCGAGATCCGAGAGTGGGTGGGTCCGGTTGAGCTCCGACTGCCGAGATAAAGTCTCCACTTAGATTCTGCTCGGGTTTCGGGTATCATTCTCAGACGGTCCTTGTTTGCACCTCTATATAAGAGGGAAGCGGGGATGGAGGAGCCTCGGCTTCGTAGATCTTGTGATTGCTGCAGAGGAAGTGTGCTGTTTTGAGAATCTGCCAGATGGTTGTACTATGGAGAGCGGAGGAGGGGGGAGAAGAGCCAGAAGACTCTGGTGGCGATGTTACTTATATATAATAAGGAACCCCCAGGCATGAGCGATACACTTGCACGCGTTTCCTGGTACAAGCCCCATCTGGAGTTAGGTGGGCACTGCTAGTCTGAGACAGCCGAAATTGTGGACTCGAAAGCTTGAGTACAAATTACTACAGCCTGACGCGACGGCGGTTGAAGTAAAGAGATACGCGGGGAGTAAGTCATTGGGGATTGAGAATTAAAGTCTTGGTCAAATCCGGCTGCCGTTCGATGAACTGCTCTATCCCAGTGACTTCCTCCAATTCATAATGGGTACATCAAAAATCATTCGATAGTAAGTTCTCGGAATTGTTCGATTTATTCTATTGGAGTGTATGGCTCGGTAGTCCGTTCCTGAATCACTTGATATCCCAGTACGTGAATATACCACGAATCGTGGTTACGTGCATATGGAATTGCCAAGCAACGAGTCTATCACGATCTGCTCTAGAGTCAAACGGGACTATCTGTCAAGTCCGGATTTAACATTCGGAATGACAGTCAACACAAGGTCATCATACAACCAATGAAAAGACAGAATACAGTAAACATCACACCTGCGCTGCCGTAAACCCATGACAAGGCCAGTCCGGTCTCGGAAAGCGCCGAGGCCGCGTAAACTCCTCGAAGAACATGTTGCCGGTGCTAACATTAGCACGCACAGTATGCGCCTCTCGACCCGGCACCCGACCATACTGAAGCCCACGCACACTGGGATACAGCACATTCTGCAGCATTGCCAGCGCTCTATGGTTGGACTGGTCAAACCACAAGTGATCTGGATGGACAACTAGGACGGTGTTATCCAGCGCCGATTGTGCGTCGATGAAGAAAATAGGGAATTGGCTGTCGCGCTCTCCGCGATAGGTGAAGACTTCCCAGAAGATCTTCCAGACGTCGTCGAGGGTGCCGTCGGCTTCATTGTCCCAGGGAACGTAACATGCGATCTTAGTTCCCCAGTGATTCTCTTCCACTTCGCCTATTGTGCGAATTTCTCTTTCTATATTGTCTTTATCGGACGTGGGAAGGTTATTCGTGAGATAAAACACTGGTATGGTGTATTGTCCTTTCTTTGCTGACAGCCATCGCGGCGGGTTGGTGTAGAATGGCTGGTTGGGCGAATACAGTAACTCCGGCTCGACCTTTTTACTATACATGTAGTGTTCTGCGGATATTCCTCGTCTCCTCATCATTTCGGTCCACGGGCCTCTGTCAATGATTATGTTTTTCAGAGATATTCGTGCAACATTTGGCAAATCGCCCCGTTCGTACTTGACAATTCCTAGTTCGAGGTCGTGAGCGTTTTGAGTGGCAGGAATTTGTTGGAGAAAGTAGATATTAAAAGGGGCTGAGTTGTCCCCTGCTCTAAGCCGATACGCCTCCCACAGGTTTGCGATTTCACGGCGAGACCTGGCTCTGTGATATTCCCACGGGATAAAGGTGATGGTATATGACCGGACACCGGAGCGCTCGATCTTCCGGTAGTCCTCGATGGCATCCTGAAAGATAATTTGAATTTGATGAAGCTCGGGTGGTGTCGCCGGAAACAGGAGAAAGATGTTCAAGCGCTGTGCGCTGTGGTATATCCACGACGGCAGCCCTAAAGGACCCTCGTTGGCGCCTGAAAGATAAGTTAAGACTTGACCCACCAGCTCCGGTGGCAAAGGCGTGTATTTTGTCAATAAGGCCTCGGCAACATTGAAACGTTCTTCATGACTGAGATAGGTCGCTCTGTCGATGGTAAATGGCGGCCGGTCTGGTTCATAAAGAGTGAGGCCAGGATCGTCATATCGATCGCGTTGAACGTTATGCATAGCAGATTTCTTTGATGGTTGCACGTTGCGTAGTTTCTCAAGGAATTCGGCTTCGCTGCTCCCACCTACAGTGGTCCGCTTTGCGAAGACGCAAAAATCGCCGGCTGGGGGTAAGGTAGCTGGCTCTGGTTTGACAATGACCATGACCAGTGAAAGAAGTGGGTCCTCCCCCATGCGAAGATTCCCATGCAGCTGACGCTGGGTGAGGCCATCTGCTACAAGGAATCTTGTCCATCCAGCCCGATATGCCAAGGTAGCCATTGCGTGAATGTTAGCCTGGCTGTCTGGATAAGAGCCTTGGATGGCGACCCGACATAGCAGCGCCGGTGACGGTTGCCATCTCGTGAGTGTAACATTTTCCTTTCCGAGGAAGTCTTGTAGGCGAACAGCAAGATAAGCTTGTTCGGCTGAAGTTTGCTCAGCCAGGTAGACAAGCAGCAATGGATACTTGCCCTCCTCCTTCTCGTCGATCAAATGTGGGAGTCCGTACGTCGGAGCGGAAAGCCCGGGGCCGTTGTCCGAACCGATATGGGCTTCCATCTGTTCTGCTCCTCCCCGATGCCGGTGTTCTTCTGTCAGGAATGGAGGGCTAGAGAAGGGTAGGCGGATGAAGACAGGGGTGGAGAACTAAGCAGGCAGTGTGGGACGGTCGATGAATGGGATTGTTTCCACCGACAGGGAAAGTGATTAATTGTAGTGGGGAACTCGTATGGACCCGGCATCACTGAAGCACGTGGCGGCTGTCGGTGCATGGAGCTTGAGTTCGCAGACAAACTGTATACCTTGACGTAGCTCTTATTGCGGATCCCTTGGAGGCATGAGTTGGAAAAGGAAAGAGGCTATAGCCAATGCAGCAGACACCAGCAGACACCTCCGTATGCGAGGTGTATAGAGTCAGCCATGATCGGTGCCTGGGAAATTCGGCGATCAGAGCCGCGCTTGACTTCCGCCCGCCATTTTCTCGATAAGACAAGCGAAATGCCACCGCCTTTGATGTAAGTCTGCCTGAGGCACCTACTACGATCCAGGTGCAAAGCCTGTAAAATGGATCTCAAGGTTCTTTCAGTGGATCTCAGATTAACGCTTCGAGTTGTCTATAAGTCTATATAGGTGAATAGTCATGTTATCATCAAATTCTCGTCCATCGATATCAGTATCCCAAGCCCTTATCAACCTGGTTGAGAAGCTGCTGCCCTTGAGCCCGTCTTTCCAAATTACACTGCAGTATCTTGATAGCACGGTCGTTATAGTGGGTTGAGTTCCCACTACAATGAGGCGTAATGATAACATTTTTATAACCCCACAGCTTATGGTCAGCCGGCAGTGGCTCCGGATCCGTAACATCCAGTGCCGCTCCTCGGATGTGACCCGCATCTAGGGCATCCATGAGGTCATCTGTTTTGATCACTGCCCCGCGTGCAATGTTGCTTACATATGCCTTCTTCTTGCTGAGATGTCTAAACTGCTCCCTCCCAATCATACCTCGCGTCTCTCTAGTCAGCGGGACAGTGATCACCAGCAAATCGAGATCCGAACCTAGGAACTCGTTGAGTTGATCTTTGCCCGAGAACCACTTGGACGGAAATTGACCGTCTTCGTCCCCCAGACCTGGCTCGCTGAATGAATCTGTTTTTCGGGACTCGGGCGTGGTTCGTGGGTGCAGTGTGAAGGCATGGACATCCATGCCGAAGGCTTTGGCGACCCGGGCGCATTGCCGGCCGATACTTCCATAGCCCATTATTCCACTGATACTGTGTCAGTCGATATAGGGTCGATAGAACCCAAAGTCAGACTTACACTCTGAGACCAACTGCATCCTCGGTGTCTTCGTCCGATGTGGGATCGATCCATTGGCCGAGCTTCTGGTGCTCCAGATATCCGGGTACTGTTTTATCGTCAGTGTTATGTTCCTTTCATTGGTGTGGTCAACGTACGATGGTGCTGGAAGGCGAGGAATGTCATGAAAACCCATTCTGTGATTTGAGGTCTGATCCGTCAGTGGAATTCCTTCTTTCACGATACTTCTGAGATAAAACCCACGGATGAACCCCATTCGCTGTACAAAACGCGACGTCAGTCTCATCGAATAGCGAGGTCCCCATAACATGATTGCACCCGGCACTCAAGAGCTGGACATATTGTAGACTTGGGACCAGCTCCTTGGGCGGAAGAAGCTTCCAAGTAAAGAGTGCTGTAACATCCCTCCATGTCCCGGGGGAGATATCTGTGGGCAGCTCCGTAGCATTCCTGTCAATTTCGCGTTTCTCGATGCGGATGTGGGGGACAGCGCTCCTCATGCTGGTAATCCATTTGTCTGGAAAAGCGCACGGCATGAGAATTAACAGGAATTCCTGGGAGGCCATGATAGGATATCTGGGAGTTTGTGTAGATCCAGAAGTCTATGGTGTTGATAATGCGAGAACACCGTGGAGGTGCTGAGGTATACATACATGATACGGGTGAGAAGTGAGGGGGCGATGATGCGTTATCAATGCGAGATAAGAAGCTGTGCTAGTATCAGGCACATACCCCGCAGTCATTCGGCCTATGGGGCCAATTATGGAACAGCATTTGTTACACTTCGACTCACTTCGGTAGTACAGAGGAGTGCAATGTTATGCTAAATGGCCATTGGACAGAACCCGCCAGCAGGTTTCCCTTTGATGATGAAGACTATTCGAGATATCATTTAAGCCTAAAAGCAACGTGGCGGTAGATCAACCACCAAGCTTGAGGAATGGGTGATCTATCAACTCGCGAGCTGTCTTTCTCTCCTCCGGGGAGCCAGGCGAGCATCTGTCTAGCAAAGGATAGAAATGTTTCTCGGTCTTTCTCTTCTAAAAACGGAATTGTGTCCTCTAAGCTTCGGCACGGAACCAACTCATCATACAGGAATTTCCCTTGAGACGTCAGTACTATGCCCATATGGCAGCGGTAGGTGAGGCGACCAGTCTCGTCATCAACTTTGCAGTGCATTGGTTGTTGTTGTTGCTGCTGTCGATCAATGAAGCTGGTTAGGGTCTTCTCACTTTCAAAGGCCATAAGAATAGTATTATTGCTAGTCGCCTTAGAGGTAACGTTGGCTCGACTAGACTGCTCTGAAACTGATCAGGAACTACAGGCGCCCTTGATAGTGGCTAATCAGAAGACTGATGGGGCTTGACTAAGCGCCAAACACGACTGTAACGCGGGGGATAGTATCTGAGATGGACCTACGCAGTGGGTGATAAATACACTTAAAAATAGACTGAGCGGACAGTTGAGAAAGTCATTCCAGGAGTAAATACCAATTACTAAGTACTACTATATCCCCAGGTTGTCGTGACCAGTCAGCGGAGTCGGAACAATAGTAGGACCGACGCTATGCTACTATTCTTAGAGGGAGTCAGTATACTTTTACACCGTGTTTAGGCGAAGGCAGATGTGTTTCAACGCTCTTTTCTTCGTATTGTCTGTGGGGGCTTCTCTTGGCAAGTATAGGTAAATACAAGCAAAAGTATTCTGAGATACACTCCACGGCTGCTGTGAGAGAGCCTCAAAAGGGGGAGGGGAATCTGACAGATAAAATCAGGCTGAGTGAGCATATACTAGTACTTAGTAGTACTAAGATTCCATAGTAACTGGGTCAGACACAGGAGAAAAAGAAACCAATCCGATCAGAGGGATGGAATGTAGATCGGGATTTGAACCATCTCGCATGCCATGACTACGGACATGTACCTCCCGTCAGATCAGACCATGTCAGTTCCTACTTACTACTCTATACTTAGTGCTACAAACGTACTCTTACTCACATTTAGTGTTTAATTAAGTTACAGTAGGATGGAAGGAAGAGAAGCATCATTTAAACTTCACCAACTCGCAAACTGCAGCAACATCCCTACATAAAGTTCTACTAGTCTGGTCTCCAAAAGGGTCTCTCTCTGTCTGCCTCGTGATCGGCAACCCCCTCCATGTGACAGGCCCGATCGGGATCCACGTTCTCTGTCAGTTCCATCTTGACAATTGCTTCTTCCTCTTCTTCCTCTCTGTTTTGCTTTTCTCTACTCGCACTCCTCCTACTTGTCTCATTTTCTCATACTACGTTTTGCCTCTTTTCCCTCCTCACTTGCGGCAGCTGCTGCCTCTTTCCTGCAGCCTGCCTGACTGGGTATGATTGACGACCTCTTGGCCTTCCCCCTTCCCATCCCCTCTCAGTCCTGTCTGGTGTTTTGCTTATTCCCTTGGTACCTTTTGGCATACACTTCCATCTTATAATTTGTTCACCGGCCAACCATCCCTGCACCCCCAAGAAGTAGTAGTCACTATTGGTGGTGTTATTTCGTGGTGTTACTTGGTGCGACACCGCCCCTCCACCTCGGGATTCTTCCATATTCCTTCTGTCCGCCTCCCACTGGCTTCCCTCTCTGTCTTTCCTTCCTTCTCATCCCACACTTCTAAGCCACCCACCACCACCACCACCACTACTGACCTTCATGGTTGGTTGGTCACACAACGCACAACACACACTGACTCTTTGCCCATTTCTTGCCAGTTAGCGCGGTGTCTGTCCCACACTTGGAGTCAACCCAGGCTTATTCCTCGGTGTGGGGGAGGTGGGCAAACGCCCTGCGGGGTGAAACTCGATTTATCGGCTGCAGAAGTCCAGATCCGACGGGGTTTGCGATCGGAGGCCAAACAACGTGGACCGACCGGCCCTCATCCCTGTGCAACCCACTCCAGTGCCAATCACGGCTGATCCCTCCTCCGTCTCGTTTCCTTACTTAAATTCCACTCCCTGCTTATTATTCCTCCCCACCGCTCGCCCCAATCGACCGGTGGCCAGCCCCGTTGCCAACTTTGCGCCCTGATCGGAATGCCTGGCCCGACGACCTCCGATTTCCCTTCGTCTTCGTCGTCTTCCTCCTCTGCCTCCGAGTCCTCCTCCAGCACTTCGGTCCTGCCTGGGCCCCCAAGCACCCGCGCCCGCAGCCCGTCAGCATGCACCGTCCCCAGATCCTCGCATCCGTGGACCCCAGACAGTCTGCCCTCGCCCATCGCCTCCTCGTCGACTCGGGTGCAGATGCCGTCCGTCGAAGACCCAGCGCCCGCCGTCAGCTCGGACGCTTCCGAGGCGGGCATCCACGGTGATACAGACGATCGGAACACGAGCGAATTGGCCGCCTCCGCCTTCATGGCCGTCCCCCAGTATACGCATGTCTTCGAGTCTTCCGATCGGCCCTATGCCACCCCGTCCGAGGTGGTGAATGCGGTGAGGGCGCGCGACGATCTACTGGTGCGTGAGACTGTGCCCGACCATGCGCCCAACCCGTCGTCGCCCCCGGTGGAATGGTACGTTTCGGACTCGGAAATGACGGACGCGCTGTCGGAGATGGGTGGCGTCCCGCTGGAGCCTTACATTGGCGGACACGTCGGCGTGGCAGCCCTCCTCAATCAGTCGCTAGATACCCCGGTAACCGTGCACCCCGTCTCGTCCACGATCTCCAGCGACACCGAAGATGGGGAGGCGACCGATCTGATCATGGACTATGAGCCGTCAGTGATGGAGAACCGGTCCACGTCGCAGTCCATCGCGGAGGACGACCCGGATGATACCCAAAAGTTCTACTCGGATGATGGCGATGCTTACGAGGACGATGTCGCCAGTGACATGGAAACCCGGCACGGCACGGCGTATCTGTCGGAGGAAGAGCTGGAAGACTTCTATCACGACCAACCTTTACCGTCGGGACCTGAATCACTTGATCTGGGGCCCGGTTCAATGCGCGACGATTACAGCAATGTCTTCTCCGAAGGGGACGATTCCAGCAATGCCGATCCGACGGGCGAGACGCACTTTGCTGATCCTGTAGTTGGAACGAGTATGTCCCCGAGTTCTACGTCATTTGTCAAATGCTAACCAGTGATAGCCCGCGAAAGGAACCTGAACGTGGACCAGTTTATTGCCCAGTGGCTGTACCAGTCGTCCGCAGCCTCCTCGATCCCCAGTCTTTCGATGTCGTCGGCACAACTCCCGCGCAGCGCCATTGCGCATCTGATCGGTTGGATCCCTCCGCCGAAAATCTATCGGCCGCCGGGGTATACGCGAGATTTCTACGATCTGCAACAGATCCCCTGGTGGGATGCCTTGCGGATCAAGCGGGCATATGTGCGCGAGCTGCGGGACCAGTCATATACATCGTACCACAACCTGGAGTATTCCCGGCAACGGCCTGGCGCGAGGTTGCCGCAGGAGGAGTCGTACTTCCGGGGCAAGGCCATGTACACGGAACACAAAGCCACCATCGAGCACTTTCAGCTGCGGAACCTGATGTCGGTGGCGGCATACAATACCGTCCACTTTGCACACGAGTCGAAGGTCTACTCGTGGGTGCCCGCGTATGACGATCTCGTCTGCCTCCTCGATCTGTCCCGGCCGACGGTCGAGTCGGGGTTGCAGGGCCCCGTTAAGATCTCGACGATGAAGTCGGCGCACGACACGACCATCGCGGGCGGGTTTTCGGGCGAATATGCCGTGCGAGCAGCGGGCACGACGGGCCCGGGCGTGCAAGGGTATGTGACCAAGGACGCGAATGGCATCACCAACCATGTCGACATCATTCCGAGTCGGACGAGCCGGTCCCCACAAGGGATCTTCGCGTCGAATGACCGTCACCTGCGAGTGCTGGACTGCGAGACCAACACGTTTGTGGCGGACCACGAGCTCTCGCGGGCCATCAATTGCACGGCGACCTCGCCGGACGGGCGCCTGCGCGTGCTGATTGGCGATTCGGCGGACGCGTGGGTCGTCGAAGCGGATACCGGGCGCCCGGTGCACCCCCTGCGCGGACACCGCGATTTCGGCTTTGCGTGCGCCTGGGCGCCCGACATGCACCACATCGCCACGAGCAATCAGGACAAAACGGCGATCATCTGGGATGTGCGCATGTGGCGGATGCTCCAGAAGATCGAGTCCGATGTGGCAGGATACCGGTCACTGCGCTGGTCGCCAGTGGGCGGCGGGCCGCGCACCCTGCTCCTGTGTGAGCCGGCGGACCGCATCGCCGTGGTCAACGCACAGACATACCAGCGTCGACAGGTGCACGACTTCTTTGGAGAGATCGGCGGCGCGGACTACGCGCCGGATGGCAGCACGATTTGGGTGGCCAACACGGACGAGCACTTTGGCGGGTTCCTGGAGTACGAGCGACGGCAGTGGGGACAACGATACGGGCTGCGGGATCGGCCGAACGAGTGGCTGCGCGAGACAGAGCTGGACGACGACGACCGATGCATGTTGACTGAGCGAGAGCGACAGCAGCGATGGATGTGGACGCTGGGGGACGAGGAGCATGAAACGTTACTTTTGTAGCCATGGGTGTAT